TCTGGCAGGCATCCACGGAGACGGTGACCAGGTGCTGCGCGCTGCTGGAGGACTTGTCCAAGAGCCTCGAGTTGAAGGCTGCGCGGATCTGAGCTTCTTGCAGAACTTTCCCTGCTCCATATGTCTGCCTGACAGCGCTGGGACTGGCAGTTCCCTAGCCTTTGAGAGTCCATGGCACTCCAGCCACATAGGTGAGCTTGTCCCTTTAAATCATCAAGCCGATTCCAAACTTAAGCCATTAGACCAAGGCAGCTACAGAACCGAGAAACAGCTCCAAAGCCAACACCATTGCGTCGCCAAAAGGACAATTCTAAGCTATTTTTGTCGCCTCTCGCCCCTGAATCTCCTCTGCAGATGAATGTGGACCACCCAAATCTGACCTGTTTTGTTTAGATGAACGGATCGGACACTTAGCATGAAACTCGCGAACCTATACATTCTTACGGGGAGCTCCATTTGGGATTGGACCCCCCCGATAGAACTTGGTGATGCGGGTTGACCGGGTCTCTCTCCATGTCCCGGCCTTCAACCGTGGCAGTTTCCTTTGAGCTCACTAGTTAAATTGCAAGTCTTGAGGAAAGAAAGTGGGCTTCCGACACCTTCCGACCCTCAGCTCGCCAGATTGTTGAAGCGGACCTCAATGCCTTAGGCTGCTGAGTCCCAAGCAGCTCACAGTTCACCCAAGAACCATGTCCGATGCGAGGGAAGAATTTGCATACAAACGTGGCTTTGATTTGATCTGTGGCTCCATCCTCTTGCCGTGTGTTTCTGGCTTTGGGAGGTTGGCGAGGAGGATGTGAAGGCCATCCAAAGGGAGCTGCAACTGAACCTTCAGCAAGTGCACATCGCGATGGACAAGAAGGCTTGCATCACTGGTCGAGTGTTTTGGCTGGAGACGTGAGCGTGGCAGTTCATGAGGCAGACGAAGAGGATGTTGAGATGATGCAGCAAAAGCTGGAGCGAGAGCTTCAGCAAGTGCACGCCGCAATGGACAAGAAGGCCCGCCGGCATGCACAGAGGGCGCGCTCAAAGCCAGAATCTGAGTCAGACTTAGATGAATATGATAAACTTGAATGTGTCGGGCAGGCGGATGATGAGGACGGCAGCGCAGTCGAGCAACTACAGCAGGAGCTTCAGCAAGTGCATGCTGCGCTGGATCAGAAGGCACACAGTGTCCGTTGAGTGGACATGATTGCAGACAGAATTCGTGGCACAATCCAAACCCGGCTACATGCATTTTGCCACCATTTTTTGATTCTTTGCATGAGTTTGGGGAGACTCTTTTGAATACCATGTTTTGAATGTGACGTATTGGTGGGTGGCTATCAGGCATCTGCGGAGACGCTCAACAAGTGCTACTCGCTTCTGGGAGAGTTCTCCAAAGGCTTGGAGTCGAAGGCAGGAGGTGTTGCAATTGCTTGCTTGCTTGGTACACACACACAAATGCACACTTGTGCTTCTTTAGAGCCTCGTGGGTCATTTGAGTCATTTGAGGAAGTCTGACTTATGTAAGCCATCTCATTTTACTTGTGAGGTCGACGAGAGCGACATCAAGGAGATTCAGCAGGAGCTTCGGCAGGATCTTCAGCAAGTGCAGTCTGCCATTGACAAGAAGGCTGGCTGCAGATATTCCGTGTGTTTGAGGAAACAGAGGCGTTGCCGTGTTCATGTGCCTCCACCCATTGGCTTGGTCGTGGGAGGTTGGCGAGGAGGATGTGAAGGCCATCCAAAGGGAGCTGCAACTGAACCTTCAGCAAGTGCACATCGCGATGGACAAGAAGGCTTGCATCACTGGTCGAGTGTTTTGGCTGGAGACGTGAGCGTGGCAGTTCATCAGGCAGACGAAGAGGATGTTGAGATGATGCAGCAAAAGCTGGAGCGAGAGCTTCAGCAAGTGCACGCCGCAATGGACAAGAAGGCCCGCCGGCATGCACAGAGGGCGCGCTCAAAGCCAGAATCTGAGTCAGACTTAGATGAATATGATAAACTTGAATGTGTCGGGCAGGCGGATGATGAGGACGGCAGCGCAGTCGAGCAACTACAGCAGCAACTTCAGCAAGTGCATGCTGCGCTGGATCAGAAGGCGCACACTGTCCGTGAAGTGGACATTATTGCAGACAGAATTCGTGGCACAATCCAAGCCCAGCAAGATGCATTTTGCCACCATTTTTTGATTCTTTACATGTGTTTGGGGAGACTCTTTTGAATACCATGTTTTGAATGTGACGTATTGGTGGGTGGCTATCAGGCATCTGCGGAGACGCTCAACAAGTGCTACTCGCTTCTGGGAGAGTTCTCCAAAGGCTTGGAGTCGAAGGCAGGAGGTGTTGCAATTGCTTGCTTGCTTGGTACACACACACACACACAAATGCACACTTGTGCTTCTTTAGAGCCTCGTGGGTCATTTGAGTCATTTGAGGAAGTCTGACTTAAGTAAGCCATCTCATTTTACTTGTGAGGTCGACGAGAGCGACATCAAGGAGATTCAGCAGGAGCTTCGGCAGGATCTTCAGCAAGTGCAGTCTGCCATTGACAAGAAGGCTGGCTGCAGATATTCCGTGTGTTTGAGGAAACAGAGGCGTTGCCGTGTTCATGTGCCTCTACCCATTGGCTTGGTCGTGGGAGGTTGGCGAGGAGGATGTGAAGGCCATCCAAAGGGAGCTGCAACTGAACCTTCAGCAAGTGCACATCGCCATGGACAAGAAGGCTTGCATCACTGGTCGAGTGTTTTGGCTGGAGACGTGAGCGTGGCAGTTCATCAGGCAGACGAAGAGGATGTTGAGATGATGCAGCAAAAGCTGGAGCGAGAGCTTCAGCAAGTGCACGCCGCAATGGACAAGAAGGCCCGCCGGCATGCACAGAGGGCGCGCTCAAAGCCAGAATCTGAGTCAGACTTAGATGAATATGATAAACTTGAATGTGTCGGGCAGGCGGATGACGAGGACGGCAGCGCGGTCGAGCAACTACAGCAGCAACTTCAGCAAGTGCATGCTGCGCTGGATCAGAAGGCGCACACTGTCCGTTGAGTGGACATTATTGCAGACAGAATTCGTGGCACAATCCAAACCCGGCTACATGCATTTTGCCACCATTTTTTGATTCTTTGCATGAGTTTGGGGAGACTCTTTTGAATACCAGGTTTTGAATGTGACGTATTGGTGGGTGGCTATCAGGCATCTGCGGAGACGCTCAACAAGTGCTACTCGCTTCTGGGAGAGTTCTCCAAAGGCTTGGAGTCGAAGGCAGGAGGTGTTGCAATTGCTTGCTTGCTTGGTACACACACACAAATGCACACTTGTGCTTCTTTAGAGCCTCGTGGGTCATTTGAGTCATTTGAGGAAGTCTGACTTATGTAAGCCATCTCATTTTACTTGTGAGGTCGACGAGAGCGACATCAAGGAGATTCAGCAGGAGCTTCGGCAGGATCTTCAGCAAGTGCAGTCTGCCATTGACAAGAAGGCTGGCTGCAGATATTCCGTGTGTTTGAGGAAACAGAGGCGTTGCCGTGTTCATGTGCCTCTACCCATTGGCTTGGTCGTGGGAGGTTGGAGAAGAGGATGTGAAGGCCATCCAAAGGGAGCTGCAGCTGAACCTTCAGCAAGTGCACATCGCCATGGACAAGAAGGCTTGCATCACTGGTTGAGTGTTTTGGCTGGAGACGTGAGCGTGGCAGTTCATCAGGCAGACGAAGAGGATGTTGAGATGATGCAGCAAAAGCTGGAGCGAGAGCTTCAGCAAGTGCACGCCGCAATGGACAAGAAGGCCCGCCGGCATGCACAGAGGGCGCGCTCAAAGCCAGAATCTGAGTCAGACTTTAGTGAATATGATAAACTTGAATGTCTCGGGCAGGCGGATGACGAGGACGGCAGCGCGGTCGAGCAACTACAGCAGCAACTTCAGCAAGTGCATGCTGCGCTGGATCAGAAGGCGCACACTTTCCGTTGAGTGGACATGATTGCAGACAGAATTTGTGGCCGGCTTGAGCAAAGATGGGAGTTGCAGACGTTTTCGTCAGGCATCTGCGGAGACGCTCAACAAGTGCTACACGGTTCTGGGAGAGTTTTCCAAAGGCTTGGAGTTGAAGGCAGGGATGTAGCCAGTGCCAGGTGCACACATGATGTGCAGAGAGTCATTCGAGTACTGTCAGAGACGTGTGAGTTCAGGAGAGCGACATCAAGGCGATTCAGCAGGAGCTTCGGCATGATCTCCAGCAAGTGCAGTCTGCAATTGACAAGAAGGCTGGCTGGCTGGCTGCTATTCAATGTGTTTGATGTATTATTTCATGGACATATTTTAATGCCAATAGTTACGTTATGCTGACGGGTCCCCAACAGGTCATATACTGGGCTTGTTGGCGCAGCGCACGTCTCATAGCAAGGAGCAAGTTGCTGGCTTTGATGTGTCATGCGGCTCCGTCCTTTTGCCATGCGGTCCGGTCTTTGGCCAGGTAGACGAAGAGGATGTTGAGCTGATGCAGCAAAACCTGGAGCAGGTGTCCGCCATGGGCAAGAAGGCTTGACTCGTGCATGTTGCTGGGGGAACAGGATTGAAACAAACGCTTTAAGCGACACCTTTAAATTGCCAACGACACGGAACAGTTTCAAGGGTAGCTAAAGGAAAGCCACCAAATTTCTTCCGGCGATTCCATGGACGCCACTTGTTGCACCTACTTTCCCTTTCACGTCTATTCTGTTGCAGCCAGCATGTTGAGCAATACTAAGTCGATTTTGCTCATATTGGATGGCGTTTCTTAAGAGCAACAGATAATGTTGCCAGGGCAACAGTTTTGGGAAGACCGCTATCGGTTTGTAGTGACAACCTGGTGGTGGTATGCGCCAAGCAAGCAAGCAGCACCGCATGGGTCAGGCAGATGAGGATATCAAGGCGATGCAGCAGAAGTTTCAGCAGGAGCTGCAGCATGCACACTCTGTAATGGACCACAAGGCCATGCGCAGCAAGCGTCTTCTTTTTTTTTGTTTGTTCCACGGGTTGCCGTGCGAAACCCCTGGGCGCTTCCTCATGCTTCCCCGCATGCCCTGTGAGATCCTGCAGGTGTACATATGCTTTTCCCCCCGATTTTGCCATGAAAGCCTTTTGTGGAAGGATCACTGAGGCAAGCGTTGTCTCCGTTTCGTGGCTTGGGGGCTTGGACGGTATTGGCGATTTCTAGGCTGGATCACTTGATTGGGTGAATTCTAAGCAATGTTCCTGGTTGACGCGCTTGGCTCTTCATAACCTCCAACAATTTCAATTGAGTGTGTCCCAGGAAATATCAGCACTTGGAGGGAAATCACCCCTAACTTTGTGCCAGACCAACACAGCTTCGACTTTGGACCGAGGGAACACTCTTGAGCGTTGGTGGACATACATCCCCCTCCTCATGCTGTTTGGAGAAAGGTCCGTGTCTAATTGAAAGTCATACTGTCAAATCCATTTCGCACTATTTAGGAACCAATGAAGATCAACCGTCAATCCCAACCGGTTTTTGGCGTGGATTTTGCCCATGTTCAATTCTCCAGTGGCGGGAGAATTGGGTAGAAACACAACTCAGTGGTGGTTGTAAGCCCCTCTTCTCTTGGGGTTTGGGGATGGATCGTTGCCAGGTCGACGAGATCGAAGAGGCGTGCCACGCGGAGTTGCAGTCAGGGATCCGGGAGTTGCAAGCCGCAATGGAGCTCAAGGCGCGCTTTCGATGTTTTGTTGGCTCTTTGTCGGTTGGTTTGGCAATATGAATATGTAGCCTTGGATGAGTTATTCCATGTTATATATATAGATCACATATTTATTATATAGCATATATTCCATGAGTCGAGAGCTACAAGATTTGTTGCAATCTTCTCGGGCAGGCGCCCCTGGAGGCGGTGGACTCCGGCCGCTTCGAGTTGGTTCTGTGCCCAAAGGGAGGCACCGTGAAGATCCCTGCAGATCCTCCCTGCCATGGCATGATTTTTTTGTTAGGGACCCTCTGGTGGACATCTTCTAGGTGGGGGTATGTGTCCACCAATGCGAACAAATGATGGCGAGCTCGTCGAAGGGGGTAGAATAATCTGACTCCCTTATTGGGATTCCTCAAGAACACATTTGGGGCTTCAAGACATATTTGTGGGAGAGAGTCATTCTCAGGGCCTTCCTGAGGCTTGGAGTGGTTGGGCAGTTGAATCCCCTCTTCTCAATTTTTGGCCCCTAAGCCAGCAAGGCGCCCGAGATCTTTTCACCCATTACTGGCACCCTCCAACAACCCACCCATGAATGGACACCCAGGATTCATAGACCCCTAGTTGATGAAAAAGGGAGGTGTATTCCGCATTTCAGAGGGAATTCTTCGCTTCTTGTTACTTTCGGGGTCTTCACCAAGCATGTGGGGTCGCGAGGCCCTCGAGGACCTGCGAACCGTGCGCAGTGCGCTGGACCAGAAGGCGCGGGAAGGGCATTCATTTTGTTTCAGGTAAGCCAAGGAAAGGAAGGGATGGCTGGCGACCCTCCAAGAACATGTGAAGGAGGAGGGCCGGAAGAGCACAACTCTTTGGTTTCAAGAAACCAGAGGACAACTCTCCTCCCAATTTAGCTCTCCGTGTTGCAATGTACAAGCCTGGGCTCAAGTTGCAAGTTCCAGGGATAGCATAAAATCCGTGCCTCGAAAGATGGCGTGCCGGCCACTTCTGTCGATCTTTGTGGTAGTTGCGATGCCAGTTGCTGATGCGTCTGACGTGTGTGCCACAGCATGGGTCCAGTGTGGTGGCGCAGGCTGGACAGGTCCAACTTGCTGCGACCATGGTTTCAGCTGTTCGCAGATGAACTCCTGGTATTCGCAGTGTGTGCCAGCGGGTGCCATAGCACCACCACCAAGAAAACCGGAGCGCGTGGAGGGCGATGAATGCTATGAAATGTTCAGCGAGCTCAGTTTCAACAGCCTGGTTCAGTCATTTCCCAGCAATCCTGACAGTCAAGCCACTGCCTACGTTAATTGCAAGCTTTGCAGAGTGGAATGCGATGCGCTGCCAATGTGCACGGTCGAACTCAGCTCACTTCACACATTCATGTGGCCTCCGATGGTGTCAACGGTGCGGGCCCTCCGGTGATCAACTTCTGCGGGGACAATGCACCGGGCATTTCTGATGGCCCATACAAGACGCCCTCGCACAAAGGGCGCGGCGTTGGCTGACATGGGGAAGTTCATTGACGGGAAGCAAAATTCTGCTTTCACGTTGGGATCACGACTCAGAGACATTGCCTCCAACCCCTCCAAGTATTACTTCAACTTCCATTCCATTGCTAGTTGGACACACTGGCAGCTCGAGGGCAAAGGCCCAGTGGGAATGTGCCGTGGCATCATGCAGCTGAGTCAGAGGAGGCTTTCGATGGAGGACTCGGACACTCTTGTGTAGGGTTCTGATGCATTTTGTGCTTTGTACAGCTCTAGCTGGACCCTTGACTTGTAAAGGTGGCATGTGTCAGCTGCTTTCCCTGTACAGTGGACGCCCTCTGATGGGGAGGAGTCGGATCCGCAGACACACGTGACCAACTCAAGGAAACAAAGCACGAGTCATGGGCATGTCTCATATTTCCACCCCCCCCTCCTTTTCAAAGTTCCCCCACCGCTCCGAGCCGAACTGGAGCCGTCAGGCAGACCTTCAGAGCCTGACCGCGCTGCAGCAGCAACTGGACATGCGCCAGGCCGATCGCAGCCCACGGAGTTCCGGGGTCGGGAGAAAGACGAAAAACGGGGGGACCTGGATAGAAAGACTTGGCAAGTTCTTGCGGCATGCAGCTTTCTCGAAAGTTCCGCATCAGTGGCTCTTTGACTCCACTTTCAGAACTCGATGCAACTCCGTGATGTTTGTCTTGAAATTCCAAGCTAAGGAATCGAGCAGCAAGCAGCGCACTTCCCCCCTGTTGGCCATTTTCGTAGGGCTTCTGCAACCCCCGGGCCCCGGTGCGGCTCAAACAGAGCAACTTGAACCATCTAGTCAAGCGTTTTGGATTCCGTCCGCTCAATGACTCACCAAGAAGCAGCAAGTTCCCCCAGGGTGCAGAGCTTGGCAGACGTATTTCTTGGGCAAGATGCCGACTGAAAGTCTTTTGAATGTTGACCCAACATGGTATTGTGTCCACAATTTTATAGACGCCTCCCTGGCTTAGAGTTGCAAGGAGCCGGCGGAGCGGACTCTGGACCGGCAGGCAAGGGGCTGGATGCAGGTGAAACGGGAGCCTTCTAAGACACAAGGGAACCGGGTTACCTTTGACAGGTAGCCACGCGCCCAACAAAAAACCCGAATTTGGACTGGTGAATTAGAGTGCTTGCTGAAGGGCTTTGTTCCCTTTCTGCGAACTTCGACGGGAAACTGCAGGCCATCGCGTAGAGTCCAGAAGGGGGACCCTCTAAAGTGAGTGGTTCCCCTTTCGTTCCCTTGCCAAGACGGGCACGGCTTCGCGGGTTGGAGCCAGGACGAGGTGGAGGTGTCGCAGCTGCAGCTCAGCTTGCAGCAGCTGCAGACCGAGCTGGAGAAGAAGGCGGACCCGCAGTTGAAAGGTGCCAGGTCTCAAAATGGGCACGTGCCAAACTGGGGAGCGCGAGAATGGTTTGGAAGAGGGAGGAAACAAAATGGGAGATTTGCCTCTGGCTTCCCACTAGAAACAAGCAGAAACGGGTAGCCTTTCAGGGCAGGCCACTGTGGGACCATGAAAGTGGCGCCTTTCGCACGCCAGGCAGACACGGAGAACGTCCTGCAGTGCGAGCGGATCAGCCGGCAGGCCCTTTTGTTTTGTTTTGTTTTGCGGTAGACGAACAAAAATCTGCTTTTCCAGGCGCATGCGCGCTGCTTGGAGCTTGCTGCGACCCTGGACGACAAGGACCGGGCGAAGAGCAAAGTGGGGAGAACTCCCCGCGCCCCGCTTTCAATGCGCCAGGCGGAGAAGGACGCGTTGAGGCTCCTGCAGCAGCAGTTCCAAGAGTTGTCCTTCAACTTCGACGCCAAGGCCGGCTTCAGCATTGGCGTCCAAATCAGCCGTCTCCCTTTCACAGAAAGTATCCAGGTAGGGGGCAGATTCAACCCAATACAAGATGTCGTATTTGCATTGTACTTGGCTTTTGGAGGGGGTAACTAGTCCAAACGGAAACGCCACACAGATTGGGGGTGTTTTCCCAAGTCCCCGTGCGAGATGTGGCGAGCTCAGGACAATGGGGAGCTGCTGGAGCACCAGATGAAGCAGCTGCAGGTGGCCCTGGAGTCCAAGGCGACGATCTCTCTGCGATGTTTTTGGGGCTCCGGGGTAGGGTTCTACCGACAGCTTGGCCACATTTTCCTTTTCGGCCAAGCTCAATTGTTGATGGCTTGTGGCCAGCTTCCGATTGTTGATAGCTGGTTGGAGGTTTGGTTGGAACTCTGTCAAGCTGAAGTCTTATAGTCGTTTATCTCCCCTTTTGAAACCACCGTTTCAGCAACCAGAATAAGGTTCCCCGAGGGGTTGGATCCTAAGGTTGGTTCACCCATGAGAGGTTGGGCCCTCTTGTCACACGTGGCCCATCCACATGTCCAGGCTGCTTCCCTCAGGTCTGAAAACGACCGCTTGGGTCCCTTCCGACCAGCATCTTTTGGGCAGCCAGTGACTGATTGGCAGCTTCCTCTTCGGTGGTGAGAGCGAGGTTTGGCATTGGGTGCTGAGCTTGCATAAGGTGTATACGGCAATACTTCTGCATGCTGTGATGCCTTCAGACTGAGGGCTCTGTTCAGTTTGGCGAGGCTACTAAGTCTTGTAGTTCCAAGTACAGCAGGGCCTCACTTGCCCCCTTTTTTTCTCAGAAGAGGGGTGGTGAAGTGTTCCCGCACCATTTGAAGACTGTACCGGCGGTTCCATTTTTCCATATTTATTGTTTTGCAGGATCCATACATGCCTTTCACTTGTGGCCAGGGTTCACCACCCATTCAACAGGCGAGCGTGGAAAGTTCCACAGAGCTGCTGCAGAAGGTCCAGCTGCTCGAAAGGCAGAAGGCCCGCCACGCTTTTTGCCTGGCATTTGTCTGGGACACCGAAGGAAAGCCACTATTTTGCGGGCGCTCTCTAAAGCAAGACACGGGCCAAGAGTAGCCTCCGGAAGAAAGCGTTCTTTTGTGCTTTGTCCAGCTTTTGCACGTGTTGGATGGGGCCAGGACCAGAGTCATTCAAAGCTTTTGAAGGGTTGAAGGTGGAAAGGTGACGCGTCCTGGGATTGCTCCGGCAGGCGTCAGAGCTCCCGGCGCAGGCACGGAAGAGTTGGGGCATTGGTCTGTGGGGTTCGAGCGGCACCGGGGCTTTGCCTAAACCGGCTGGCCGTTATGTGTAACGGGCACCAAATGAGATCACACGGCAATGCTGCAGTGTCAAAAGAGTGCTGTTGTGTAGTAATTGTTCTGCGCCTGATGTATAGAGCTTGTTATGTGTTCCAGCACCAAAGCCTCTGGGCCTGACATCGCCTCAATGAGCTGCTTGCAGGGGAACGAAGAGGAGCTCTGGAACGCCTTGGAGGGCAAGGCGGCGGAGTTCCGCCTGCCCTCGTGGCCAAGACTTGGGAGTGATTGGCCGGATAAGGTTCAAGGTTTCGATTTGGCCAGGTCGACATGGAGACGGTGAACATGATGAGACAGGAGCTGCAGCAAAACTTCTTGAGATTGATTGGCAAGAAGGCGAGACTTGAACCGCGTGGCGAATCTTTATGCGGGCTGCGGGGGCTCATATTCCTGGTGTAGGTGGCGTTGGAATTCAACCTTTTGGTTTGGGAAAGTGGAAGTTCAGTTCAACTTGAGCGTGTCAAAGAAGCATTCAGAGGCGGACGTGGAAGCTGTGACCGAACTCCAGCAGCAGAACGAGCAGTTGGCCGCATCCATGGACGAGAAGGCCCCCTTTCCTTTAGAAGAGCTGCCGACAGTTCATGGAGAGACCACCACTTCGCATGTCCCCAAATCAGAGCAAGATCAGGGCATTCTCAAAACGTGTGAGCGTTGTTGAGCAAGAACTGGACAGACGTTATTTGCTTAGGAGGTCAAAACGGTGCCGATCTTGTTTGACGTTTGCCAGCAAGAAATAGCCCATTGGCTTAGTTGCGGCATGGCCTGCACAACATTTGAGACGACCAACGCACGCTGAAGCAGAGGCATGAGCTTTGCCAATTGACGGTGCTGTTTCCAAACTTGTACTTTTGGTGGGGCCCAGGCAAAAGCAGGGGGATGTGCAACTTTCGCTAGGCTGATTTGGAGGCAGTGAGGAACATGCTGCAGCAGAACTTGCAGCACACATCCCAGGCCTTGACGGCAAAGGCGGGCAAGAAAAAGGTGCAGAACTGGCGTGTCCTATTCGTGTAAGCGATGTATATGGGGCTGACTGATGCTGCTTAGCCAATGTGGCGGGTCGCTTCTGTTGCAATGTGTTGGATGATTGCGTTTTTGTTTGGCAAGGCGGACGTGGAAGCTGTGACCGAACTCCAGCAGCAGAACGAGCAGTTGGCCGCATCCATGGACGAGAAGGCCCCCTTTCCTTTAGAAGAGCTGCCGACAGTTCATGGAGAGACCACCACTTCGCATGTCCCCAAATCAGAGCAAGATCAGGGCATTCTCAAAACGTGTGAGCGTTGTTGAGCAAGAACTGGACAGACGTTATTTGCTTAGGAGGTCAAAACGGTGCCGATCTTGTTTGACGTTTGCCAGCAAGAAATAGCCCATTGGCTTAGTTGCGGCATGGCCTGCACAACATTTGAGACGACCAACGCACGCTGAAGCAGAGGCATGAGCTTTGCCAATTGACGGTGCTGTTTCCAAACTTGTACTTTTGGTGGGGCCCAGGCAAAAGCAGAGGGATGTGCAACTTTCGCTAGGCTGATTTGGAGGCAGTGAGGAACATGCTGCAGCAGAACTTGCAGCACACATCCCAGGCCTTGACGGCAAAGGCGGGCAAGAAAAAGGTGCAGAACTGGCGTGTCCTATTCGTGTAAGCGATGCATATGGGGCTGACTGATGCTGCTTAGCCAATGTGGCGGGTCGCTTCTGTTGCAATGTGTTGGATGATCGCGTTTTTGTTTGGCAAGGCGGACGTGGAAGCTGTGACCGAACTCCAGCAGCAGAACGAGCAGTTGGCAGCATCCATGGACGAGAAGGCCCCCTTTGGAAGAGCTGCCGAGAGTTCGTGGAGCACTCAAGGAGACAAGAGACAAAACACAGAAATATGGCAGTGGGTCAAAACCAATGGTACCATTTTGGGGTAGGTGCGCCATCCATTTTAGAACCTATTTTAGTGGGGATTGGAACGTTGACTGGGGGTGCGGGCTGTTGACCCATGGCCATATGAGCTTTGTGGATAGCCTCTTGCAAATTGGCCAGGCGGATTTGGAGGCAGTGAGGAACATGCTGCAGCAGAACTTGCAGCACACATCCCAGGCCTTGACTGCAAAGGCGCGCAGAATGGGCGCTTGTCAGGCCAAGAAAGCCCAGCAATTTGCCGTTCGTAGCTACATCACAGGGATTGGCGCACAAACATTCAACTGCTTTTGTCTTGGTGTATTTCTGAATCCCGACTCTTTTTCTTCGTTGCGAATTGCGAGGCGGACGCAGAGTCCATACCGCTGCTGCAGCATCAGATTCAGCAAGTGGCCATGGACATTGTCCCGACCTCAAGCGACCGGTCGTGTTGGCGATGTTGGAGTTTTTGGGATATCCTTTTGCAAGGTGTTGGCTGTCACTTGAGAGTTGCAGGTTGCGAGCAACCCAGTCAATGCAGTTGTGCGACCCAAGTGTGCGCTGTTTTGGGCAGTGCGATAGGCCTCACGCAAAGCAGATTGATTGCCTTTGCGGTGCTGCTTGCCCAGAGAATTTTGTGTGGGCCAACTGCAAGATGAAGCCCCGTGACTGGCGTTGCCCGGAACCCTTTGGATTGTGTAACACCAGTGAGACTATTTCGTTTTGAGAGTTTTATGGAAGGCTTTTCGAGGATTGTGCGAATTCTGTGCTGTTTGACATCTATAGTGCAACTCTGGCAACTGCTTTGCGCTGGCGAAGCTGGCGAAGCTTGCCATGCTGTGCCGAAGACGTCGGCCGTATTGGACATGCTCACGGCTACTGATTGATGTGTTTGCGTGTGTGTTTGTTTGAAGGTACCCATGTTTGGATTGGTTTGAATGGAAGAAACCGTAGTTTTTGGGGCCCCCAATTGTCACTCGCCCAGCGAAGGCACCTTGTTGCCCTGAACCGAGGCAGCCCTGGAGCCTGCCAAGGCTGGAGCATGTCGGTGGATTTCGAGTCCCCAGTTTGGCTCCTTTGTTTCAGGTGGGCCAGCCAGCGCTTCTTTTGGGGTTTGCCCGCGGCATGTCCTATCAAGAGTTTCCCAAAGGTCAACCTTTTTGTGGCAGAGGCTCAAAGGCCCACCTCAAGCCCTTGGTGTCCTCAGCTTTCAAGCACCCAGCTTGGTGTCCTTCCCAAAGCTGCTTCAACCCAGGGGGGGCCCTGATGAGAGCCGAGTTTAGGGTCTCTGCAAGGCATATGAGTCACCAATGCTTCGTTTTCTGATGGGTTTCTAGAGGCTTCCACAAGCTCCCGGGACCGGGGACTGAGTCCTTTTGAGGGGAACCGAGCGCCTTGGTAGGACTCGGAGAAGCTGCAGGAGGTGATGGAGGCCCTGAACGCCAAGGCGGACGCGGAGGCCGTGGTGGGCCTCCAACAGTTCGTGGACCTGGCGGCGAGCGTGAAGACCAAGGCTCGGGCTTGGGCGTCCGCTTCCCGCTTTCCGCTTCCGCCGTCCGGCTGAATCTGTGTGTGCGCGTTAACTTTTTGCTTCAGGGGGGGGTGGTTTTGGGGGGATTTGGAGAGTGCAACAAGAAGGCAAAAGGAGAACAAGCAAAGGCGACAATAAGGAAAGGAAAGGAAAGGAAAGACATGGAAAGGCCACGGAAAAGATAGGAAAACCCCGGCCGTGCATCCAGTCAGCGGGTACTTCCAGCTGAGGCAGATGCCACCAGCACGCCTTCGCTGGAGCAGTTCCTAAAGCTGAAGGCCCTTCTCCGGGTGGTTGCCTTCGGTGATGTTTTTGGGGCCCTTGTTCATCCGTTGCTCCCAGTGTGTTGCTCCCTCCCCGGTGGTTCGATCACTGGCGGCCGTAGTTTCGCCTGCGGGCTGGGGCTTGCCAAGGCTTTGGGTTGTCCACAGCTTGATTTCATGCGAGGCAGAGATCGAGGACACTCCCAGCGCCATCGCTTTGGAGGAGCTATGGAATGCCGTGGATGGCAAGGCTCGCGCCGCATTCAGCTGTCAGCGTGCGACCTCAGCCAGAATGTTCCTTCAAGGGGGTTTTCCCTTATTTGCCAATGTCCGAAAAGGGTGACCGTGAGCCTATGGAATTTTAAGGGACTCTCGGCTCAAGTGGCCAATGATGGTGAGCCCCGCAGGCTGACATGGGCGGTGTGTTGTCGGCGCAGCAGCAGCTGGTGCAGCTGACTGCCGCTCTGGAGAAGAAGGTCGGAAGGGCTTTTCGAAAATGTGGCTGTGTGAGGGTTTTATTAAAATCCCCTTCCTTGGTGGGTGGCTGGAAACCAAAAGGCAGACGGGTCTCCGATTTGGACATGCCCAGAGGACTGCTAGCAAGCCGCATGAGCATGTCATACTGTTTTGAGCTGTTCTGGGGCTTTCAGTGAGCTTGGCGAGGCGGACATCGAGGCCATTCCCAACGTGCAGGAGCTTCTGGAGGTCTTGCGGGCCAAGGCACTGGTTTCGGCGGTTGCGAAACGGAAGCTACGGCTTGATTCCGCAGAAGTTGTGAGTGAATCAACTGCAAACCGTGGGGAATCAGGGTTGTTCCCTTGTTTTCTGCTTAGAACATATCAGACCGACCAAAAAGGAGAGAAGGAACCAGAGAAAGAGAGAGAGAGAGAGAGAGGGAGAGAGAGAAAATAAAGTCTGGTCTTGCGACTGCAAATGACAAAGCAACATTTTTGTTTATATATATATATATTGATAAATAAAGAAAGAGAGAAAGAACCGTGCCCTGGCAGGCAGACAAAGAGACGACCGCCTCCGCCGAGCAGTTGCTGGAGGTGTCCCACTCCCTGGCCAAGGCCAGGTCTTTGGGGGGTCAGGGCCCTGTCCCTTTGGTTTCCCTTCAAAGGAACTCCAAAAAGAGGTTCCTCACGACAAAGAGTACCACCAACGAACAACATTTTTGTGGGGCACCAAAAGGTGTTGTCAGTGGCTTCCGTGCCATTTCTCATATGAGGCTTCCATTTGGTTGACCTTGGTTCCACTTGCCAGATTCCATTTGGTCCATTTGCTTTCGCTTCCATTTGGTTTCATCCATCCTTTCGCTTCCCTGTCCCAGTCGCCCGCTTCCGTGCTTCCCCTCAGGCCGAGAGCAGCTTCGGCTCCCTGAAGAGCGAGCTGGAGGCCTTGAAGCAGAAGGAGACCGGGGGGGGCCGGAGATGCGCCTTCGCTCGCCACATGGTTTCTTTGTGGAAAATGGCGTTTGGATGCATGCTTTTTGGCGACTTTTGGTTTGTTCTTCGCATTTGGGTTCTACTCTTGGAATTGCCTCCGGGGTTGGATCCGCAAAAGCCACATCCAAACTGTTTTGTGGAGTTGTGGGGTGTTTGTGGGTACTTTGCAATGGGTCGTCTTCTATTTCCGCCTAGTGGTTAATGGCTCTGGATTGTGGTCGGTTTTGATGGGCCACTCTCTGCGAGGAATAGGGAATCGACGACTTGGGCAGCAGAGAAGGGTTATTTTCCACAACCATGACAAGAGCTGCTTGCTGGGCATGGACGGTCAGCGACAAAAAGGGTGAATCTCCAGCAGGTAAGCCCGACAAGGTGGTTCCACTTCGCTTTTCCAGACATAGAACAGAGAGGCCCTTGGTGGGACCCAAAAAAAGGGGGCGCCTTTTCAAGTGGTCACCAAATGGTCGACGGTTGTTTTGGTTCGCAGACTTGGCTGACATTGATTTGACCAAGCCAACTGCACAAAGACTTTCTTTAAAACTTTGCAGGTTTTGTTGCGCTTTCTTGTTTGATTCAGACTGGCTTGCTCATAGAAAATGAATGCTTCCCCCCACCAACTAGGAGTTCAACATTCCGGAGAAGCCACCGACCAATTGCTTGCGCCCATGCAGCGGCAGGCCGACGTCGAGGACGTGCCCAGCCTCAAGCACCTCAACGAGTTGCGCATCGCGGTGGACAAGAAGGCAGCCGATTCGCCGACGGAATGAAATTGCGCACGTGCCCAAATGGGGCGATCCACCAAAAAGGTGGTTTGCCAGTGTTCTCCTCAAAGCAAAACCAAGCTGGAATCCTGGAACCAACCCAACAAGGGACCCTTTAAAAAGAACAGGCATTTGGCTCCAGAAGAGAGTTGCGCATGGCTTCTGCTGCTGTTGGGCCAGGTTTGATACGATTAAAGCGTTCAGGTCACTGGCAGGGGCGACTTGCCAGGCGAACGCAGAGCGCGTCCCCACATTGCAGCAGTGGCAGGAGCGCGTTCAGACTGGGTGGGGGTTCTCCAATGTAAGTTGAAAGGTCGTTTCCCTGTAAACCGCATTTTTTTTTGACTTTATTTAATAAATACATGTATTTTTGCTCAATGAGGATGTGACCTAGGTTGACCCGTGCAGTTGCACGTGGAAACTCGGCGTGCTGCACGGACGCCGCGAGGAGCTCCGCAGCATCGTTGCACGGAAGGCTGGGACGTGGAGGGTGCTTGGGGCCTCAAGCCAGGGGCATGTAGCACAGATCGGCCCAGAAACAAACCTCACAGTGCGTGCCTCCCGCAGATTCCTTTTTCATTGTTTCCATCTGTTTCTTATATATATATATATATGGTACCCCCCCTAAAGAAAAGACACACACACACACACACCAAGGTTTTGTCTGAAATCACTGGTATTTGCGGTGTTTTCTGACAAAAACCTGCATCTGCCAGAACACTCATTTTTCAAGCCATTTTCCGCAACTGCAGAAGCCTCTCATCTGCCAAACCCAGCCCATACTGCAACCAAGCACTATGCTTGCATAAGGGCATCTCTTCAAGGAAGCTCTTTGGAAACTGAACAAAACTGGAAAAAACTGAACAAAAACTGAAAAAAAACTGGAAAAAAACTGGAAAAAAACTGAAAACACTGAAAAACCAAGGATTTGGAGGGACAGCTTTTTCAGTTTTCTAAATTTTTCAATTTTTTCCCAGGTTTGCTTGGCATCTGAGCAGAACCAAGTCCATATTTGTAGCTGTCTGGCTCCAGCGCTTCCTTACTCCTCTTCTGCCCTTTGTTCTGATCCTGTCCTAGCATGGCCAAGCAGCCTGAGGATATGACCTTTGATGACCTCAAGAACGCATGCGACGCATTCGTATTTTCTGAGTATTTTTCTGGTATTGCCTGGTGACTTGTCAGACAAATTGAGCCTCGTATTTCCTCAGCCTTCTCCTAGCATTCTAGTATGCTCCTTTAGTATTCCCCAGTCTTCCTTGAGTATTTCCCTAGTATTGCCCTAGTATTCCTTTAGTATTCCTTTAGTATTCTCTTGGTATGCCCCGAGTATTTCCTAGTAAGGGAAGGGAAATACTAGGGGAATACCTTCAGTATTGCCCTAGTATTCCTTAAATATTATCTTTTTTACACCCCTAGTATTCTCTCAGAATTCCCCTAGTTTCTCCCTGTGTTCACCTTCAATATTGCCCCAGTTTTTCTTGAGTATTTCCCTAGTATTGCCCTGGTATTCCTTTAGTATTCTCTTGGCATGCCCCAAGTATTTCCTAGTAAGGCAAGGGAAATACTAGGGGAATACCTTCAGTATTGCCCTAGTATTCCTTAAATATTCTCTTGGTATACCCGCAAGTAGTCTCTCAGCATTTTCATAGTATTCTCCTAGTGTTCACCTTTAATATGCCCTAGTATTCCCTGAGTATTTCCTTAGTATTGCCCTATGATTGCCCTAGTATTCCCCTATTATTGCATTAGTATTCAGTTAATTGAATAGTCTCGTGGTACACCCCTAGTAATTCCTCACTACCCCATAGTATTCCCTTGCTATTCCCCCTAGTAAAGGGATGGAATTACTAGGGGAATACCTTGAGTATTGCCCTGGTATTCCTTAAGTATTCTGTTGGTATACCCCTAGTTTTCTCTCAGTATTCTCCTAGAATTCTTTCGGTATTCACTTATAGTATTTTCCTAGCACGTCCCTAGTCGTGCCCTAGTATTGCCCTAGTCAGGAAGCCTGAGAGAAGTCTGTGAAGTTCTCAGCCTCGTGTGTGTGAGCCTCTTGTGTTTGCCTGCAGAGCCACAACCTCGCACACGCTGTTCGCCGTTTTGGTCCGAGGGATCCCTTTAGCCATTTGGTCTTTGTACTTTAGCTCGGGGAACCCGAGCATGCCATGGAGTGAGAAGCTGACTGGTTGAGGGCTTGCTCTAAACCCCCGGGAGCTCTTAGGCTCCAACGTTGGTAGCGGAGCCCGGCGAACCAGGCAGGAAGATCAGGGAAGCGCCACACCACCCAGAACATGGCCGCCATGCAGGCGAAAGAGTTCTACGTGACGTGGGACGGAGATCCGGCCACTTGGGCCGATTACACACGCAAGGTGCGACTGCAATGGGAAAAGACTCCCTCCTGGAAGCGACGCCATCTCGGACCCGAATTGGCACCCCGCCTGACTGGGAGAGCATGGGCCGTGACCTACAAGCTTTCGCACGAGAAGCTGAGCAAGAAGAACGGCACGAAGTACTTGCTTCGCTATCTGCAAGATCGACTATGTCGAACCCCGGTGCCTGATGCCGGAGCAAGGTTGGAGGGCTGGGAATGACCATGAGCCAATGGTCGAATGAGGTGCAGGAGGAGTACCGCAATTAAGCGAGCCTTGGTCAGGGCTCGCAAGATGGAGCCGAAGAAGGACCTCACGAAGGCGATCTTGGACAAGAGCACCTCATCCAAGTCAGAACCACATGGAGAACCTCAAGAGAGGCGCTGGATCTCAAGGAGTTCGGACGCCCTCGATGATCTCAGCCTCGGGAACCGCCACGCGGACGCGCCAGTTCAAGAAGGAGAACCGGTGGAGGAAGAGGAAGCCGCGCGCGACCTTCATGAAGCTGAACATGGTGAAGATTGGAGAAAGTTTAAGAAGTGGAAGCAGTCTGGGCGCGCGAAGAGTCACCAAAAAAATAGCGGAGATGATCGATCTTCGGGAGAGAGCTTGAGGTGGAGGATGTGCAGGTGCTCCCGGACGAGGTTCTCGGGTGGCTCCTGCTGAGAAGAGCCAACCTGAGCTCTTCGTCCGTGCAGAACTCGCTCTCCTTCAGGGCCATTGAGCGAGCACTTCGAGACCAAGAAGAAGAGCTACTTCATGTGGATGCTCATTGGCCACCTCAACAACAACGGAGACGGACCTACTGGGTCGAGGAGGAAGGCGCGTGGGGCTTGCCCAGATGACGCCATGGAGGAGTTGAGCGGAGAAGTGCACTGGGTTGGAGATCGGCTACCTGCTGAAGTGTATCCTCAAGCAGCGGAGGAGCGCGTCAACGACAAGGTCTACTGGTCCTGGGATGATTCCGGGTGGGGCGCTACCTGCAGGATGACTATGGGTACTGGGTGGAGACGGACGGCTATGGCACATTCTGGGCAATCTGAGAGAGACATCCCCTCTGACCTCAACCCGGAGTTGCTGAAGGAGCAGAAGGAGCTGGACGACCTTCGGTAAAGGCAAGGGGAAGAAGGGCAAGCAAAAGGGCAACTTTGGGAAGGGCAAGGCTATGCTGGCTGGAAAGGTTCATCTAGCTCGACGAGCACATCAACCACCATGGGCAAGCCCTCGAACGTGCTGGTGACGGAGAGTGCCCTGGCGGTGAACGGTTACACAGGTTGCTTCATCTGCGGAGACCGAAATCATGGTTGTCGTCAGTGCCCGAATCGGGCAAGTGGATCAGGGCAAAGCTCCGGAAAGGGGAAGAACATCTTCTGGAGCACCACCGTTCCCTCAGTGATGAGTGATGAGCGGACGAATCTACATGATCACGGAGCACGACGAGGAGAAGGTCTTCGTGGGAGGCACGGACATGATGATGGATGATCCTGAGCGACCTGGAGGAGTTGTTCTGCCGGTTTTGGGGTGCTGGACATCGGTGCCACCGAGACGGTCGGATCCCTGGAGGCGATCAAGAAGCTGTGCCAGCTGCGAGGGCCGATCACGCCAAGGAGATCAAGGTGATTCCACATGGCCAGAAGTCGTTCCGGTTTGGGAACAACCAGGTTCAGCGGTCAGAGAGCTACATCCTGGTGCATCAGCAGGTTGGACAACAGTGGTTGCAACTGCACGTTGGACGTGGGCCAGACCCAAGTGAAGACGCTGACCAAGCTGGGCGCGATCTTGGATGTAGCAGGCCAGTGGATGGTTTTGAGTCGTGTTTGCCCTAGACTGAAAGTCCCTTTGAGGCGAAGCGCGGCAGGTCATTTGCTTGTAGATTGGACGAATGACTGGATGGTGAGCGGCAAACCCTTGCCCGAACCTGTTTTGCACCTCACACATCCGACCGAGACAGCACACATGGTGCAAGGGGAGGGTGGAGCTGTGACAGACCTTTATGCCTCTGAAGTCATGGTCTGTGGCCTTGAAGATGAAGGGCAAGTTCAGGTTTTGGAAGGTGACGGGAACCAGGTGACGCAGGAGTACATCGTGTTCTCCAGCAACCCGGAGGACGCAGAGCACGAGGCAACAATTGTGCGCCAGAAGAAGATTCCATCGAAGAAGGGGCCGGACCAGATGTCAACTACGCCGGGCCACAAAGCCCGGAAGGCGGAGGAGACGGAGGACCTGGAATATCAGGAGCGCTCAGAGTGATGAACGATGAGGAAGAGACCTCGAGGATGTCGATGAGCCACCGGACGCGAACTACCACGACGTGATGGTGAACATGACGCAGGGGGACAAGCAGATGGTCAACGAGCAGTACAGCCACTACCTCGACGCCATCAAGGAAGCCTGGTCCATGATGGGCACGAGAACAAGGGTGGCATGAAGGTGATGGAGCTGTGTAATCCGTCGGTGGGACCATCGTTAGGTGCGGCCTCCTCAACAACTGCGACATCATGAAGAGGGCAGGCTACGCGAAGGTGGAGCAGCTCATTGAGAAGGAGCGACCAGACATCCTGTGGTTGTCTTGAATCGGCTGACTCCGGAAGCTCGCTAGAAAAGCGACAAGAAGATGACACTGGCAAGACGGCGAGCTGCCCGTGGAATCTCTCGTGGAGAAGCAGATTGAGATGGGAGGAGAAGTTCTACAGGAATGGCCCAAAGAAAATTGGGGCTGGGGATTTGCAAGCGTCCGGAACTTCTGGAAGCGGCGACATCGTGAACGGCGGTACTTTGAGGCCCAGGTGGATGGATGCGCGTACGGCCTCGTCATGGAGGGCGAGATCATCAAGAAGCCGTGGATCATTCGTGGAACCTCACAGTGGGTATGGAAGCTGGAGAGGAAGTGTCCGGGAAACCACTTTCATGGAAAATGTGAAGGTGGACTTCGGACAAGGAGTTCGGCGCTGTACCCGGTGAGGTTGTGTCAACGGATCGCGCGCGTGATGATGGGCATCTACCGGGACAGGAACAGGGAGGTGGACGCGGTGATGGCCGCCGAGGCAGCAGATCTGGACCGTTCCTGCTTGCAGGGGATGACGGATCAGGAACTGGCAAAGATGGGTCAGGACTTGATGCGAATACATCGACGACTTGGTCAATTCAGCCGACAAGCCTTGATGCGGATGCCCGAGGAGCTTCTCAACAGCTGCTGGTGATCGCTAAGAACATGGTCTGCGAAGACTGCCAAGAAGCTCATATGCCATCTGCAAAGCGAGCGGCCACGATAGAGGTGGCAAGTTTACCACTTCCAGTTGATGATAGATGAGGCAAGCTCCTTTGCGGTGGTCGTCTACCTGTTCAAGCACAAGGTGACAGAGGGACGGAACGCCGCCTTGGAGAGTCCAGAGCAGATGGATTAAGTACTTTGGGTACCCGGAGAAGATCAAGCTCGACAAAGAAGGAGCACGCTGGGGCACCCTTCTGGCTGAACGGGCAGATCAACATGGAGTGGAGGTAGAGCGTGGCGTTGGAGTGCTGAAAGACAGGATGATCAGACATCTGCGTTCCAGTGAAGGAGATCCACGAGAAGCAGCCTGGGCAATGGTGACTGCCCACAATGGACTCGCCCGGGTAGGTGGATACTCTCCACAGCAGTGGGTTTTTGGACGAAACTTCACTGACGCAGATCGACTACATGATGGACATGATCTACCTTTCTGGTCTTCGGCGAGTTCAGATGAACGGACGCGGAGGACATTGGAGATCAGAATGCAGGCAACGGTGGAGGACAAGATCTTGCGGGCTTGGAATTCACAGTCAAGACCTGTGGTAAAGTACTACCCCGGGGACCTGGTCTTCTACCGGAGGTTTCAACAGCCTGCAGATGCACGAAGCCATGCTCGACTTGATGTCCCTCGTCTGCGTCTTGCAAGGTGGTACGGACCTGCGAGGATCCTGGCATTGGAGACTAAGGTGACCTTCTTGGGAGAGATCCGGCAACCGCATCAACTGGCTGGGATCATCAGTCAAGGGAGACTGAAGCGAGGTGTCCTTCAACTCAGACATGCCTCCGAACGTGAAAAGGTCATTGCAGAAGACGGCCAGGTGATCACGACCCCGTGGACGTTTGGTGATGTAGGGGGCCTTCGTAGAAGACCGAGCTCTACGCAGAGAACAGAAGACAGATGACCGAGGAGCCAAACAGCAGCGACGGAAGTTTGGCTTCGCAGATGGAGAGCGTGCGAGAAGGTGGAAGAGACAGAGCGGTGAAATCGGCGGAGATGAGTCTCAAGCCGACGAACCTGCGAGAAAGGAGAGAGAGCCTCCAGCTTCACGGAGAGACCGAGAACGGCAGAGGACTGAGGAGGAAGAATTCTTCCGGGAGATCTTTGGAGAGGACAAAGATGTGGATGGCGGTTGCTTTGTGGACGATGCGGATTACCTGCCAATGAACGCTATCCCTACATCTACCGGAGGACCGTCCTCATCATCGGGTCTGCCTGAGCCGATCCAAGATGGAGGTGAGCTGCTGCGGAATGAGCTATTCCAGCGTGCGAAAAAGAGCATGTGATAAGAGAGCAACCTGAGGCAGAGCGATGTCCTGGCCTTTGTGTCGGAGCTCCAGGAGTCTGAGAACCTTGTTTTTGCGGTGATCCTGCCATGGAAGGCCATCGTCAAGGACCGTCAGAAGTTCATGGTGAAGAAAGTCGCAAAAGGTGTGGAGGTGTGCTGGCAGAGGCTTTCACCCGAAATCAATGAGTGGTTGAGCAACAAGGTGGTGCGGGCTGCGATCGGCAACGTCCCACCACATCGGCTGATGAAGATGAGATGGGTTTTGACCTTCAAGAACGGACCCGAAGCAGTGAAGGCGAAAGCTCGTCTGGTCGTGCTCGGCTATTCTGACCCCGACGCCGGTTACCTCAACACGAAGAGCCCAACGATGACAAGGAGGAGCAGACAGCTACTTCAGATGGCTGCGCACCGAGGTTGGCGAGTGACCAAGGCCGACGCCAGAGCTGCTTTTCTTCAAGGTGGAGAGACCCAACTTCAGCGACAAGTTTTTGGACTACCGGTGGAGGAGCTGGCCACGGCAATGAATCTCCCAAAGGGGCGTGCGGTTCAGTTTCTCAAGGTGACCTACGGACTCACGGTGGCACCCCGAGAATGGTTCTTGAAAGTGGACGCCATCCTGACGGAGGTGGGCTTGAACAGATTGAAGACGGAGCCGTGCGTGTGGAGTCTGAAGGTGCCGGACATGAACCGGGAGGATGGAAAGCAGCGAGTGCTCGGGCTGATTTCTGCTCACGTGGATGACTTCCTCATCACCGGAGATGAGAGCGATGAGCGATGGAATCAGGCGGTGAAGCAGTTCCATACGGCGCTCAAATGGAGCCCGTGGGAAGAAGCACCGATGATGCACTGCGGAGTTCAACTGCAGCAACTCCCAGCTGCTGGATCAGGAGGAGTACTGCTCCTGACTTTCCCAAGTCACCCGAGATGGTGCGGGCAAGGAGCTCACGGAGAACGAACGATCTCAGGCTCGTGCGGTACTAGGCGCAGTGCAATGGCGAGTTTATCAGAGCGGACCTCAGCATGCCGCAAAGCCGAGTCACCTTCAGAGTGTGCTTCCAAGAGGATAGCGCCGTCCTGGGTGAGATCAACAAGCTGGTGCGAGGTCTATGGCCAGAAGGACACCACCCTGCGGATCTTCAATCTGAATGCGAAAAATGAGGACGACCTGGTGGTTGTTGGATGGTCAGACGCGGCGCGCCAACTGAGTGGACCTGGCGTCAACGGCATGTGTCATGCGAGCATGCTGGATGGAGTCCGGGGACTGGTGAGCTTGACTAGCTGGTCCTCAACGAGGCTCAAGAGAGTCTCCCAAGCATTGGCGGAGACTGAGCAGGAGGTGATGTTCATCCGAACTCAGTGGAGCGAGATGAGTGGGTTCCCCGTGCACCTGGCCAAGCCGGAGGAGTGCGCCAAGAAGGCAAAAGGAGTGCTGGTCGTGGACGCGAAGGCACTGTATGATGCGGCCAGCAACAGCGAGATCCAGACATCCGCCTTCAGCGCGCGGGAGAAGTACACCGCGCTCGAGCTACTTGGACTGGTGGAGAACATGGGCCGCCAGGACACGCAGATGTGATGGTGCGACAGCGACGCCCAGTTGGCAGATGGGCTGACCAAGCTGAGCGCGCAGGACAGAGTGCGGAAGTTTCTCCAGGCTGGGCAGCTGTGGAATCTGGTGCATGACGAGAAGTTCGTCAGCGCCAAGAAGAAGAAGAAGCAGGCACTTCTTCGAGGCGAAGGAGAAGAAGATGGAGCGGAACTTCGGGACCGTTCGTGGCGAGAACTTGTGAGCCGCTAGGATGAGTCTCTTTCGGCAACAGCCTTTGGGGCATGTGAAGTTCTCAGCCTCGTGTGTGTGAGCCTCTTGTGTTTTGCCTACAGAGCCACAACCTCGCACACGCTGTTCGCCGTTTTGCTCCGAGGGATCCCTTTAGCCATTTGGTCTTTGTACTTTAGCTCGGGGCACCCGAGCATGCCATGGAGTGAGAAAAGAGCGGCAAGTCAACTTGCTGACTGGTGGGGGGCTTGCTCTAAACCCCCGGGAGCTCTTAGGCTCCAACAAAGTCAGACAGATTGAGCTTGAGAGTATACCCCTAGTATTCCCTCAGTATTCCCACGTATTATCCCAGTATTCACCTTTAATATTGCCTAGTATTCTCTGAGTATGTACCTAGTATTGCCCTTGGTATACCCCTAGCTAGTGTTCCCTAATTATTTCACTAGTAAAGGAAGGGGAATATTAGGGGAATACCTTCAGTATTATCTAACTAACTAGGCAGCTAAATAGATAACTAACGGACTAGCCAATTAACTAGATAACTGGCTTCAGAGCCCATTCATTACAACTATTTAACTGACTAATTTGCTGACTTGCTGACTGGTTGTTTGACTAACTAATTGAACTTGCCTTGGACTTACAAAATATGTGTTTCGCAGAGGCGAAAACACACATTTTTCGCAACAGTAATATTTTTCCCAGTGATTTTGGCTGTTCTTTTTTTTTTTGGGGGGGGGGTTGCATACATATATATATATATATAATAATCAAAAAACCAGAGCTCATCCATGATGGGTCAACATCAGCGTGACAATCCGCCCAATTCAGAGGCGTCATCCGGGAGCAAAGAAAGCGCCAGGCAGACACATTGCGAGTGCCGTCAAACCAGCAGTTCAAGGAGCTCCAGCAAGTCGTGAACAGCATGAAGGCACGATGCCGTGTGTATTTGAGGCTTGTTACCTGAGGTGGGCTTTTTTGAGGGAATCCAAAAGGAAGGACATTTCTAGGAGGTTCCCTTATTTTTGACCCGGGATTTTCGCCGTACTCTCCCAGACCAGTTCGTACCCAGAGTCACACGGAACCCCAAAAAGGTTGCCTGACCATGGATTCCCGTTAACAGGATGTCGTCCTCGCGGACGCCCAGACCGGCTTTGGGCTCGGGGTTCTGTCTGGATGCCAGGTCTCCGTTGACACCATGGTGACGCCCGAGGAGGCGGCTCCGTTTTAGCTGCACCGCTGTTTGCGGAAAGTGGAAGATTTGTTTTGTTGGCTCGTTCGTTTGGTCCACAAACAAGAGTAACAAAGTAGATCTATATACACATGACGCGCCGCCAACAAGCGTGCTAAACGACTCATTCGGCAGGTTGACTTGGAAATCGGAGGAATCTTTGGGCTGTGAGCTTTCGAGTGTTGACCTCTCTGGTTGCCTGTGAGCCTTGAGCTTTCCCTGAGCAGTTTTTTTTTTTCTGCCAGGTACATGAACACCTCAGTCTCAAAGCAGATGCGAGCGGTGTTCCCACGCTTCAGCAGTACCAAGAGCTGCTTGGCTTGCCGTTGGGTTTTATTGGGATGGCCTGAGATATGGGGGTGTCGTGGTTGTTTCAGAATAGCGGTCCCAAATGATTTGTTTTTTCTTAGTTCGCTTTCAGCACATACCCTACGAGGGATCCGCCATTTTGAGAAACTTCCATACTATCTCCCAGATCTTCATGCGACATCATTGCTTTGTTGATTTGGCCATGGGTCAAAATCCCGTACCCCCATTGAACATCCCAATCCCCACTAAAACAGGTTCTAAAATAGGTGGTGCACCTACCCCCAAAATGGGATCGCATTGGTTTTGACAACCACAGCCATTTACGATTCGCCGCGGTGTCCTTCCAGGCTCCTGGCGATGATCAGTGCGAAGGCCAACGCCGCTGCCCGAGCGTGTCAGGATGTGTGCGTGGCTCCTCACAGAGGAATCGAACTGGTTCCTCTCAAAGGGCTTAGTGAAGCCAAAGGGAAAGCACTCATGCCCGAGGTGCTGGATTTTCCCTCGCCCCCTGTTTTGCTTGCCCGAGGTAAGCGAAGTGCCGACGAAGGACGCCATGGAGTTCGAAGTCGGTTTGGGTCGAGGGAATGAACGTGACGGTGGAAGCGCCCAATCCTCGAGACCACACCCCGTCAAGGTAAACTCAAATGATCAAAGAACCAACATGAGTAGGCTTGTTTGGTAATATCCGGAGGTTCCCCCAAGTTTCCTGTACGGGGTTGAGGGGTCTGTCGGAAAGCTGTTGAAATTCGGGGATGGGTTGGTTATTAACACAGTGGTTCCAGCACTTTGTGTTGTATGACCTCCGGCTTTGCGATCTATGTCACCCTTGGCGACGTGGTCGTCCCCCTTGTCTTCACATATATATACTTTAGAGCCTCCGGCTCAGTCCGCCGACATTGTCCTCCCCCTTTTCTCCTTCTTCCTCTCTTCCTTGTCTCCCTTGTGTGTTCTGTCGTCCTCTCTCCCTCCCTCTGCTCCCATCCTCCCCATCCCCCCAAGCCTCTCTCTCCCCACTTTCCCTCTCTCGTATGTATGCATGCATGTACATATGTATGTATGTATGTATGTATGTATGTATGTATGTATGTATGTATGTATGTATGTATGTATGTATGTATGTATGTATGTATGTATGTATGTATGTATGTATGTATGTATGTATGTATGTATGTATGTATGTATGTATGTATGTATGTATGTATGTATGTATGTATGTATGTATGTATGTATGTATGTATGTATGTATGTATGTATGTATGTATGTATGTATGTATGTATGTATGTATGTATGTATGTATGTATGTATGTATGTATGTATGTATGTATGTATGTATGTATGTATGTATGTATGTATGTATGTATGTATGTATGTATGTATGTATGTATGTATGTATGTATGTATGTATGTATGTATGTATGTATGTATGTATGTATGTATGTATGTATGTATGTATGTATGTATGTATGTATGTATGTATGTATGTATGTATGTATGTATGTATGTATGTATGTATGTATGTATGTATGTATGTATGTATGTATGTATGTATGTAATGTAATGTATGTAATGTATGTAATGTAATGTATATGTATGTATGTATGTATGTATGTATGTATGTATGTATGTATGTATGTATGTATGTATGTATGTATGTATGTATGTATGTATGTATGTATGTATGTATGTATGTATGTATGTATGTATGTATGTATGTATGTATGTATGTATGTATGTATGTATGTATGTATGTATGTATGTATGTATGTATGTATGTATGTATGTATGTATGTATGTATGTATGTATGTAATGTATGTATGTATGTATGTATGTATGTATGTATGTATGTATGTATGTATGTATGTATGTATGTATGTATGTATGTATGTATGTATGTATGTATGTATGTATGTATGTATGTATGTATGTATGTATGTATGTATGTATGTATGTATGTATGTATGTATGTATGTATGTATGTATGTATGTATGTATGTATGTATATGTATGTATGTATGTATGTATGTATGTATGTATGTATGTATGTATGTATGTATGTATGTATGTATGTATGTATGTATGTATGTATGTATGTATGTATGTATGTATGTATGTATGTATGTATGTATGTAATGTATGTATGTATGTATGTATGTATGTATGTATGTATGTATGTATGTATGTATGTATGTATGTATGTATGTATGTATGTATGTATGTATGTATGTATGTATGTATGTATGTATGTATGTATGTATGTATGTATGTATGTATGTAATGTATGTATGTATGTATGTATGTATGTATGTATGTATGTATGTATGTATGTATGTATGTATGTATGTATGTATGTATGTATGTATGTATGTATGTATGTATGTATGTATGTATGTATGTATGTATGTATGTATGTATGTATGTATGTATGTATGTATGTATGTATGTATGTATGTATGTATGTATGTATGTATGTATGTATGTATGTATGTATGTATGTATGTATGTATGTATGTATGTATGTATGTATGTATGTATGTATGTATGTATGTATGTATGTATGTATGTATGTATGTATGTATGTATGTATGTATGTATGTATGTATGTATGTATGTATGTATGTATGTATGTATGTATGTATGTATGTATGTTGTGTATGTATGTATGTATGTGTATGTGTATGTATGTATGTATGTATGTATGTATGTATGTATGTATGTATGTATGTATGTATGTATGTATGTATGTATGTATGTATGTATGTATGTATGTATGTATGTATGTATGTATGTATGTATGTATGTATGTATGTATGTATGTATGTATGTATGTATGTATGTATGTATGTATGTATGTATGTATGTATGTATGTATGTATGTATGTATGTATGTATGTATGTATGTATGTATGTATGTATGTATGTATGTATGTATGTATGTATGTATGTATGTATGTATGTATGTATGTATGTATGTATGTATGTATGTATGTATGTATGTATGTATGTATGTATGTATGTATGTATGTATGTATGTATGTATGTATGTATGTATGTATGTATGTATGTATGTATGTATGTATGTATGTATGTATGTATGTATGTATGTATGTATGTATGTATGTATGTATGTATGTATGTATGTAATGTATGTAATGTATGTATGTATGTATGTATGTATGTATGTATGTATGTATGTATGTAATGTATGTATGTATGTATGTATGTATGTATGTATGTATGTATGTATGTATGTATGTATGTATGTATGTATGTATGTATGTATGTATGTATGTATGTATGTATGTATGTATGTATGTATGTATGTGTAATGTATGTATGTATGTATGTATGTATGTATGTATGTATGTATGTATGTATGTATGTATGTATGTATGTATGTATGTATGTATGTATGTGTATGTATGTATGTGTATGTATGTATGTATGTATGTATGTATGTATGTATGTATGTATGTATGTATGTATGTATGTATGTATGTATGTGTATGTATGTATGTATGTATGTATGTATGTATGTATGTATGTATGTATGTATGTATGTATGTATGTATGTATGTATGTATGTATGTATGTATGTATGTATGTATGTATGTATGTATGTATGTATGTATGTATGTATGTATGTATGTATGTATGTATGTATGTATGTATGTATGTATGTATGTATGTATGTATGTATGTATGTATGTATGTATGTATGTATGTATGTATGTATGTATGTATGTATGTATGTATGTATGTATGTATGTATGTATGTTGTATGTATGTATGTATGTATGTATGTATGTATGTATGTATGTATGTATGTATGTATGTATGTATGTATGTATGTATGTATGTATGTATGTATGTGTATGTATGTAATGTATGTATGTATGTATGTATGTATGTATGTATGTATGTATGTATGTATGTATGTATGTATGTATGTATGTATGTATGTATGTATGTATGTATGTATGTATGTATGTATGTATGTATGTATGTATGTATGTATGTATGTATGTATGTATGTATGTATGTATGTATGTATGTATGTATGTATGTATGTATGTATGTATGTATGTATGTATGTATGTATGTATGTATGTATGTATGTATGTATGTATGTATGTATGTATGTATGTATGTATGTATGTATGTATGTATGTATGTATGTATGTATGTATGTATGTATGTATGTATGTATGTATGTATGTATGTATGTATGTATGTATGTATGTATGTATGTATGTATGTATGTATGTATGTATGTATGTATGTATGTATGTATGTATGTATGTATGTATGTATGTATGTATGTATGTATGTATGTAATGTATGTATGTATGTATGTATGTATGTATGTATGTATGTATGTATGTATGTATGTATGCATGTATGTATGTATGCATGTATGCATGTATGTGAGTATGTAAGTAAGTAAGTAAGTAAGTAAGTAAGTAAGTAAGTAAGTAAGTAAGTAAGTAAGTAAGTAAGTAAGTAATGTAATGCATGTAATGTATGTACGTATGTATGTATGTGTGCATGCATGCATGCATGCATGCATGCATGCTTACATACATGTATGCATGTATGTATGTAATGTATGTATGTATGTAATGTAATGTAATGTCATGTAATGTCATGTAATGTAATGTAATGTAATGTACTGTAATGTATGTATGTATGTATGTATGTATGTATGTATCCTTGCACTTCCCCTTTGCTCCCCAGTATTTCCCGCAAAAAAAACACGGTTTTTCCAGCGTTTTCGCAAAGAGGACGTCCAAAATCATTGAGTTTTTCCAGATTTTCGGCAAAAGGATGCAGGAAGCCCAAGCCAGCAAAAAAGCCGGCAGGGGGAATCGAGCCTGGGACCCCTGTTTTGCGACACCGGCTCCCCGAAGACTACGTTTAGTGGAACGTCATCAAATTGCCGCGCGGTACGTGGGGGACCCCCCCCCCCCAAAAACCTACGTAATAGACGTCGGGCGGGGGGGGGTTAGGGGGGGGGTTATCCTCTATCCTCTAGTAAGTATCCGACACGCCGAGCAATGTCGGCGGATATATATTATATATATTCACACATGTATATATAATATGTATATATATATATATATAATATGACCTGTGGCCCATGCTGACGTTTGCTTCCTTCTGACCTGACGGAAAGCAACGAGATTTAAGGAGCAGTTCGATGAGCTCCGCACCCCGAAGCGCATGCGCCTCTTCAGTGGGCCAAGGCCTCAGCTTCCGTGGCATGTTCGGGCCTTGGCTTGGGTTTGGTTTGGATTTTTAAAACAAGAAAAGAGGTATCACACAGTTTCTTGTTTTTGCCTGCCTGTAGTGCTTGACATGTAAGGGACAAGGGAGACCAACCTGCTTGTTTGGCTCTCCCAGGTGGCTGGGAACAGGCGGGTGCGTTTCAGCGCGTACGGCAGGACATGTACAGGGCCAGTCTCACATTTCTTTTTTTGGAGTGGTTTAGATATCAGCTGAGCTATACCAAGGGCACATATAAAGCTCCGTGCCCCACGCTTTGTGCGATGTGCAGTGCGTGGCAGGGGAAGAGAAGAAGGCCCCGCAGGACTCCCACTGCTCCATGCCAAGTCCGGGCCATCCGCCGAGCGCAGGAGCTCACGCCGAACAAGAATGTGGCTGCAACGCCTGAAAACAAGTGAGGGGCAGCGCGCTCGCTGCCTGAGAGCTTTCCCAGCTCCGGATAGCTCGCTTTTTCAATGAAGTTGCTACCATCGTGGCTGCCAGCATGTTGGCCGCTTGCAGTGAGAGTCTTAGCGGCCCATGGCTGTCCGTGCCAATGCTAGCAAAATGCCGTAGGCGCCCGAATGTGCACGGGATTTGTGGCCGTGCACAGAGCTTCGGGAAGCGAATTTGACAAACGCTTAATTAGTGGCTTGCGCCTGCTTGGTGCCCCAAACTCGAGCTCTCTACATCACGCTTGAACTCTGAAGCACCAAATCAGGCACTGCGAGCAATGTCCCACAGCTGGCATTGCTGGCAGTACCAAGCTGCTATATGCATTGGCACGTTTTGTGCACATAAGGCAAATGCAGACAACCCGCCTTCATGTGCTGTTTTCAGCTTGTGCCTGACTTGTACATAGATGCGATGCTCATCCTTTCTGGATGAGATGCTGCACACTTGATGATCAACAGCTTTGAGTCTCCTGCAATGCTCTTACAAAGGTTGACGTTTGGTGCGCACATCTGACATCGACCCTCAACTTCTAGCAGGCATGCGGCCAATGGGTTCTCAGCTCGAGTGGTGCAAGAAAGGCCTTTGCGTTTGAACAGCTGAGCAACCTGGGCACTGGCAAGCCTGCGAGATTTGTCAAAATCCCTGAAAGCTGGCACGTGCGAACCGTCTAGACCATATGCCGGGCTGGATCCAACCCCAGCACGCATGCCTAGATGGCTGGTGGAAGAAAATGGACCAGTTTGCTTCTTGGTCTGCTGGTAGCCCGAGCTGTTTGCGTATGTTGCCTGCTGGCTTTGCCTCCGAGCTGGGCTAAGATCAAGCAGAAGAGAGGGGTCATCTGTGGCCCGGACAATGCGAACGAAGCCAGTGTGTCGACGTGCCCTGACGGAGTTGAACAGGAGGGGGATAGTACTGGCCGTCCAAGCCTGTATATCCATTTTTTTAGAACTAAGAGTTAATCAGAGTTAATGGATTCTGGGCGCTGCTCAGAGGCGCTTGCCTTAAACCTCGTGCGAGGTATCCTCCTCACTGGAATGCAGACAAGGTGCCAGACCACAACACCAGGACAGTCGGTGATGGTGTAGAATACCAGCACGTGCATGCGTGGTCCAACAGTAGGTGCAGCTAGCCTTGATTTAAGGCCTTTCAGATTTTGAAGGTCCCCTTCAAGGCTAACTCGCAAGAGAAGCTTCAGAAGGCCCGCCCCAGCATCTTACCTTCTTGAGGCCTGAGATAAGCGGCACTTTTCAGGACCGCACTGAAGGAGACCCGGAAAGCCGAGGCGAGTGTCTCACGAACCCGATGTCCAAACATGTCCTCTTTGGGGAAAGTGGGGTGCCCCAAATTGGTGCCCCTTGGTGTCTCCAAAATGGACTTCCCCTTCGGGTGTTCCCAGGCTTCCACCGCCTAACGGACGTTCCGAAGTCCCCCTCCAGCATTTTTGTGACAAGACTACATGATGTCAAAGGAGAACTCGCTGTATGGTTGTCGTGTACTTTAAGCGGGGAACCCAAAAGCGGGGGGAGGGGGGGGAATACATCCGCAAGTTTTGTCACACCCGCTTTGGGGAATTTCGGGAGGAGTAGAGGACACGTCACCATCTACAATTCGGCAATCATGTCCTGATTAAGGGCAGCCTTTGCAGCTTCGGGGAAGCCAAAGGGAAGCCACCTTTTGTCTTTCTCCCCCACATACCCAGAAATGGATTCCGGTGTCCCCTTCCACCAACCCCAAAAAAGGGTACCCGCAAAAACGGACAGACCCATGCCTCCATTGGACTCGCGGAGGCCAAGGGTGCTGGCCTGGTGAACGGGGAGAACTGGGCCGCGCGCTGCGAGCCGGTTGCGGGCCCAGGTTTGTTGGGTGGCTCAAGCGTTCGGGGCTTCCCAGGGTCAAGGAGAACTTATGAAAGACGTCTGTTGAAGTATGGGCCGGAGCTGGTTTTGGGACCCTTTGGTTTTGGAGTTTGGGTTTGGAGTTTGGTTTTGGTTTGGTTTTTGAGAGGAAGGGAAATGCTGTGGGTCAAAATAATGGGTACCCAACATGGAAACATGGTAAATGGAAACACGGACTCAAATCTGTGGTCCAATTCCAGTGGTTCAATTTTGACCCATACCCAAATTGGCCAATTTGTTTGTTGGTTTGTTTGTTGGTTTGGAGTGGGTTTTGGAGTGGCGTTTTGGTTTTGGTTCTTGTTTTTGAGAGGAAGGGAAACTGGGCCAGTTTGGGGAGAGGGCCCTCTCTTAGTCCAAGAAACGCAGGTCAAGGAGAGGCAGCCGCCGAACCATGAGACGCAGCCCAGAAGCTGCTGCGGGCCTAGAGACGGATGGTTTCATTGCCACACTTTTGTCTAGACTGTTTTGCAGGGTCAAAATTAAGCCACCAGGGCAGATTGTAGTCCATGCTTGCATTTACCAGGGTTCCAGTTTGGGTACCTATTTTCGACCTACTTCCATGTTGCTTTCGCAGGTATTGGGAGCTTTGACGTTTTTTTGCTTGTATGCCCTTTTCCTCCATTTTGGCTTTTAACGAGCAACAGGTTGACGTGCCTGAGTCCAAGTCTGGCTGATTTTGGGGGGTTGGTGCAAAGGGGAAACCAAAAGGAAACTGGATCCCATTTCCATTTCGTTCCCTATTCTGAGCCAGATGATGTCAGATTGAAACTGGGTCAATTTTCCTCACGCCAGCATCCCTTGCTGAAGTCTTAAGTGAGGCGCACCGACTTTCCACCAATGCTTTCTTGTTTGAGTGTTTTCCTCTTGGGTTTCCTTGTCGTTTTTTCAGAAACCAGAGGGAAGCAACGCGCGTTTTGTGCGTTGATAAGTGCTTGTGCATTGTGAGGCCCCATCAGCCACATCCGCGAGCGCGCGGAGGGGGACCACCAGCTTTCACGGGTCCGCGGCGGCTTGATGCCCATGAGCTATCCGGTGAACCCCGAGCGCGAGTGCAAGACCCCGGGGCTGTCGTGGGGGTCACAGGAGGTGTGTGTGTGTGTGTGTGTGTGTGTGTGTGTGTGTGTGTGTGTGTGTGTGTGTGTGTGTGTGTGTGTGTGTGTGTGTGTGTGTGTGTGTGTGTGTGTGTGTGCGTGTCCGAAACTACTATTTTTTTTGAGGTTGGTTTAAAGGGTCATGGGGGTCACAGGATGTCAGCTGGGATCTCCAATTTGTTTTCTAACCCACCCAACCCATCCTGTCCTTTGCTATCCTATTTGTCTATCTCTCCCTCTCTCCCTATTGGTTGATCCGTACGTGTTACTTTTCATTTGTGCCAACGAATCAAACGTTGAGCCAGGACCGTTGGAATGGGACGGACAGAGGAGCCGATGTTCCGAACGCGCAGCCAGCCGGGTGCCCAATTCCAGGGACAGCCAACTTGCAGCTGGCTTGTGGAATGCCAGCGGAGGAAACATCTAAGTTTCGACGAATTGCGCTGATGCGCACGGGAGAGAACACCCAATGCTTCCTTCAACCACTCAAAGGATCATCAACGACGCTGAGGGCTGCTATCTGGGACCCGTTGGGGCTGGATCGAGGCTTTTGGAGACGAGGAAGGAGCTGATGAAACGGGACAACGAGGACCTGCGAGCAAAGTGCGGCGAAGGGTCCAGGTGAAGTTGCGCTTTGGTCTCAGCCATTCGTTTGTCCATTTGGGCTATAGAAATTGATTGGTGCAAAAACAAGTGGTTCCCCGGTCCGAGACACCCCTGCTGCCGGCGGCTGGTAGGGAATCAGTTTTGCGTCTCCAGTGGCAAGGACCTCAGGGCCATGGGCGATGTGTACTACGTGCCCCTGTCCATCCGCAACGGAGAGCAAGACGCCAGGGCTCTGGAAAAAAACCGAGAGGCACTCCCTGCAATCTTTGAGCTCCCACAGACCTCTATTTGAGCCCAAGAGGGAACGCACATTCAAACTGGGCGGAAGGCTCCTCGCAGGTTAAAGCCAGTATTCGGTTTCTGAGCCTGGCGTCGGCTTCAAGAAATCCCTAGAATGTGGCCCACGAACTGGGGGGAAGCCCCCTGTTGTCCCAAAATGTGCAGTTTATGCCCCCCCCTCTCGTAGATGAACTTCAGGGACAGCTCCTGAGTCATTCTGGTTGCTTGGGTGCCAGATCCACCAGGTTTTGATTGCGACTCAGGTGGTGGAGCATAACTTCAGGGAGGCCAAGGGCGACCCGCAGACTCTCACGAAGCTCAAGGACCGGTTGATGGAACTGGGCATAGTTTTGGTGAGCACCAAAACGGCGCCTCCCTTTCTTTTGTGGTGCTTTCATGGTCTTGTTTTCCCTTGTGCTGTCCACGGCTCTTTGACAGGGGGACCCAAGTATCCTGCTTGGGTGGTCTGGTCCATCTCGTTTGCAGGACCAGCGAAGAAAGGACAAGGCTGCAGTGTGGTGTCTTCTTTGCGTGGGCTTTGAACCGAAAGAGGTGGGTGTCCTTTGGTTTCCGTCTGATCCAACCCGACATACCCTCAAACAACTTCCCATGTGGATCGGGATCGGACCAGCCTTTTGACCTTGGGCAGATTGAGTACGACATGAACCACTTCAGCTTCCCGCGAGCTTTCCCTCGCGCGTGCGCAGAAGATCCCTCGCTGCACGGGGTCCACATATTGAGAAGCAGAGAAACATCCTGAAACAGCCTGATTTTTGAATGTGGGTTTTGGGAGTGTTCGGATTTCATTAGATGCTGAACTTGTGGGCCTGCTGCTAATGCACAGGCAACTAACTGAGAACGAGTGTTTTTCCGGACATGCCAGTATTCCGGTTCTTTGGGTGACTTTGCAAGAGCCCCAGTGTTGAAACCCACAAAACAGGGAGGGGTCAATTTCATGCTTGCATGATCTTGCATGCGGAGGTATCCAAAGTTCTCAGATCATCCAGACATACCTTTCTGGGTGCGGTGCTCAGATCATAGCCACTCCTGGGACTCAAAACCGCGGTGAATTGAATATGCACCAACCACATCCCTCAGGCCCCGGAAGTGGTTTGGTCCATGGGTGCGCAATAGCCACCCTCGAGCCGTGCGACTCTTTCCGAGGTGTCGGATCAAGACAGCGCTCGGGTGGGCTCGAGTGCGCCACGGGCAATGCCGAGGCCGAAGCGTTTCAACGGTGGAAGAGGGGGGATCCGGTTTGCCCAACCCGACCTGTTTTGTGAGGACATGTCTTAAAATTTCAATGTTGGGGCTGGAAAGACCCCTGGGTGGAAAATGGGAGAGGGGTGTCACGGAAGCTTACCCCGTCCCCCCAAAAAAGGAGGCTGCAAGATAGAACCTGAATGTCCACTGTGCCAGGCAGGGGTCCTTTCGAGAGGGAGAGAACCATGAGTCCAGGTTGGCTATTCCTTCGGGAAATAATCTTGAAAGTGATAAAGTTGTCGTGGGGATGGAGTCAGAACGCCAAACCAGTATCACTGGCGCTTTTTCTTGCAAGGTCCCTGCGTGGCCTTCCTTGTTTCAATGTGGATAAGCACACAGCCACCTTCACTGGAGAACCAAAAACATCTCAGCGAAAAGGGAAGCTCCAAGTCAGTCGGGTCAAAATCTCTCAGCTTGTCTCAAGAGCCAAAGCCAACCCCCCCCCCCCCCCCTCGGCGCGCGAGAGAGCGCGAGAGAGCGCGCTCGGAGGACGGCGAGCGAGCCCACCTTCAAAGTCACGGAGGTGCCCTACGGAGAAGAGCCCAGCCAAAGCTACGAGACCCTCCCAGGAGAGCCAGGGATTGGCCTCGGGACCACACGCCCATTTGACAGGGAGGTTGGTCCGGTGCAGAAGGACATTTTCAAAAGGACCTCTCTTGCACTGCGGTCGTTTCCCATATCCAGCAGGAAAAGTCGACTGGTTCCCCCTGAATCCGAAAAGGCCTCGCAGGCGGAAAGGCGAAGAATCACTACAGAGCTTGAAGCGGTCGAAGATTTTGGGACATCAAAGAGTAACCCACTTTTTTGGTTGGATTCCGGGGTCACACTGTGGAGCAAACCAAAAGGAACGTTGCTTGGAGAGGGCAAGCCCCGCTTGGGCGCGTTGCGTGCGGCAGACTCGGCGAAGCATCTGGCAGCCGGCAAGCTGACGAACAAGCAGGCGCGAAGGAAAAGCAAGGAGGCCACCTTTGCCAACCAAAAAAGGGAACCACCACCTCCCACTTTCAGGTGTTCCCCTTTTTTGGACGCCCCATTTTGTTTTGGCTGTGGCCATCGAAACTCACTGAAGCTAGCCGTGTCCAGGATCACAATTGGACTTTTGTGTGAGTTGGCCCTGAGGTTGCTTAGCATCCTGGCTATGAATCTTATCAACCAAGATGGTTACCATAGATTTGCATGTAAATCACACGGGGGCCGAACTAAACCGCAGCTTTGGGCTGGACGTCGCGCGACACTTGGTGTTCCTATCGCCGCAGGTGGCGATCGGCAGCAAGACGGTGAAGCGCTGGTCCACCGACATGCTGGAGAGGGGTCAGGCCGGAAGCTGATCTCGGGAGAGCAAACTGGAAGGGCGTTTCAGAACAGAATGAAAGGAGCACTAGAGAGCACCTACCATCCAGAACAACTGCGAGAAGCATCCTTTTCTTGCTGGGGCTGGTCAGTTGTTCGATAGCCATGTTTGGGGGCTAGAGTTTCAATGGGCGTGGCGCAGATGGGCGGATTCAGATGCGATTGAGATTGTTCACATGCTTGTCTTATCAGCTTCGAGCATTCTGCCATTCATCCACCATCCCCTTCGAAGCCAGCCAGATTGCTCGTCGCGACCTGGGGCCCCGCCTGCACAGTACCAAACGAATTTCTCTGTCGGGTTTGGGGTAAGAGGACAGCTTGTCCCCCATGTCCGTCATGGACCACAGGCTTTACATTTTTGGCAACGAAGCAGGCGCGGAACCAGCCGCGGCTTTTCGACAACATCCAGGCCGTCCAGGGCCCTAGCGACAGACTAGGACTCCTCGCCATGTGTTGCATGCCATGGTCGAAAGAATCATGTGGTATGCTTGGGGTTGGGACGGTCGGTCGACCCTTAAGGGCATTTAAGGTGATGGGGGTTTTCAGCGTCAGGGTTTTTGGGGCTCTTGCTCCCTTAAACCAACCCTTAAGGTGTATGGTTAGAGCATAAGGATTCCTCTAAGAACCATCTCAAGATGGCCCACTCTTGGGGAGGTACCATGCCGGTCACGCGTCGTGTCGACATCCCAGGTTCGGATTGGTCCGAAAGACCTGGAGCACCTGGACTTGACGTGCGCCCGATGCGAGCGAAATACGGGGCCAGACTGGCCGAATGGAAGTTTCTTATGTCATTGGGATGCCGTTTGATCAAACTAGGGGCGCCTCCAAAATGGTCAAACCAGGGGCACCTCCAGAATGGTGGTTCCCTTTTGGTGTTTTCTTTTCCACCAGGGTACCCCATTTTTCGTTCCGGACCGGGGCACCCCTGGTCCGGTTTCGGGCGGAGCGCCCCATGAAGCGACGCGTCGCCAGGTCCTCCCTGGAGCCGGTGCGCAACGCCGCGCTGCGGCGCCAGGCCGAGGAGCGGAAGCGGGTGCTGCCGGCGCGTTTGTTCCAAGCGAGCGGGGAGGTGGGGAGAGAGAAAGAAAGAAAGAAGGGAAGACACAAAGGAAGGAGGGAATGAAGAAAGACAGAAAGGAAGGAAGGAAGGAAAGAAGGAAGGAAGGAAGGAAGAAAGAAAGAAAGAAAGAAATAAAAATGAGACATCCCCTCACATGGGGTGTGTTTTTGTTGATAGATGCCCTTTTCAGTCGGTGTAAAGGGAAACAAACAGGACAACCACAATGTTTGGGGTTGGGCAGGCAAAGTTTGGCTAGTCATCTTGCCCCTCATCGCGAAGTATATTCAACAATACGTTTGTTTGAACACTAGTGGTTTCAGCATGCTTCAAGCGACTGGGCGTGCAGAGAGAGGAACCGATTCTCACCAAGCGCGTCCCTGAAACCAGCAGTCATTTTGTCCTTTTTTGCTGATGGGTTGTTGTCGAGACTGGCGATGTTTTCCCCCTTTCCCGTACTATTCTTCGTCACGCGTGTTGAACATCGGCGAACAGAGCCTTGCCAGATGGCTTCAATGCCGAAGCGCAGCCGGCTCTACGCGGATCCGAACGAGGCGCATCGGGAGAAACCCAAGTGCCAGGGCAACACCGCTTGCAAACCGGGGCCGGTCAACCCTTGAACAGGGGCAAAACAAGGCAAAATAATGACATACAAGGAGATTTGATCACGTCTGCGACCCCCCCCCCGCAGGTTGATGGGGGATTGTTGCAACTCAAACCAGATAGGCCCCAAAATAAGTGCCTTGAGCTTCCTTTGAAACAACACTCCTAAGTGGGAATCGCCAAAGGACACGGTCAGCTCCATGTCAATGCTGTGACCTCAGGAGCCACCACAGATGTCTTCACAAGGTGGTCGCGTGAATCTGGCTTGTTTGACCCCTGTCGTGGTTCGGTGAGTGCGGCATGCAGTATATGCGGTAAACAGGACAGCTGAGTTTGTTTTTGGCCGAGGTGATAATATGTCAATGGAATTCTGGAATGTTCTGAGCGATGGCTCACCCTTCCTGTAAATCTGGGATTCCTTATCCATTCCAACCAGCAAGCAGTTGCGCCCATGTTGGTGTGTTTCACAATAGGGGTAAAAGAAGGACAGATTCGCGGGTTTCCTCTCGGTTTCTCTTTGCTTTTCACCCCAAAAGGGGGACCCCTTCGCCTCAAAAGATGCACCCGGCCCGGCCAGGGTGGGTCCTTCATGGAGTCCTCCGACGGCTCCCCGCCCCGCCTGGACCGAACCGTCAAGAGCAAGGAGCCCGCGGGCGGATGTTGGGGGGTGGCAAACACATGGGCGGGAAGGTGAATAGGGAAGTTCTAGTAGGGAAGTGGTCTCACCTCATAGTGAGACAGTCCATTTTGAGAAGAACACCAATGTCCCATTCTTTTTTTGGGCTTGAGGAAGAAGCACATGTATCCCAGTTTGGGGGGGTCTGTATTCAGCCCTTTCCCTATTTTGAGAAACGCCCACATCCGAATGGGCCATGAATTTCAACTGGTGACGTCCACTACCACTTTTGATGAATTTCTATCTCTTATCATTCATAGCTAAATGTCCCCAGCCTTGGATCTCAACTGGCCCAGTGAACAAGGGCAGGGCAGCCAAGATCACACCAAACAGTTGCTTGTTCGGAGCAAACTTCTGACCTTTGGGACGAATGACTCCTTGAACCTCTTTGGAAGATGACCCGATCAAGCGCCCAGCAAACAGGGAGTTTCGATGGTGCATGGGTTGAACATTGGCTCCAACAGGCAATGTGCTTTGGTTCTTCGTTCAAATGAGTTCATGTTTCAAAAGTTGTTTGAACGTTGGGCAGTGGCGTCGGGGGCACTTTCAAGAGGATTCCGAAACACTCCGATTGTCCACCTCCTTGATTCTTGGAAGGAACACAGTGGTTTTGACATCAAGCTCCCATACCTTAGACCTCTAGATGCATGGAGTTTAAAGGGATGTATGACAAATCCCACTCAAAGTTTTAACTCTTGGCATGGGATCCACGAACCACGACGAAGCCTTGTTGGGGATTGAGGCCGTGAATGCCCCGATCAGGACCCGCCCATGTCTGCGACCTCTGCCGCCACGAGGAGCCGAGGGGTATAGTTTTGGCGGTGCCGATTCTATCAGACACACGTTGACAGGCAGGAAGCGCAACCTTTTTCCTTGGAACATATTTGATTCATTTCAAGATGTCAGAATCACATCATGATCAACCGCACCTTCAAAGGAAAGCCACGCGCCTTTTGTGGGCATCTTTTTGAGTTCCGACGTGGCCCAGTCGATGGCGCAGGTTGCCGGTCCGGCGGCCCGAGCCGGTGAAGCCGCCGATCCGCGCGGCGGCCTGGCGCTGGCGGGGGATTTTTCATTTTTCTTTGAGAGTGGACTCAAACAAAAACCACTGGGGTTACGCAGGTTTTAGTCTTTGGGATGGCGCAGGGTTGAGTCTTTGGTTCCATTTGCCGAGATCTTGGCACATTTTCTTTCAGACCCACAGCAGTATCGGCGATCGGCACCCATTTGGTTGGGCTTGGTTTCAAACCAAGCAGAAACCCCCCCCCCCTCCCTGCTCACCACAATTCCATTTCAGTCAAGGACACGGAGACACTTTTGGACCTGAATCGCCAGGGATCCACGAGCCGGCATGGAAAAAGAACGCCAAATGAGGGTGCCACGGGTGGAGGGCCCCCATTTGGCTTGGCTTCTTCTTTTACCCGGGCAGGGTTGGGACTTTTTGACAAGGGGGTGGGTGCTCTTTCTCAGTTGAGTTGGGCTATTCGGGTTCCAAGCCTTTGCTTCAACCGGCTGTTTCACCTTCCTTTTGATTCCTCAGGTACAGTTGGGAAGTCGATGTCACCTTCCCGCTTTTTTTTTTTAGCCATCTCCCCCAAGGAGTTGTCCATCTCGTTCCGGGCGATTTTTCTTTTTTAAAGCTCCGCTTCGCTGGCCCAGTGCTGGACGCGCCGAAGGAGCCCAGGCCCGAAACGAGACGTCGAGCTGCGCGCGAGTTGGGCTGTCTGTTGACTCGACTGGGTCTCGTGAAGTGGTTTCATTTGGCTGGTCAAAAATATGGGAACCCCAAAATGGCTTGGTAAATGGAAACATGGACTAGGAAATCTGCGGTTTTGTCGGGGTTTCATTTTTGACCCATGCCCATTTCAGAGATTCGCCCAATGACTTTTGTGGGACCTGGTGGTTTCCCTTGACACCACCACATGGATTTAGAGGATGTCGATGTTCGGGCGGAATGCGGAGCTAGATCGGTTCGGTCAGTCACCTCAACAGACCCAGTTCAAACCAAAACGAGGTTGTTGAAACAAGCCCGGGGTGCCAGGACCTTTGGCACCATCAACATGACCAGACCGCTGCAGGCGGGGTGCAAAATGGCACGTGAGCAGTCAGTTTATTCAAGCAATCCTACTTACCCATTGAAGCTTGTCCTTTGGATTTGTTTCTTGCCCATGCGCCCCGATCACAATCGTGGACCCCTTTTTGAACCTCCTCCTGTCTCAGCATGTCACCATGTTTTCATTGGGGAACAAGTGATTTTGACCAGGTCTTGACATGGGTGTTTTGTGTTTTGAGGGTACATTTGGGGGTTGGTTTTAAAAGCACCAAGAGGCAACCACTCGTTTGGGGGGTCCCCTAATCTTGATCACGTCCGGTCGAATTCTTCGGGGACCTCGAAGCGAAGGCGGGTCCGACCGGGGTCCGCAGCGGCGGCTTCCAGAACTTGGACAGCTCGCCGGGGCCTTTGATCGCTTTCGGGCCAATCCTCTCCAGGAGGCAGAAAAGGACAGAATGGGAAGGACGGAGTCCTGGAAAAATAGAACCAGCCCCAAAAATAGGACCAACCAATCCTAAGACTGAGCATTCTTGGAACCAACCTTAAGCCTGAGAGAGGAATATTATGGCATACTGAGTTCCGCTTGGACCAAGCCTTTCCTTGGGAGTTTGATGGGATGGACGTCTCAGGTTTGCCGGCCCCAGCTTTCAGAGCTCGAGGATGAGGCCTTCGCAACGTCGTAACCGGGCGTCCGGTCCAGGTTCGTGGCCAAAATTCGAACCCATGGAAGGCCCAGATAAAAAGGTGAATCAATGTATATGATACACGTATAGATTAATCGGGCTAGCTCACCCTCAGAAAAGCGATACCCTGATTATCATGGCACTCCTTTGCGTTTCCGAGGGCTTTCGGGTAGACTTTTCTGATTTCGACTCAGCTTAGGCCAAAGAGCTGAGGTTGGCTTGCTCGACGTGTGGCGGGCATCGCGCTGCCGCGTTTGGGCTCGCAGCCACAACTCTTGAGACCGGGCTGAAGAAAAGCGGAGCCATGCGCAGCTCGCGACTCTTGTGCCTTTGCCCGGCCCACAGCACCACCGTGTCTGGTGCCAAATTTTTGGACCCCCCTCCAATCGGCGGCATGAATTTCTCTCCCTGCAGAGTCACATGGAACCGACACAGCCATCATTGAGGAACCGCCCATGTCGATCTGCAGGGGAATACTGGTGGGGACGCTCTGAAACATGGTGGGCGGTTGCATAAATCCCAAGAAGAAGAGTGGCCCGAATGAGCCGCAATCAAAGCCCAGATATGGGAATTGTTACTAAGGGACAATCCCCGTGCCGTGACTACGTGCGGATATCAACAAGCCCTTTGATTGTGGTGGGATGAGCACGGCTGGAGCATTGTCAAAGTTTCGTTCCTTGTTTTGTCCGGAAGACCTCAGCACTTGTGCATTCTGCTGTTTGGTTTGGAGCGGGAAGCCAAAAGGAAAGCCGCCTCTTTGCGCGGGTCCAAGCCCGTTTTGACACATGAGGTTCGGTCAAAATTACTGTTAGTCTATGGTCCATTGGGAGGGACATGGGGGACTCACTAAATTTCCCTACAACAACCAGGGGACTCACTAAATTTCCCGTGTCCTCTTAGGGGAACAAGTAATTCTGACTGTGGCTCACATGGCCAGATGCCCCAAGGCTTGGCCTTGGGCGCCTACCTGAGCCTGAACCTGTCAGGACCCGCTATCGCGCGGAAGGCTACCATTGAGCTTCAAGCGAAGCTCAAGACCCAAGCTCCTTTTGGGCTCAAAACGCAAGCAGGGCTGTTTTTGCGTCCCGCAGCTCCGTGGCAAGGACTCCTGGGCTTTCTGTCACCACGCGCACAGGCTGCGACTGCACCGCGCTTGAAGTTGCGCTCGAAGTTGAGGGTAGGTCTGAGTTTCCAGTCAGGGACCTCTTTTCCGGACTCGCTTCGGCCTGTGATACAAGGCCAGTTCAATGTCTCCATGCCTTCTTTTCTTCTGAGCAAGAGTGGTTTGGCTTCCAACGAACTGCTTGGCGTTTCTTGCAGTGAGAGCATCGCAGTCAGCGCCAAGCAGGATTTGAGGGGCACATGTGGGGTTGGGTGAATGCCAGAAGTCTATTGTTAATTTGGGAGGGACATGGCGGACCTCATTATTTTCCCATGTCCTCCTTAAAACCATCGTAACTTTGACTGGGGCACATTCGCAGATGTATATGTGCGGTTGCCCTGCAACATTTCCGGGGCAATGTCTCAAGCCTCGGTCTAAGGCCGCAACTGTGGTGTCGTGGCCTCAGCGTTTTGGGGTCTCTCAGATCCACTCTGGGGTGATTTCAGAGCAGCTTTCTGGAGGGTTGGTTCGGGGGCTGTGGATGATTGACGGGACACCGGTGGATATGAATTATCCAATATGTTGTCGACCAAACGGTCCAACCAATTGAAATGTATTGGGCGTAAGAACCCTCCAGTCTGTTGGTTGAACAGTCACCCAAGATGGTGCGCATTCGATGGGTTTGCCTACGGATGCGGCAAGTGCCTGTAAAAAGTCATGGCATCCCTTGTGTCTTCCTTCAAACCCAACCCGGCCATGAAAGAAAGCGACAACATCCTTTTTCCGCTGTGCAATTCCCCAAATAACACAATGACTGAGCCAAGTCTTGCAGTGCATTCTATGTTGCCGCAGCTTTTGAGGGTATGTTATGCTAGACAAACTTGGACTTCTGCCATTTGCACTGCAGAGCCTCATTTGCCCTTCTCGCACTTCAGAGCTTCTCTTGCTTGGTTCTGGGCATTCGCCTGCGGCGTCTTCACCGCCCTGATCCTCAGCCCTTCTCTACGATTGTTCCTGCTGCGGCTTCTTCAACTCACTGTTGGCAACCTGGACGCCGGCCCTGGCCCTGGCGTGCACCGCCTTCAGCGATACTTGCATTAACGTGAGGGCTGGGCTGTTTCCCTTTGCGCAGCTCGACAGGCGCAGCTCTGGCCAAGCCCGGCTCAGAAAGCGCTTACTGTGGTTGGCTTGCTTCTACAAGGGAATGGCTGCAACTGCAGGATGGGACAAGGAGCACGACAAACCTGGAAGATGAGTACATCTTAGCAGCACGCTTTAGCAAACTCCTGAGCGCAAGCTCCTCATTGATGCTGTCCTGGTTCAATTGCTTGAATCTGTATTGCAAAGCCAGCGAGAAAGGAGGAATTTCAGCAGAACGCGCTATGTGCTCAGTTGCAGGCGCCTTTGTCTTCAAGCAAGGTAAAAGTCTAGCGACAATCTCCCGGCATAAAGTCAGGGGGTACCTTCCAGAAAAAGCCGCAATAGATCCGCCAATAGCAGGGCTCTTCCCAAAAACTTCTTCACAGCTGGGGGTACATTGCGAAAGGAAAAGGGAAAGCTTGTCATATGTAAACCTTCCTTCAACTGCAAAGTGGGCTCCACGCCGGGGGCAACTGCAAGCGCCTGCCAGACTGAGCAGCTCGTCCCTGTTGCAGAGCCACCCGCGATGGCTTCTCGTAGGGCCCCAAAAGAACAGAAACAAAACTGGACGCTCCGATACCCCCGCGCAAAAAGGCGCCGGTACAGCTGAAGGTCATACATTACCGACTCAGCAGGCTGCTCGGATGTTCCGATAACATTGTAGGAAGCGCGCAAATGTAAAATGGAACCAGCCCGCCAAGCCAGGGTGTTTCCCAAACGAGTGGCAGGGCTTGACATGTGGAAGCCCGCAGGGGAGTTCCTCAAACAGGGGGGCAACGTGAGCCTGCAAATAAGGCCAATAGCCGCAAGAAAGGTGTCAGGGTTCAGCATGTCTCCAGTATTTAGGAAGCCTGGGTGGCAAATAAGACCGAGCTTGGAAGCAACAGAAGTGAGATTTCCACAGCGCTGGTAGACCTCCAGAAGATCAAATAAAAAGCCTTCAGCAACAGGCTTGTCAATGCCTAAACTTGTGAAAGCACCATCTTGGTCCTCAGGAAGTTCCCCTTCAAGGTTGAGCGTCGCCTGCTGGGAAAAGAGTTTCGTGTACCATCCGCGATGTTCTGCAGCCCGAGTGAGACTCAAAGTGCAAGCCGGGCTGGCCTCGGCGCTTGCAACTCCAGCGCCGAAGAGCGAGGCGTCGGAACAAAACATCTTGCTGGCTGGTTCAGCTCGCAGGTTGGTGCCCAAGAAAGGAGCCAGCAAAATCAAGCTGAGAAGCTCTTGCTTTGCGGCGCTGCTCAAAGTAAAAACAGCGTGCTCGTCTAGGCCTTCTCCTTCGTGAAACACTGCTGATAAAAGATTCAAAGCAGGCCACCTGAACAAGCAAGCTGCAACCCAACAACCTACGACACTGCTGAGCAGCTCCCGTGTCCCACAACCAAGCTGCGCCAGCCGCAAAGTGAGCTCGCGCGACTGTGCGGAGTTGTGGAGATTGGATCCAGCCTCTGATGCCTTCAATTTCGCCGCCAAGCACTACCCCTTCACAGGCAGCCTTCTTGGAGCGGTTCGCGACCCAGGCTGAATGAGCTTGCTTGGCTTTGGCAAACTTCTGCAAATCAGTCCGGTCAGGATGAGGCTGAGTACATCGCTCGCTACAAGGCGCAAGCAAAAGGAGCTGCAACAGTTCTGAATCAGGTAGGGGGCGCTTGTAACAAACTTGGTGACGTTGATGCAAAACACCAGCGGGTGACAGCAGGACTGTGTGAACATGTTGGGCTAGTTCCACAGCATTGGTAACACCCATTGGTGGCGACCGGAAACAGCCAACAACTTTATGGCCATGAAGTTCTTGCTGATAGGCGTTGAAACCCAAGAAGTCCGACCCCTTGAAAACGCCATGGATGTGATTTGCGTCAGCATGTGAATCAGGCGCACGAAACGAATGGTAAAAATCCTTTAGGTCATCCGAACCCATCACCAAGTTGAAACCTGGCAGGATGTAGATCTCGGTGAGAAGGCTGGCGTGAGCCAGAGAAGATGTGTAATCGTTGATACCAATGGTGCGACTGTACTGTGGAATAGGTCAAGATTTGGCGGTCCACATTCTTGTAGACTGTGAAAAGTCCACACCTATAGGCGGCTTCTGAGTCAGAGGCTGCAAGAAGCTTGAAACTGCGCGCGGTATCCCATTTACGATACAACTGAAAAAGCTCCCGCCGGCTGGCAAGTGCCCGAGCCTGTCGCGCTCTGGGCCAAAACTCCTGAGGCTTCCGCAGCAGGAGGGGGTTTTGGGAAACCTGCCTTCAAAAGGGGGTCCGTGATGAAGGGCTCAGGATCACAACTGGGCTCGTGGTCAAAAACCAACCGGCAGGATTTGACTGGCGTCGCTGTGCTAGAAGGTATTGCGACCGAGGTGGGGCCAAACCCGGAAACACCATCACGGTGAAGAGCACGCTCAGCGGGCTGGCCGCAACGGTCCACGTGTCTTGAGGGCCTTTGTCTATAAGGCTGAATCAGTGAAACAAGATCAGAAGCCACTTGAGAAAGCCTCGTCAAAGCAGATCCCATAGAATCGTACTTCTGCAAAAATCTGTCAAGACCGCTGCTAACCCCTTTGGCTAGGCGGATCCATACCAGGGCCTGGTCCTCAAGACGGTCAATCATTTCATAGGCAGCTCGCTCAACAAAAGACATCGAGAAGGTCGGCCGCTCGCAAGACAATTTCCCAAGCCGATGAACAGCCTGGCACTTCACGAGCGTCTTTCCTCTGACTCCATCTGGAGCGGCGCCAGCCGCCAAGCCTGCAATTTGGACTCTGCAGAGGTTGGGCATAGGACAAGGCCACAGGTCGGTGGAACTGCGAAGGCCGCAGCTCGGTAACGGTAGTGCGACTTGTTGTTTGAGAAAGCCGTCCCAGAAATTTCCAGGGAAGGGTGAACATGATGTAAAGGATTGGAAGCGACCAAAAACTGGTCTCCCTGTTTGCAATATTTTGCCTTGTGGCCTGAGGAGCTCATTGCTCCGGGCTTAGAGCTTCGCTGCCCTTGGCTTTTGGAGCGCCTCGCCCCGACCCTTGCATTTGGGGCTGTGCTGCTTCTCCAAGCCGCTGGTGCTGCTTGGTGCCATGAAGTTGTGGCCGGTCAGAGCAGCAGTCTTCTCTTGGATGTCTCGAAGGTAGCCCAGTTGCGCTGCAGTCGGCCAGGGTGGCGTGGGCTTGTTCGGGACGCCCTGCGCGCCGCGTCTCCATCATAGCAAACGTCCCCCCTCTTGCAAGCCTCGAACATCTTGGCGTGGTGGAAGCCCATGTACGTCAGGGTCCGCAGTGTTCCGAACGGTACCACCTCACTGAAGTACTCGTAAGCGTCTCCGGGAACAAGTTTGCTTGAAGACCCTTTGCGCCGAGCGGTGGCAAGCCTGGGCCGCACCGCCTCGTAGACCTTGTCGGGGTGAAGCCGGAACTGCTCTGCCAACATCTGTCGAGCTGCTATGCCCTTCACCGAAGCTGAGCGAGTGAAAGGATCGTTCTCGCCCAGCTCTCCACCCGCGCTCAGCAGCAACTGGATCAGCTTCGTTTGCGCTGCAAGAAGCTTTTCCAGAGTTCGCGCTCGCCCGCGGCGGCCTCCTCTTCCTCCTCCTCTTCTTCCTCGAGCGGCAGCGCCCTGACCTCGGGTGAGGCTGCTGCTGGCAAGCTTCGGCACCTTTCTCCCAAGTCGCCCTGCTTGCGCAGGCGTCAGCTGTAAGCCCGACTTGCTTGCCATCTGCGTACATCTGTGGAGACACAGCCGCGTGGGATTTCGCAGCCGGCGCTAGCCTCTGGTCGACCTTGTCCAAGCAACCCAAATGGTTGCAGCAGGGCAAGCTGAGTGGCAGCTTTGACCAACCCTTGCCAGGATGAGGCCAAAGAGCGGCCCCTTGGTTGAAGCCAAAGTCGATGACTGATTGGAGATCCACGCTCGGTGCTGACCCGGGCGGCTGCAGCCATGTTGTAGTCGGCGAGGACAACGAGAAGGGTTCGGCGCCCTGGCTTTCCATCTTCTGTTTCGCAAGGAACCACCATGTCGGTGAAAGGGCCCAGATCCTTAGAGAAATTCGCTTCCTCAACAGCCTGCGTCTCTTCTTCGGAGATCACACCGTAGGGCACTGCGGGCTACCATTTGGGTAGTGTGTTGCCTTATTTGATTGGTGGTGATATTTACCCCCATTTGATTCATGTGAGCAGCCCTGACAACCCTGCTGATGATGTTTCTAGATATGTTGCACTTAGATCCCCTACCCATGCAGACCCTCCTTGGTGGGACGCGCTATCGCCTTAATACACGTTGGCAACAGTGCGAAAAGCTGCCAGACTTGGTCAAAGCCAACAAGGGAAAACCTGCAAGGGGAAGCCTGCGTCCCGCTTTGTTCGCCGCCTTCCACTCCGAGCTCCGGCTTGAGGCTCGGAGGTGCTGCGCCAGCTCTGGCCCAGCAGAGCCTGGAGGAGAGAAGAACACGTTCGTTCGAAGCGAAGCGTTGAGTGGAAAGTCCGGTGATATCATGGCTCGCTTTGGATGCTGTCTATTTGTCTTTCACAAGTCCAGGGGCTAGAGAGGACCACCCTCTTGTATGCAGCATTCTAGAACCCGAGCATTGTCGGAAGCGATTTTGGGTTGTATGATCAGGAAAGAGATGGTTTGAAGGTGGGCTCCAGGTGGGCACTCAAGGCTCCCTCTTTGAACTTTCGTCGGTTTCTTGAGTGTCCCTTTCGATGGCCCAGTTTTGGTCCTGCAACACAAGGGTCTGAATCGACCAAGGGGGGAAGAGCCAGAACAGAAAATAAGAAAGACCAAATCAAGCAGAAGACACAAAACAAGAACCAATACAGCAAACAGACAGCACATAAGAAGAAATAAAAGAATGAGGAAGAGGAGAAGAAGAAGACGAAGAAGAAGAAGAAGGAGAAGATAACTTGAGGGAGTTCGATATTGGTAATTGTTGGACCTCGCCTGCCAGGAGACCTTGAACGACGCGCAGCTGGCATGTCTCCTTTCAAGCGTGGAACTGCGATCCATCCCTCTTGAGATGTTCGTCTCCCCAGAACCCTGGGCACTTCCAGCTTCAATTCCTCTTGAGATCTTCGTGTTCCCCAGATGTTCCCGGGCACTTCAAAAGCGGGGATGTTTTGGAAGCCAAAGGCAGCGGGGAGATCCAAAAGCGAACGGATCGATCCAGTGGCCAGAACTCCGGGCTGTTCCTTGGGCTCTCCATCGTGGTGACCATCGGCCTGCTGCTGGTGCCGCGGCCTCAATCCCCCAAAACATGGCAATGGGGAATGGCTGGAGATGAAGCCGGCCATGTTTGTTGTTGTCTTCCGTTTTTTGTACGAGAACCAGACCTCCGAACCCCTTTTCTTGAGTCCACTCCAAGATTTGTTCACGTCTCCACCCGCAGCATTTTGCGTCTCAGCCTTTGGCGCCATGAGCCGAATGCCACGAATGCGCCTGGCGTGTGCCGAGGAGGGCTGGAAACCCATGGAGACCTACTCCCGGCATTTGGGGCGCCAGGTCTTCGGCTGGGCCATCAAAGATCGAGCCTCGGCTCGCCCTGAAACCCGTCTTGGGGGTTACCCTCCCACCAGTGAACATGGGACCTATCATTGGTGGGAGGGTGCCTCATTGTTCAAGGGGTAGCATTTCGAATTCCATTCTTAACCCAGGGATCCGAATCTTTTCAGGACACCACCCAAAACCCAGGCGAAATGGCGATCGGTTTTCGAAAAGAACGATGGTGAAAAGAATGGGGAATCAAGCCCTAGAATTGTGGGTTGGAAAGACCTGCAACCATGGTTTTCCTTCCGCTCGGGTTGCTCATGCTCTGTGGGGATGCCACAAGTAGGGTTCGTCCCCTTTTTGGATCTCTGACCTTTGTCATCCCCTTTGCTCACCTGAAAAGCCGTCGGTTCCCTTCGGGTTCCCAAGCTCGGGTGAATCGCCCCGGTCCGTCCGCAGAGGGCCTGGCCGGTATTTGGTGGTCTACGAGACCCAGGGCTTCGTCCACCAGAAGCGGACGGCGACGCGCCATCTCCGGGGCCAGAGGAACGTCGTGCCGCCGCCGGTGAAGTTCTGGGACCAGGCGGGGCCCCGGTCGCTTCGGCCGGACGGCCAGCCGAGCCAAACGTGGGAGCCCCCAATGTTGGGTCTTGAAGCCTTTGGCTGTTGGGGGCTTGGAGACAGGAGGGAGCCAAACGGATAGACTCCTGGAAGCTTGGAGTTGTATCCACCCTTTCTAGTTCACCTTTTGAAGGCTAAGGTTCGGATACTACGTTCTTGGTCTTCCTGGGCAATGAGGGGGGATTCACCCGAAATCACCTTCTTTCATCCGCATCCAGCCCGTTGTATCCCCCGTTTCCTACCATTTTAACATGCTTTCCTTCCGCGGAAAAACACGGAGATGTCAGGCCAATCCTCATGAAGGGTCCTCCTTCCGCGACGAGCTGGGCATGAAGGAGGCGCTGCAGAAGATGCTGGAGGAGCTGCCGCGTCTGGTGTACCCCGGGCAGCCTTTGCAGCTCTGCCGCTGCGGAGAAACGCCCCGCGAGATGGTCCGGCTCTACACAGAGGCCAGACAGTCCTCGACTTGGCCGATTTCACGTAGAAGTCGCATTGGCTGGTTGCTTAGCGCCAAGGATGTGGAGTTCTCCGGTCGGATCGTTCCGAAAAAATCCTCGCGCCTTCAAATCAAAGCCAAGAGAAAATTCAACGCGCCTTAGTCGTTGACCTGAGGAGCTTGGCGGCTTGTTAGACTTTGGTTCTTGCATAAAATGTAATAAGGCCCAGGACCTCCTGGCCTCTTCCAGGGTTGGGTCAACCCCTTGTTTCATCCTCCTCAAGCCATCCTTCGCACCACCTTCTGGTTTCCCCTTAACGGGGAGGGGAGATCCTTGACCAAACGTCCCCACGCAGCCACTTGCAGCAATTCTGGGCAGGCCTGCTCGGAGGTGGACCTAGATGAGGCCTGGTGCAAGGTCTTGTGGGTGGTGCAGCACATCACCACACACCACCTGCGGGACATGGCCCAGCCGCGTGGCGGTTTTCAGGGGCCCCACCTGAAGCTGGGGAGAGGTGGGTTTGCGGTTTTGTGATGAGGTTGGCTGGCCTGAAGGGTGGGGGCTGAGGTTGATTTGTTTGATGGTTCGTGAGCCTTTCTAGTGTTTAGGTTGGCTGAAAGGGGCTTGGGAAGACGATCACTAGGTAGTTTCAAACAAAAAGGATTGCAGACAACCATTGCGAGAGATTTCAGTAAGGGAGCCCACCTCAGAAGGGGTTCTTGGCAAGCCCATGCTGGCATATCTGAAGGAACCAGTTCAGTGGACTTGCTGCTCGCTGGTTCGCGGACTTTCTGGAGGAGACTTTGAGGTACTCTGTGAACACTGGCGCCTATGGTTTCGGAAGAGACGACGTTGTGCAACTTGGGCGACTCGCTCAGGAGGCGAGGTTGCCACTTTCTGTACCAAGGGGAGTTTCTCAAAGTGATAAGGTGGTCATGTGAATGACTGATATTGCTATCAAAGAAGGGGTGATTTGTCCACTAGCATGTGAGAAGGCAGGGTGGGTTCATTCCAGTGTGACGGACCGTGATCGGCATGTTGGATGCTGGCTCGGGCAGGCATGTCGTTCTTTCCACTCCTGATCAGTGGGGAATGCGTGCACAGCCTCCAAGAGGAGCACGCCTGACTTGAATTCATCGCGTAGAACCCTGCTTGCAATTTTGATGCCTCGTTCTGTGGTGTGTAGAATGAGTTCCAGGCTTAACAAACGACAACGGATGTCAAGAATGCGGCATCAAGCTGGGCTCATGGCCGGGGGCGTACATGGTACACCCCGTCCGTGGCGGCCAGTTTCAGCGCATGGCGCTGCTTGGCTAAGAGTATCAGCAGGTCTGCCCTGCACTCCGGAGTTTGGCTGCCCCCCAAAAGCCGGCCGGCCATTTTGTTGTTTCTTCGTTTGGAGAGTGTGGGACCTTGACCTCAACGTTGCCAGAGAGCGTGCTTCTCATACAACGAGCCAGGAGTCACATGACAAAAGCACTCGCTCTCTGGTTCCGAGACTGCGGCTCATGCATTTCCCTTGGATCGAGGGCGCACAGCAACAGATCGACTCACCCGCGTGAATGTGAGAAGGACTGACACGTTCTGTTCAAGCCCAATAGTACCATTTTGGGATAGGTGCACCACCCATTTTAGTCTATTTTAGTTGGGATTGGGATGTTCACTGAAGGGTACGGGAATTGACCCATGGCCAGATTTCTCAGCCCGGCCTTACTATGGAAGCGAAGATGGCCTTTGCGTTTCTCCCATGGCAAATCACTCTTTGATGCCCAAGCTGAGCGCCTTCCTCACGATTGGTTGCTGCCATAAATGCGCTGCACTGGGAGCCTCTGACTCGGTCGGCCATGCTGGCGGACCTAGCTCCCAGAAGCTTCTCAGCACCCCCAAACCTCTGATGAGGATTCCTTTCATGAATATGTCCGTATGCTCCATGGACAAGCTTAGGACAAGGATAAGCCTCTCATGGGTCAAAATGCTCCCCCTCTGTATTGTCCGCTTGAGCCCATGACCAAAGGCATGGAGGGGTTTTCGGCCAACCAAGGCCCGGCCTGTTTGCAGCCATGTCGCCGGGAGCCCTGGTCGACGGTCCTTCATGTTGGGCTTGGGGTGACACACATGGCGTGACTCTTTGTTGAGACCCTCCACTTTTGGTTGGCTTACAGGGAAGTCAACAGGCTGCTCCTTTTTTGGGGACGGAGGTCCGCTTGAGACACACACACACACACACACCAGCTGTAGCTGTCTGCCTTACGGGCAGTCTACAGTGGCCACCAGCACTTTGCGACCTGCAAACTCCCGCATTTGCACATGGGCACGCTCGCAACAAGTCCTCGGCTTGATGCTGTCCAGAGTCTGTCAGCATTCCTAGTTTCGAGGGGGCAAGGACCCATGCCAATCTTCTGAGGACCAACAAGGGCAAGTTCCAGGTGGACGTGCCCGAGGATTTCGACCGCAACGTGTGAGCTCGAGAGCCCTCCGCCAGCGGCACGCTCCGGAGAAGCCGCCAGAGACCCATTTTCGGCGCGGACGTGGCGCCAAGTGGTCGGCCCGTGTCGGTCAGGTAGGCCACTCTTAGAGGAATTACTTGAGAAATCGTTTGAGTATCATTTGAGATATCCTGCAAAACCTACGAATTGGTTTGCTTAAGGACTCCGATAGGGACCCGGAAGGGATTGCCAACTTCGCCGGACAGAGCTTGAGCCCTGAGAGATCCTCAAATCCACGGGGCTTGCTGACGTGCGAGAAAACAAGTGTCGTTTGACCATGCGCCGCAGCAAGTGTGTTTCTCCAAAGGAGAACGAACCGTGCGGTTGTCAGCCGAATCAGAGGTCAATGTTGGGCCACTCTCATGTTGGGAGCCTCAGAGCCTGACCTGTTCCGCAGGTCTGGGCGGCAGGACGAAGCCGTGATGCCTTGCTTGCGCCTTTGTTGGACGGATGTTTCTAAAGGCCACCAGAAGGAAAAATCACAAGGAAAACAGCAAGGGATGACATTTTCGAAGAGCGAAGCCCAAAACTCAAAGTCAACAGGACAAGCAAAGGCAGCGCCGTCTTGGATAATGGGAGATTCAACAAGCAGCCGGGGCCGCTTTCCACTCTTGAGCTCTGTCAGGAGGAGGCTGGTGCCTAGCTCTGCTCTCGGACCGTGAGACTCTTTGGGAAGAAGCCACAGCTCAACCCGCCCAGTTTGGGCATTTTGAGGGTAGGGAGGAGCGACTGCGGGTTGCTGGGAGTTTTTCGAGCGCCAAGGCCTCCGGAGTTCACCGTGCCCTTTCCAAGAAATGGCACCGGACTGTGCAGGTTCATCAAAAGGCGCCGGCTCAAGCAGCTCCACTTCGCACTCCCAAAGCGCCTGTTGCCCTCAGTTGCCTCTGGTCTAGGGCATGACATTGGGGGGGGGGGGGACGAGCACCCCTAATTGTAACCAAAACCAGGGAGACACTCATTGTCCTAGGGTGCAGAGTTGCAGGTTGGAACCAGTCGCTTGCCTTTTTTTGTTTTAAATCCTGGCAAACGGCTTTGTGGTGAAAGGTCAAGGGTGTCCGATGGTCATTGCACTGCAACGAATGCTTGACATGGCTCAAGACAGCGGAGGATGGGAAGCCTCTGCCACGAATACCAAGCCAAATTCAGAGAATACCAGTCCTTGATTCAGCCCCAATGCAGCCACATACACTGAACAGCCAAAGCAAGTTTGCCATGGTGGGCGCTCTTCCGCCCAAGGACAGAGCTGAATTCGGCCGCACAGCGGAAAACCGCACGCTGCAAACATCTCCTTCGCATGGTAAAGGAGCGGGGGTTCCCTGAACGAAGCTTGCGCCAGGAGCATGTCGTCACCCGCGTGCCAGCTTGGGAACAGGCCGAGGCAGGGGTCAAGCCTGGCTTGACCAGGCCCAGAGTGCTTTGAATCCCCTTGAAAATTAGAACTATTCACGTCTCAGGTCAGTGTCCTTTGGTTCCAGCTTCCCTACCTGCAAAGGCGGTTCCCATTGTCGTTTTCCCGCCTTTCCAAAAGCCACAGGGAGGTTGTTTGTCAAGCCCAGGTTGATGTAAATGAGTCCCAGCTTCAACGTGCTGAGAGTTTCGCAAGTGGTGTGACACCATGCATATAGCCCGCTTGCTGGACTTCTCACTCCCTGAGTTCCTAAAGCTTACATTCTTTGAGGAAGACGATTTTGGCGCATACAACAAGCTCGGACCCTTCTGGCCCTTCCACTCAGCAAGTGAGAAAGCTTCCCACTTTGTCTTTTGTGGGTTATGACCCATGGGTTGCTTGCCTGCCCCTTTCAGTGCTCCCCTGCAAATCGGCATGGAGCCCAAAATTGGTTCCCCCAACCAGAGATCCTCGGAGATGGTTTTTGGGCTCCACATGGCTTCGTGTGAATCGCCCTTGGTGACGTCCTATCCTCGCCCTAGGAGCTGGTGGCCCTCGACCGGCTGCGGTTCCAACACCTGCAGCGGGTCTTCCGGGGCCACAGGCAGCGAGTGGAGAACGCGGAGTCCCACTACGACGCCCCTCGGCCCCGGTTTGGGCCTGGGTCAGCTTCAACATTGGGAGCGATAGCTTACAATGGCAGGGGGTTCGGTTTGGATTTTCATCTTAAAACCAAGCAAATGAGGGTTGTGGTGTTTTAAGAACCCAAGTGAGGGAACTGTCAAAGATGTTTCTCCGAACAAATCCCTTTCAAACTGCTCATTTGTTTGCCAATCAGGCCGTCGAAGGCTCGCACTGGGAGGTCATGAATGCTTGACGTTTGTTTGGCCGTTTTCACGTCAAAGTCGTCAGTGTGTTCGATTGAGTTACCCAGGACATTCTTTGCACACATATACACACCTCTTTGCAATGCGCCCGTGTGCATGATATGGTTTTTCCACAAGGTCGGCGGTCCTTTGGCGTTTGCGACTCGGCTCTTAGGTGGAGGAGGTCGAAAGGCAGACGGACATCCTGCACGCCCGCCGGCACCTCAGTGATCCTGGCTCCTGCCTCCCGATTGCCTCGCCCGCGGCTCGGCTCTGGACCTCGCAGGATCAGAGGCCATGCGACTCTCGCGTGCCAAGCGCAGTAGAGAGGCCTGGCTTTGAGAAAGCCGAAAGGGTGGACCTGCGAGGGCGGGCTACCGATGGCTTTATTCAATAAGCTCCCCCCAATTGGCCGCCTTCGAGGCCTGTGAGACGTGCGTGGATAGCTTGAGCCCAATCAGCAGCGTGCGGCTTTTCGGTGGCCGTTTGGCCATCCAAAAGCAAACTCACGCCCAAGAAAAGTCCTAAACCAAATCCCCTCAAATGGATGGCAACCGCCGTAGACGCCCCCCACATCGGGCAGGCGGACAACAGCCTGAAGCGCGACAACCAGCGCTTGGTAGAGCGCCTCTGCGTGGCCTCGGCGCCCAGAAAAGAAAACAAAAAACGCCGCGTTCAAATAGCGGAGCTGAGAGGGCCAGGGCAAGGGGGCGGGGCCTGTGGGGATTTGGGCTCCTCCACATGCTTTTTGCAGACTTGTGAAAAGTCTTAGGCATGGAAAACGCAACCCAAATGCCCGAATCCCCCCCCCCCCCCCTCCCCGTCTGTGCGCATCGTCGGTGTGCATCGCGTTTCCGCATCGAGGTGATGAGGGAGTCCGAGGGTCGGCAGCGGCAGGTGGCCGTGCCAAAGCCGCCCGGCACGGCGCCCGCAGGCGCGGCGGTGAGCCAGGTGGGTTCAGCGGCTTTTGGTTCTGCTTTGGGTTTGGGTCTTTTGGCTTTTTTGGGTGGTTTGGGACAGGGTTTCATCGCTATTTCCCCTTGAAGGATCGTAGATTACAATTAGTTTTCGTTGGGCTGATGTTGTTGGGCTGAACATATAGGAAATTATTGTTGTTGTTTTTTGTGACCCGTAGGCTGTTGTTTGACACTTTGATCTTTGCGGAATGGCCTTCTGGTTTTGGGTATGTTTGTGTTTGTCTGGGTTTGGAGCCTTTTGGCTCGGGTTCGGTCTTCTGGTTTTGGTTTGGTGCGTTTGGTTTGGTGGAAGCCACCGGGGACATGTTTCTTCTCAGGATTAAGATGGTTCTTGCGCATCTTGCAGGATGTTGCTCTCCAAAGCACCAAGGCAATATCGGTGGCAAGGAAGCCGTGCGGTTGGAACCGAGTCTCGATAAATCGCTGAGCTTGCGATGCTGGAGGTTTCGCCAGGTCCCGCGTTCTTTTGCCAAGGTTCAGGGATTCAACGACTTCAACGATCTTTTTTTGGGAGGTCAGCTTTCATGTTTCAAACTCAAGCGGAGGTGGAGGTTCATGCCGATTTCCTGGCAGGTCGCTGAGTTGTCCTGTTCTGTTCATGACCCAAAAGAAACATGGGATGACTGGGGATGGTTGCCAAATTCCTCGAGGTTCGTTTCAGAATAGGAGCATGTCATAGGTGGTTTTCCCAGTTTTCCTTTTCCGTTAATACCAGCCTTAAACTGTGTGCCATCAAGCAACATGGGAAGTCCTCCTCGAAGTGCTGTTCGATCTCGACAGGTTCATTGAATCTGAGCTTCCGCCGAAAGGCGGCGAGGCGCATTGACCAGGAGCGAAGGATTCAGTGATACTCCGCAGATAGAAAGCCACATGAGGCAATCATAATTTGACTGGGGATGTTTCCATGTTTTTTTTTGTCTTCCTTCAACCAGCCTGAAAAAGACAGCCTCACAAAAGCGCACACCCAGACACACACACACAGCCGTTTGTTAGATTCGATTGGGAACCAGAAAGACACGTGTACTGTTGCCCTACTGCTTACGCAGCCTTAGATGTGGTGAGGACAACAAAGTTCTTCTGGACCGGCTAATTCGTCACGGCCCAAGCGCTTCATTTGCAGATTCTCCGGACTCTCCTTGACCGCTTTCAGCCGATCTGCACCAGGCATTGGTCCCACTGTGAACACTCGCTCAGAGCTCGAGTCGCGCTACCAGGCGCGCTGGCAGTCTGGATGGTCCCAGGACCAAGCAGTGCGCATGGCAAGCTCAGGTGTACACGCAGCTGGTGCAGAGGCCTGGAAAGCATCGCCTTAGAACGCGTGGCTCCAATGGGCCCCACTTCCCCTTGTTCCAGGGAAGACAACGAGCGAGAGGTGGGAGGTGAGTGGCGCCGTTGCCAGGCATTCCAGACTGCGACGTCCCTTGGAGAAGGCGGAGGTGTTCAGGACGGCGTCCTTTTCCGGGTTTCCAGGTTACAGGTGAGAAGTGGCTGTGGGTCAAAAAAGGGTGCCCAAAATGGAACCCTGGTATCAGGAACCAAGGACTAAAACCTGTGGTCCCCTGGTGGTTAAATTTGGACCCACACCCAAGTTGGTAGAGCCTTTTCCAGGGGACCTCTTTGTCCTTTTCTCGAAGAATGTCTTGGTGCGTTTTGGGCGTCTTGCCTTTTGGCCAGGATTTCTCCACCTGGGCAGTCCCAGCGCAGTCGAAAGCCGAAGGAGGTGGGATGCTGTCACTCTTCTTGTTTGGGTCTTTTTTTGGGATTTGAGGGAACCCAAGGAGGCGCCAATCTTAGCATTTGTAGGTTCCCCTTTGAGACACAGATCAAACCTGCGCTGCGGCCGGCGAGGCGAGACCGCGAGGGCAAAGCTCTGGAAGCGGTTCCAGAGAGGAGACCGGAAAGTGAATCGAAGCTGACCGCTTGCGGATGCAGTCCGATGCAGTTTTTAGGGGAGGGACCCAAAGGCATCGGACAAGTCGAACAGTTTGCTCAGAGGCCTTTGGGAGAATAGGACTTGTTATCCTATGGTCAACATATCTCTTACTGCGCCATCGGCTTCGCCTGGAAGGCACTCGCATTGGGCAATTGTTTCCACGGCTGTGCGCCCTCGAAGTCGATCCCTGGATAGCGCTGGAGACTGGCAAGAGAGCGCTGGCAAGAAGCGCGTTGGCAACTTGGCAACGGCCCTTTTGCAGCTGCGATCAAACGTGTTTTATGCTTTTCTACTCTGGGACCCCATGATTTTGTGGCTGATTTCTCCTTGACCACCACTACTCCAAAAGTGGGGTTCACCACTTTGAGACATTGAGATCCGTTTCTGCTCGGCGCAGGAGCCTGCGAACACAGCGGAGGCTTCGACGCCAGAGCCGCTCCACAGCGCAAAGCAGGCAACGCCGCAGAGCCGACTTCGGTTTGAGCCCAAACTTAGGGATGTTTGACCGAGTTGTAGGCGTTTGCCTTTGAATACCACCACCAAGGAGGTGTTTGTGTCAGGAGAAGCACCCGGGCTGTCGGTTTGGCAAATCGAAATCGCGGCAGGCAGCTCACAAGGAGCTCCAAGAAGTGAGTCAGCATGTCTTGCAGAAGATGCAGAACGAAGCTGAAGCGAGCGAAGGAGCCGTAGCGAAAGCGGGGCCTTGGGAGCTAAAAGCGTGAGGGAACTCTTGGTGAGAGTCTGATTTCTGGAGAGGCCGTGCCGGCGTTTGCGGGGTTTGGGTTGCTTTCTGTGACACCAAGGACTGGAATCCCCATGACAGTGATACTGACTGAAATCAACTACTTAGTCACTAAGAGGTGTCACAGAAAAGTGGCCGGCCCATTTTCCAATCGCCATCCGTTGGGCTCCTTGCAAGGAGCTGAGCTGACCGAGGACCCGCGAGATTGTGGCGATGTTATAGCTACCGGAGTCGTCCCAACATGACGCAGGTAGAAGCATACTTAGCTCACGGGCGTAAGCCCCATCCAGGGCCATGAGGCCAGGGTCGGAGAAGTTGGGATATGCGCCAGGACGCGAGGGCAAGCCCAAAGCCTGAGACGCCAGAGCCAGTGCGGCATGCGAAGCAGGCCGAAAACTGCATGTGTCAGAGTGAGGGTGCGTGATCCGCCATACCCGGCTCTGTCCATTTGGGGGCATGGGGGCGCTCTAAATTTCAACCGCGACCCCAAATTCTGGAGGCGGAACTGCATATTTCTTTGGCCCCTGCGGAAGGCTGTCTGACTTGCCCCTGATTTTGTTTCTTGAGGCAGCGCGGAAAGAGCTGGAGAGGGTGAATAAGTACGTGCTCGACAAGATGAACCAAGGCAACGTTTGTTGAGAGCCATGGTAGAGGCACCAGTGCCAATGCTCATTTAGGGTATGCCTTTTGTTTCTGCACCCCTCTTGGTGGGAAGCAAGCGAACACCATCCGTTATGGGGGGGGGCTCCTGATTTTGAGACAAGTCCATTCGTACCTGCAGCATGGTCTGGCACGGGACTGGCAGCGCCAGGAACTGAGGAGACTGAGAGGTCCAGATCGGACTTCGAAGAGGAGGCCGAGTGGGGATCATGCTCAGCCCATTTGATCAGCACCCAAAACCCGCATGAATTTGAGCAGGTCAGCTCGGGTTTTGGGCACTGCTCACTTGCATCGGACCATATCGCACGGGGTGCCCAGTTTCAAATCTTCGGGTTGCGGGACAGGTGTCCAAAGAGCTCCTAGAGCACGCAAATAGACAGACTGAAGAAAGCCAGGACGGATTATCGATAAAGCTTGCCAATCTGTGAACGCCTATAGGCCGCTTGCACTAGTAAAGATATGAATTTAGGCACCGAATGCTCGCATGTAGAATGATGGGCGTGTGCGTTTTCTTTAGGGTACTTCTCAGCTTGGTTAAAGAGAAACCAGAAGGAAACCGCGATCGGGGGTCCTTGACTCATCGCCTAGGCGTCTGTGACGGGGTTTTGTGGCGCCTCGTCAGGACGACTACGACGCGGACTACGAGGCGGAGACGGACTACAGCGACGTCTTCGAAGCGGAGGCCTCCGGTAGCGAGGCGCCGACCTCGCCGGCCAAGTCCCCGGCAAAGGCGCGCAGGGGGCGACCCACCTGGGTGCTGAAAAATGGACCGTGGTTGCCCCGAAGGCATATGGGGGGTTCTTCTCATGAGACCACCTCTTGAATTGCTTGGATGGGGGGTCCGTTCCCACCCCCCCGAAAAAAGAAGCTCAGGCGATATCCCCAACAGCACCACACCCTCCCAGCACCCTCGTGGAATTTCGTGGAACCCTGGTGGAACCCTCTTGGAACCTTACCTCAGCACCCCGCAGCCCTCGCAGAACCCTGGTGGAACCCTGGTGGAGCCCTGTGGAACCTTCGTGGAACCTTATGTCAGGGCCGCCCCGGACCACCCCGGAGCCTATCTGGGCTGAGACCCCAAAGCTTTCAGCTGTTGGGGAATAAAGAAAAGGGAAAAAAAACAAAAGAAACAAAACACCAACAACAGAACCGTAAAAGAGAAAAACGCGGGGTGGATCCGAAGGCTGCGGCGCGGAACCGCGCGGCCTCCAGCGCCTCGGCGGCCTCGGCGGCCTCCCGCGCCTCCGGCTCGCTGAGGCGGCGGAAGGGAAACCAAAGGGAAACCAAAGCGAAACCAAAGGGAAACCAAAGGGAAACCAAAGGGAAGCCGGGAAACCAAAGGGAAAAATTGGTTTTCCGGAATTTCCGGAGGTCTGAGACAAACCGAGGAGTTGTTGAGCAATAGTGGTCTGGAACACATGTTTAAAGCACGGTTTGCCCAGGGGGTTGGAATCACCCCTGAGGCCCGAGGATCGGGCAGGATCAACTCTGGAAGAGGGCTCCGAGCCAGACCGGACGCTGGAGGAGTTCGAAGACGCCAGCGACTCGCCGGACTCGCCGGGCTCTGACTTGCCTCCCGAGAGTGAGGGATCCGAGCAGTTTGAGAACGAGTCGGCGCCAGATGTCGAGAACGCCAGCGACTCTGCGCCCCCGGACGTGGAGAACGCCAGTGAGTCGCTCCCGGAGTTCGAGAATGCCGAGAATGCCGAGACACCCCCCGCAAACGCGGGGGAGCAAGAGCCAGTGCTCGAGAACAGCGAGCCCCCGGAGTTTGAGAATGGCAGCGAGTCAATTCCACCTGAGCCGAGAGGGTCCACCCCGCGAGACTTTGAGGATGCAAGTGAGCCATCCGAATCAGCCGTGAAGACGATCAGACAGCCGAGTGATCCTTATCCCCCCGAATTTGAGAATGCAAATGACTCATTTTTGCTTGAAGGGGCTGGGGCATCTCAGGAGTTGGGGGATAAGTCTCCCTCAGCAGTGAAGACGATCAAGCCGGCTGTGGAGGAGGACGTGGGTCAGCCCACGGTGAAGCTCCAAACCGAGCCCCGGGCCCCCTCCGCCACTGGCTCCGCCACCGGCTCCGCCACGGGCTCCGCGTCCGGGCGCTCGGGGAACCCGACGCCGCCGCTGCCGGAGACGGCGACCTCGGGCCTGGGCTCGGTTCTGGGCTCCACGCCGGCGGTGACCCGCGGCTGGTCCGAGGAGTTTGAGGGCGAGAGCGACCGCTCGCCGCTGGCCATGGAGCGCCAGCCCGGCAAAAACGACGAGGAGGAGGAGGCGGAGGTCAGAGGGGTCCGGGGAGTGAACCGCTTCCAGCCGGAGTTTGAGGACCTGGACGTGCCTTTGGACGACCATCGGGACGACCGGGACGACCGGGACCGCCAGGATGGGCGCCAGGATGAGCGCCAGGACCGGCAGGAGCGCCAGGGTGAGCGCCAGGGTGAGCGCCAGGAGCGCCAGGACCGCCAGGATCGGAACTTCCTCAGCCCGGATGGGCTGGTCGAGCCGACCAGGACAGTCAGTGGCGGCCCCAGCACACTTTGCCACGCCCTTTGAACTTGCCCTACATGCCCTTTGCGCGATGCGGGTCGAAATGCCCAGGCCCACTTCTCGCCAGCTATGACGACGAGAACATTTTTGAGGACGACTCGGGAGAGCTGTTGCCCCAGATGCCGTGATCCTTACTTTAGCGGGGATAGTCATCAACCCCTTCAGAGGGAATGTGCACAACCATAATGCGGATTCCTGTTCAGGGAGCCGTGACAATAGCCCACATAAGGAGTTGTGAGTTGTTCCCAATGAACGGTGGCGGTGTGCTGATCGTCAATTGGCTGTGCTGCAAAGGGAGCCATTTGTTGCCAGGTCCCTGAGCGACTGGATGATAGATCTGGCACTGCTTCGTGCTTTCCCCTCACCAAGGTCGCTGAACTTTAACGGGACCTGATTGAGTGTGCCTTGGCGAGGGAGAGAGACATACCACAAAGTGCTTCACGTGAGCAGTCTCCAAGGTCTGCCATCGGACCTATGTGGTTGAATTGGCTCAGCGTTGGCCAAAGCATGGGGAGCTTAACCCACTGCCAACCGAGAGCTCGCGGGAACGCTTTGGGCTAAATGGAGCCTGAGGGCGCACTTCCGACTCCTTTCCCAGATCTGTTTTTCACATGCATGGTCAAAAGACCCCCGTTTCTGCTTGCTAGGGACGGTCATCAACCCCGCAATAGGGAACTTAGACAACCATGCGGATGGTTTTTCTGGGCATTTGACCATGGCACACACGCACATGCGCCATGGGACGGTTTGCAGCCAATTCTCCAAATCTGCCAATTCGCGGCCTGAAGACAAAGGCGGCTTGGTGGGTGCTGTGTCGGGGCACTGCATGAACTGTGTCAGAGCCCTGGGCAGTCGCGGTGCGCAAGTGCCCGCTTGGGGAGTGGAATTTGGCAGGAGCATCGGCCTTTGAAGCGAGGGGTGTTCATGCAATTGGTCTTTGCCGAGCTTGAAAGGAAGATGCTCTCGCCGTCTCGAGCTTCACTGAACATCACCGCGTCATGGCAGAATGACATCTGCGGCGGATTTCTAGGTCAGTAGCTCAAGCAGAAAAGCCGTTTCGCCACCAGATTCATGATGCCAGTCGCATCCTGATTTGCTTTCTGAAGCCCCCAGCCCTTCTCGCCTTGCGGGGTGAAGATGGGCAAAGGTGACTCCAGAGAGTTGTTTGCTCGGCGCTAGGCTGGGCAGCGCCTTGGTTCAATTTCCGTTTTGGTCAGCTTCCAGTGTTTTGCCCGCGAAGCTGTCCAGCCGCCTCAAGGCCACTGCCGGACAAAATTCGGCAGGGCCATAGCCACAGGAAGCAAAGTGCCAGATTGATCGGCTGGGTTTCTGACATGGGCCATTTCTGGGCATCTTAAATGTTCACTCGGCATTGTAAACTCGTGGCTGTGGGTGAAAACTAATGGGATCCCATTTTGGGGTAGGTTCACCACCCATTTTAGAACCTTTTTCAGTTGGGATTGGGATGTTCACTGGGGGCTAACCAATTTGGGTTTTGACCCATGGCGTGAGTTCCCTGGTTCTTTTCCCTGACCACTTCCAGATGTGCACCTTCCGTCACCGGCTTGTGGTGGTTGCCGGGCAGGCGATTGCCTCCCGGCCGGAATCGCCGAGTCGCGGAATCGTAGCTGGGGCTCACTGCCGAACCTCAATGCCTATGGCGTGGCTCGCTTTTTTTGGAGGGTACCTTTCCATGTTGGGATTTTAGTTGACATGGCTGTGGGTCAAGAATGGAACCCTGGCAAATGGAAACATGGACTACAACCTGCGGTCCCCTATTGGTTTAATTTTGACCCACTAGCCACCTTCTATGAAAGTCCCACAACTGAAGGGAAGTTTGTTTGGGCATATGATCCTGCTGTCCAAGCGAGCAGTGTCATGAGCGAGCTTCCATCTGTGGCAACAAGCGGCGTTGAAAATGGCGAGGCGTGCTTGGCTTTGTGCTTCGCATAGCAAGAAGCCTTTCGGCCTGACACCTGGACCTTGGAAAGGTTGGGCTCTTTGCCGATTCAAATTTGGCCGGCTCATGTCTGTTTGGGCTCAACAGCTTCTAATTATTACCATGGACCATAGCAAGAGTCAGCAAGTGCTGGTGGTGGACAAACGCGTCTTTTGTTGTTCTCTCTTGGGCCATGCTGCCAAGGAGACCATACCAAGCATCCCGAGCGTGGTGTAGATGCCTCGCAGCCAACCCGAACAGCTGCCAGAGCCGGAACGCACTTGGACTTTCCACTGGCTTTGCGCCCCTTCGCTTGCATGGCCGCTCGCCTGCTGCTGGCACTGCTGCTGTCCAACTCCAGGGCGGAGACGGACTTGCTGGCGGAGGCGGGGCTTTGAGCCCAAGGCAGGAAGGCGCTGACATTCATTTGGGAGGCCATGGGATTGGTAGTCCACTGTTGCTCAAGGAGAACATGAGGGGGGAACCCAAATGCCCTTCAGGGAAACTAGCAGTTCTTCAGTTGTCCCGGCTCTTTTGAGCCGCTTGCGCGACTTGAGGGTTTCGCAGGTGGCTCGACTGAAGGCGGAGGTTGAGCGTCTGAAGGCGGCGTGCCAGGGGGGCTCTTTGTCCGTTGAGTTGGGCGTTGCTAGAAGGGGCGAAGCCCTAAATGCACCAGTAAACCAAACGTGGATGCCTGAATGCCTGCCATGCTCTTGAAAGGTATACTTGTAAAACGGTTGGCCCGTTTTTGGGAAGCACTTGGCGTCCGCAGCTTTTGGCCGAAGGCAAGCAGTTGGCATGGCGTTGCGGCCCGGCTCGTCCCGGGCCAAGGGCGAGACCAGTCATCTGAGCTTCGGCACCGACTCCGATACCGCAACGGTGCGGCCGAAAGACCTCACGGCCCATGAGATTTCCGTAACCTTGTTCTTTGCTACTCGGAAGGAGAAGAAAAGGAAAGGGGAGAGGAAGGAAGGAAATGGGGGAAGAAAAGAGGAGGGCGGGCGGGGAAGGGGAAAACGCCGGGCTTTCTGGAATCTCGGCGGAGAAGTCTGGGGAGGGAGAAAGCGCAAATATCGCTTGTGTGTGTGTGTGTGTGTGTGTGTGTTTGTTTGTTTGTTTGTTTGTTTGTTTGTTTGTTTGTTTGTTTGTTTGTTTGTTTGTTTGGTTTGTTTGTTTGTTTGTTTGTTTGTTTGTTTGTTTGTTTGTTTGTGTGTGTGTGTGTTTTTGTTGGTATTGATTGAAAAAGAGCTCGGCCCACGCAGACTTGCAACATCGGGCGTGCAGGTTTGAGCGCATCCCACTTCTCGGATGTCTTGGTTTGACAAAGGAGTCTGGCTCCAACTCTATTTGGCACTTCCCGAACTTTAAAGCCATATCCATGCCTCTGTCTGGGTCTTTCCACTATAACTAGGGATTGCATCTTGGATTCATTTTGGTGTTCCACCGAAGCAGCTCACTTCTACAGGACGTGGGATCTGGTTCCTCCCACTCAAGCCTCAAGAGGCTGTGGCATATCAATCAGATCAGAACAAGCCTTCCTATTTTCAGCAAGCAGAGATCTGTGAACGCCCTGTTCAGACAGCTATACATTTGCACAAACCAGCCATTTTTCTTGAGAAGGCGATTGTCTTTCTGGAATTGCTTGTTGGAAAGAAGTCCACTTACACCAAATGGTTCACGCAGAGAATGTAGGATGGTTGGTGGACATCAATCGCATATTCCCAACTAATGCAGTCTTTGCAAAGAACTCACCAGAAGCTGGCCATTTTCAGAGAATGCACCAAATTTGGGTTTGTCTCCGCATGGGTCAGCCTCTCTCCAACAGCACATGGACGCCCCAAAACGGGCTTCGGTTTCCCCTTTGCCTTCCCGCAAAACAAGGAACATCAAGACAGGGTTCCCCCTCAGCAAACATCTAAGAAACCAGCTACAGTAATTGCTATTGGAAGTTAGACCTCGGGTTTTAGTGTTTGGCTAACTTTGTGTAGAATTACCTGTAGCTGGGAATGTAGACGAGGGGTTTGGTTCACAAAAAGGGTCTGTTTCGTTGAGGGCACCCTCCCCATTTTTTGGTTTCTTCACAGACAACAGGGAGGTTTCCCTTAGAGACAGATCCATGCGCTGGAGCCGCTTTTCTTTCCTGGCGAAAAGGACTCCAAAGGCGTACTCTCAAGGTTGCAGCACTAAGCTTACTCCATATATGCAGAGAATCAAAAGCACCTGTTTATCCCTTTTGTAAGACTGGCACCTCCTCAAACCATCATTTTTTGGAGGTACAACCTGAAGGCGACATGCTAGCTTTGATTTGGGCCTCAAAATAGAGCCTTGGGTTGCCTTCTTGTTGTGAGACAAACATCCATGTCTTTTGGTTCCCCAATTTAGAGCTGAACATCGTTATGTTTTGGAGCCCTGCTTTTCCCTCCTAAATCCAAAAGATAAGCATCGAAAACAGCACAGGCCTATTTTGCTAGTGTTCGGAGGTGAAGCGTTCGGCGACACTTATTTGGGTTCCCCCTCAAACCCGAAAACAACCCGAGAAAACGGCAATCACAATCCCCCCTTTTGCATGAGTGAAGTGGTCTGTCCGAAGTTTGGAGACAGCCCCCTTCCCCCTTCCCCCCCACCCCCTTCCCCAATTTCGCTTTGAGAGGCGGGCCCCAGATTGCTACAGAGATTTCAGGGGGAACTCCTCATCAAAGGCTCAAAGCTTCAACCTATTCCAGGGTGTCCTACATTTCCAGAAGTTGCTTCTTTTCCTCCCCCTTCCCAAATATGTTTCCATATCTTCCTCCCCGTATTTCATATATATATATATATATATTCATACATGTATTTTACATTCTTTCCCGCTCGGTTCCCTCCCTTTTTAACCCTGCGCAGTTTTTTTTGTTCCCCGAGATTTACGCGGTGAGCTTCTTCGAGGGCGCGGACTTCCAGCTGCTGCCGGCCTCCTTCCGGGCGCTGGAGGCGGACCTGGGGCTGTCGCCCAGCACGCTGGCGGCCTCCACGCTGCTGCAGACGCTGACCTGCGCCACCTTCTCCGTGTTCTGGGGCGTGCTGGCGGCTTGGCTTGAGAAAAGGAAAGGGGAAGGGGGAAGGGGAAGGCAAGGGAAGGTTAAGGGAAGGCAAGGGAGAAGAGAGGAAGAAAGGAAGGGCAAAGGAGGAGGAAAAGTAAGGAAAGGAAAGGAAAGGGAATTGAAGGGAAGGGAAGGGAAGGGAAGGGAAGGAAGGAAGCTAACCACAAACTGGATCCTTGGTGTTTCTTGTCCTTTTCAGCCTTGAATGGATCGGAATGCAGGAAGGCGTGCTGGTGTACCCTCAAACCAAGAAATCAAGAAGGTGCTCTCCCCACAAAAACAAAAAGGGCACGTGCCTATATGTGCAATGGCCATGAACACCTACCTTAGTAGGGTTCTAGACAACAATTGCGATTGTTCCTACTAAGGGAGCTGACATGCGTGGTTACTGTTTCTCTTTGGCTTGCCTTGAACAACAAACCTGGACAGGGAGCCCCGGAGACGTGCGCCGCTGAGGTGGATAATAGCATCATGTCGCCTCAGCAGGTGCTCTTCTCAGGATGCACAGGATGGGGTATCATTACCCTGATGCTGGCGACCATCAACGACACCAGCCCCTCGCATTGCTCATTGGGCACGCATGGGAAAGAGCCACTTGCGGAAGAAGCAGGGCAATAAGGGAAAACACAAAGGGGCGGGGCATGGCGCGATCAACAAAGCTCAAAATTAATATCAGACATCAGGTAGAAGGTTTGGTGCGTGTGTGTGTAAGTGTCAGAATCTGGACGGTTTCAAAAGAATGCCAAGCAATTCTGTGAGTTGCATGCAAGGCTGGATCCTCGTTCTGCGGCTCTTCAACGGGGTGGCACTTGCCACCCTGTCCCCCACGACGCAGACGCTCATTGCAGACTTGGCACCTCCGCAGGAGCGGGCGGCGGCTGAGCCGAGTGAGCAGCCCTAGTCCCCTGTTGGCCACTTTCGTATAGGGTTCTACTACCTGGTTTCGTCGGGCATGATCGGAGCCATAGCCTGCTTCCACTGCCACACAAAAAGAGACAACAACAAAGAAAGGGCGGGCCGCACGGGCACGTCATGAGGTGCAAAGTACGGCAAGTAAAGCCAAGTCAGAGATTCAAGAGAGTCACGGATGGCTGCTCCTGTGGCTTGCTTTTCTTCTACCCAAAAAGGTGAGATCGCCCTTCGCTGGCGGTTTGGATTGGTGGCTGGGGATTTGAAGCCCTTAGATGGGAAACCACCTCCAAACCACCATGTTCTGGCCGGTTCTCAGGGAAGGGATTTCCTCCGCAGATCGACGGTTTATTCCCGAAACAGCTTCAAAGATTGACCGACGCCCTCACCCAACCGCATCTTCGACGAAAAACCCGTTTCCCCCCCCCCACACCCCCGCACCAAGTTCTTGTGGAACTATCCTCAAGGTCACTCCCCCGTTTTGGGGTTTTGGGGAGGGGTGGGTTTCGTCGCGCAGGAGCGGGGCCGGTACTTCAGCTGGCTGGGCTTCTCCATGGCCTTGGGCGCCATGACCACGGCGGCCTTCTCCACCGCCATCTCCGAGAAGAGGCGGGGCGGAGGGCTGGGCTGGGGTGGGTTTGGTCGACAGGTGGCGTTTTTCCTTGGACAGTTCTTGGTGAATGTGGTGATGTTTGGATGTAGCTTTTTTGCGGGAATCCTGGTGGAGTGAGGGAAATCGGGGCCTGAGCGGTCAGCTGAAAAGAATTCAACCTTATCAGTACACAAAGGGTGAATATCGGAAGGCTTCGGGAAATGGCTCGAGCCGCAAATCGGTTTCGGTGAAGTGCCCAGGATTTGCGGGCTGCAGGGCTGGCGCATCGCCTTTGCCGTCGTCGGCACTCTGAGTGTGATCCTGGGGCACTTTGCCGCTCATCATGTGAAGAGGAGTCAGTCCCCCTCCCGCGCGGGCCAGGGGGGGGGAACAGCCAGGAAGCAGGACATGACAACTGGCGGCGTTTGGAACATCCGACATTATTATTTAATTTATTTTTTTAGAAAAAGACAACTGTGAACGTTTCTGGACTCGGCGTGCTTTGACTCACTCTCCGGGCTCCGAGGTCAAGAAGCTGGTGCGGCTCCCGACCGACTCCCCCAGCGTCGACCAGCGCACTGCGAAGCAGCCCGGTTCAGAGTTCGGATCGCTCGCTTGAGCCGAGGTCGTGAGGCCAATGCTTGGGCATCCGAGTTGTTTTTTGTTTTAAATATCACACACACACACAGTGTACACCCACAGAAAACACGATCCATTTCTTTGCCCACAGGGAAACGATCCATTTCTTTGCCTTTTGTCCATAAATCTGGTCACTTTGGCGAGTTGGGTGTGATTTACCCTGAGTGCCGGGCTGTGGAAGAAAGCCCTTAGACTGGACCTGTTTCTGTACCCGGTTGGAGTCCGGGAATGTGCAGCGAGGTATCGCGCTGGCGGGATTAGCTTCGTGGGCGAGCTGAAGGTCGTGTTCTCGTTTTTCGAGGCCGGCGTTTCGTCTTTGGTGGTTGCCCAGATGTTGAAAGTTCGACTGAAGCACTAAGTCACTAAGTGGGTCGGACTCCAAGTTGGAAACACCCACACACACACACAAGTGGTTTCTCTTGGGTTTCTCGCAAGACACGCAAGAGGGTGCCCTCAAAACAAAACGCGCTGCGGGCGTCCGCGGATCTCCGAGCGTTAAAGCGGACTGAGCGAGGTATGGTCCTTCTCGGTGATCGTCCTGCAGGCATCATTCAACTGCATCCCGTGGTCCGCCATGTCTTTTGGGACCATGCCGCTTGAAATTCCATCAGCACCTGCAGGGTGCAGAGAGAGAGAGAGAGAGAGGGAGAGAAAGATGCCAACAATGAGCCGTCATGTGTGTGGCACCAAGGTTTGTGCAGTATGCGGGTGTCTCGGACACGGTGGCGGGGTGCCTCTCCAGCCTGATGCTGATGTGCTGCTCCATTGGCTGCCTGGTGGGGGGCTGCGTGGGCGACGCCCTCGCCAAGTGCCGAACTCAGAGCGCTCGGGGTCAAAAGTCGCCCCCTTGTTGCAGGCCTCGCGGTTTATATTCGTGCCGCCAAAAAAGGCTCCTCCTTGAAAGGGGTCTTGGAATTACTTTCTCTTGAAGAAATACCCCTCCCTTGTGGAACCAAAGTAAGGTGCTCTTTGGAACCCTGCCAGAACTCCCTAGCTTGACAACAACTGCGCCCTTGTAGAGAAGAGGCTGGGGAACTTTAATGAAACAGAAGTGGCATTTGGGAGAGTCCCTAGTTCGTGTTAGTCATGTTTCCTGCTCCCTTCTTTTCTGAAAGAGCTTGTTGGCTATGGAGCGGTTTACCAGGTCCAGTGGATGCCGGCGCCCTATTTAAGCGTTACCGTTCTTGGGTTGTGTTGAGGAGGTGGCGCCCTTGTTTCCTGTATCCTGTATATGGGGGTTTCACTTAGACAATCATTAAAAAGCAAGGAAACTTGCGGATGCCGAAAAAAGGGTGTCCGTTTTTTCCCCGACGCTGGCCCGGAAAGAGTTCCCTTTGGGGGAGCTCCCATTCTTTTAGGTGCTTCTCAATGTTTCGAACTCCTTAATGGGTGGTTTCCTTTCATTTGGTTTCTGCCGATGCCGGGAGACATGTGTCGTTTCTGGAGGGTACTCTCTTTTGGCTGGCTTTACAGAGAGCACCACCAATTCTGAGGGTCCCCGATTTTTGAGATTGAGCCTACGATTTTGAGCGAGGTGGAACCGTTTCCATGGCCGGCCCTTCACGGCCCAGCTGTCGGCACTCATTGCGATCCCAGTGGGATACTTCTACTACATGGGCGTGCCGCGGAATCCCGAGCCTCTGGCAGAAGCTGTGGGGTGTGTGAAGCAGCTTCCTCAGTTCGTTTGGGCCACTTTCAGATGAGCTTCCTCTTTCTGATGTGATGGTTCCGGGGGGGGGGCAAGAAGTGTTACTTGTTTGTGGCATACTCAAATCCTGGGCCTGGAATGTTCATGGGCCCTTTGTAGGGCTTGGCCCAGACGTTTGATTCATTGCACTATATTCTCCTAGATGGAACCCGCAAGGTCTTGTTGAGAGAAGAATGGTCTCAGTTCATTTCGCAGAGGCTCAAAATATCTCGGCTTGATATGAGCGAAAGCAGAGGACCTGCCAGTAAGCTCAATGCATTTGTCCAACTTTGATTGACAGTGTCCCATGAGTTTTCGATACCCAGGTTTTCATTCCCGGGCCTTTTGTTCCCATGGCCACTGGATATCCTGCGCAAACTTGAAGCTTCCTGTGGCACACTGCAATTTTTCGAGAGTGGTTTCCCGACTCGCCAATTGAGGACAGCGTGCAATACTGGCTGGTGCTGGTCATCATTTTTGGCCTCTGCGCCACCTGGTGTGACCATGGTGTGAACCGGCCCATGCTCACAGAAGTCGTCGCGCCGAAGCATCGGGCGAGGACCGGTGAGCAAAGCAAGGTGCTTGCTTGCATGTGTGGCTCGTCTTTTTTCGAGGATGCTTTTCCTTTTGGAGTGGTTTGAAATGGGAGCCACAAAGACACCAACCATTTTTGAGGTGCCTTACTAGATTAAGGGACACCCGCATGGGAAGGCGAGCTCTTCATCTGAGAACTCTTCGTGCGTTAGACTTCGTGCCATTTTCATAGCCTGACCCCCCGCATGTCCCTTTGGCCAGCTGAGCCGACGGTAGGGAACAGAGACGCGCGGCGGCGTTTGATATAAAGCACGATCACCCCCATGAAGCAAAAACCAGCACCTGTTTCAAGAGGAGCCCATGGAATTCCCGCAGTTTGGGGGCTCTCAATCAGCCGGCGCCAGGCTGCCATGAACGAGTCGCGGGTTTGGGCGGGGCTGAGGGGATGGGGGCTGGCGGGTTGGGGGGTGGCTGAGGGGTTGGGGGGTGGGGGTGAGGGGGGGTTGGGCTCGAAGGATCTTGGGGGTGCTCTGCTCCATCGCCGGGAGCGCCGGCGCCCTGGGCGGCCCCATTGTGGCCCTGATCTCCGAGGCGCCGGGCCGGCGGCGGATCGGTGTCCCCCTATCGTTGTAGGGCTCCCTTTTTGTCTTGTGGTGTTTCCTTGTTTTTGTTGCCGTTTCCATTGCTTCCTCCCTTCTTTTGAAGGGAGGGTTCTGATGTGGGGAGCATTGTGAATTGGGCCAAATGATCACAGTGCACATAACAATAGAAAGAAGTACAGACCAGACAGAGCATCCTTGTTTGCCGATATGGGTGTTTTCAACAGAGGGCAGCCCGAGATGGGTTGTTTCCTTTTGAGATTTCCTGCGCCGCAGCTCCGCCGGGTGTCGCCAGGCCTTCTTCGGATACAAAACCCAGCACAAGCCCATCCACGAAGTGCCGGAGGACCGGACATACGTCATGGGCTCACAGGTTTGTCCCCCTAGGCGGCACGGCATGACCCAGACTCGCGGGGCGTTTGTTTTTCCATTCTTTATTTGCCTTCATAGGCTTCATTTTAACATCATCCAGCTCTCAGCAAGAAGGGCCTAATTTTTCCCCTGGAGAATCCACCGGCGGACCGGAAAGACGCCCTTGCCTTTTTGGGGGAAGCTACGCCCCAGCGGTTCATGCCAGTCCGCCAGTGTGCCAGGCGATCCGCATAAAGAATGTCAATGCACTCGGGAATAGCCTCACTTTGATGCACCCTGGCATTAAATCGGGCTCGTCCTTTTTGAGGGGTACCCTTGTTGGGGCTGGTTTAAAGGGAAGCTAGAAGGGAACCACCCTCTACTGGGGGTCCAATCCCAGTTTAACACCAAACCATTTAGAGTTTCTTTGGCCAAGTCCGATTTTCAGGCATCCCTTTGGTTGTTTTGCCTATTGAGGTGCGTGATCCCGTGGATCTTCTGCTTCATCATCTCCTCCGCCCTGCACTGGACCTACGAGGCGGACCTGTCCAGGCTCCAAGCCAAGCAGGAGGCGGTGCCCGACGTGGATGACGAGGAGGAGGAGCTGTGGCTGCTGCAGCCCCCGTTTTGGACCGGCGGCAGCCCGTAGTGGGGTTTGGCTCGGATTTTCCCTGGTTAGGTTGGTTTGAAGGGAAGGAACAGGGAAAGCAACACGGAAAGCCCCCCTAGTTTGACACATATTCCTATAGCCTATACCCATATGCTGCTCACGGTTGGAGAAAGACCGACTTGTCCATTGGTCCCATTTCGGTCCATTTTTGGCCATGGGACCAGCGAAGGTTGCGAAACAACCTGCATGACAATTGTTATTTTTGTGGCATGTCGAGAGCGATTGCCATGTGGCATGCCGGCCGTCTCACCTCGTGATTGCTTGCCGGAAGAGGAGGCAGCGCCAAAAACCAGCGCCAAGCTCGCATCAGTTGCCCCTATGGATCTCTCTCTCTCTCTCTCTGTCATTTCTGAGGGACCCTTGGTTTTTTCAGGGAACAGGGAGGCAAACCATTGTGAGGGATCATTTGATGAGAGCCGGTTCGTGCTTTCAAGTGCGCAGCCGGCAGCACCTGTACGCTGCCAGGCGCAGCCGGCAGCGGCGAGCCCGGCGCAGTTTGGGCAGCTGGGCGCTGTTTGGCCATAGGTCTCAGGTAACCTTTAGTTGGTTTGGATCGGGATGGTGGTTTGGGGATTTGAACCCCTTGTTGTGCAGAGTAAATGCAACACCACGCCTAACCTCTAAACCACCAATCCAAACCACCAATTATGCGACATGGGGATGGCAAAAAGGCCACCTCGCATGAGGTAAGCTGCATGTGGCAGGTTCTGACATACCTCGCATGCGATTGTCCAAACAGCAGGCGTTGGAATTTGGCCCTGTTTGAACCGGCAGAAGATGTCAGCTTGAAAGGGCAAGGAAGAAGGATCTGGCAAGTACGGCTTCAAGTTGCTGCACTCAGCATGGCTGGCATTTGAGGTATGCTCAACCCCCAGCGCAAGGCTATCAGCAGTTCTACCAGCAAGCCTATGGCCAGCCGAATGCTCCCGGCCAGCAGCCATATGGCCAGCAGCCATATGGCCAGCAACCGGCCTACGGTCAGCAGGGCTACGGCCAGCAGCCGATGTACCAACAGCAGCAGCAGCAGCAGCAGCAGCAGCAGCAGCAGCAGCAGCAGCAGCAGCAGCAGCAGCAGCAGGGCTACGGCCAGCAGCCGGCCTATGGCCAGCAGCCGGCCTATGGCCAAGCGTATGGGCAGATGCCTGGGCAATACCAGGCCCCAAACCAAGCGCTTCTTGGCAAGACGGTGCATGGGTTTGGGGGCAGATGGGGCGCGCCCCTGGTGGCTTTGGTTTCTGGTCATCTGAGGGCAGACGTGCAGCAGAGCGCCACACAGCAGCTTGAAGCGGGCCGCTCAGTGATGGCCAATCAGCTGGTGAAGCAAGAAAGCGAGCAGGCCCTTGCCAAGACCCTGCCAAGCTTGTTCTTTTCATCGGGGCGCTTTGGTGCGCATCATCGGAACTTATGTCTCCACGACATTCTGGAGGGTGTTCAACCAAAACGTCGTGGAACCCCCAAAATGGCCTGTGTCCTTTTTCCGTTGCCGTCTCACCAGACAGGGGGTCCGCAGTGCGACGCCCGCCATTTGGTCTTCGAGGCCCTTCGCCAGTCTTTGGGGGGTGGCCGCGAGCCGCGGGCCGCTGCAGGAGGCGCGGGTGGAAAGCTCGTTGGATTCGGCGGCGATCCAAAAGCCGTGGGCTTTTTGGCTCAAAGCAAGTTGACATGTTGGGCTCTGGATACGGTGCCTGCGGGAAAAGGGAGAAAGGGGGAACGGGGCACCATGTTGGGGCCGAAAATCGGACAAACTGAAATTCCGCAAGGTGACACAAGTGGGTGCGGCGGGAGGGGATGAGAGGAGCTGACGGCTGCACCCGAAACCCGCTCTTCGCCAAGTTGCTGGGACCTCAGCCCAGACCGTCGGCCCGTTGGCCCGAGAGAAGTGGGAAGAGGTAGCCCAGGCGAGGGAAAGGATGAGGAAAGGAGGCAGAGATCGTGTGTGAAGCATGTGGTCAGAAATGAGAGTTCTGGTCGTGCGGTGTTTACATCAATTTCTGCGGCCATCTTTGTCCACTTTGTTCTTGACTTCAGATCGCATGCTTTGTTTCCAGACTTCTGCTTGCTGGCTGCAGTTGAGCCGAAGACAACCACCACGTAGTGGTCGGTACCCACCAGAAAGCGAAGAGAACCACTTCCTAGTGGGATGGGGTTATCTCCTTTTAACGTGAGAAGACTACATGTGCCATGCCTCCGTGATTCCCTTTTGGTATATGGGTGTGACATTTCGTTCCTTTTGTGCGGGCCAAGAGATCCACAGTTCTTCCAAACAGTCCCTTCAAGAATATGGCCGACCATCTAAATGGTTGCGAGGTTTAACCGGGGTCCAGCTGGGGCGGTCATCAGTCAAAGCCACCCCTGGCAGCAACTGGGCTCGTCTCTCGAGGCACGGCGCGCTGCAGAAGCTTGCGCTGCTTGAGCAGGATCCGGTGGAGGCGCCTGAAAGAAGACCGGGAACGCTTGGCTTGGGCATGTTCTGGGCAAGGCCTTGCTGAAACATGTTGAAGCACCTGTTGGGCAGAGCCCCAAGAAGCCATTGGAATAATTCCTTTTGGGGTACTTCCAAAAAGGCTTCCAATTTAAGTTGCAGTGGAGTTCATCACCATGTCCATACTGAGCCAGAGAGAAGTGTGTTTGACTGAGCTCTCAAGGTGAGCAACCTTGGCGTTCACAAGCTGAGGAGTGCACTACGCCTGTGTCTTGTCGCCCTTGTCTGCGAAAGCTGCGTACAACGGCGATTTGGCGAGCCCCTCCCCACAACTTCTCCGACTCAGCCCATAAATGACACCACTCATGTTTTCCCCCTCCATCCCAAGATAAACAACTGAGAACTTCCCAGCGTTTAATGAAACCCAAAGTCGTTTGAGCATGTTGCCGCAATAAACTGAGAGCGCCCACCCAAAACTGATATACTGGAAATTCTCCGCATCTCCGAATTTCTCCACAGGTGGCCCGCTTAGAGGGCTGTCCAGGTTTACAGAGAAACCCCCCCAAAAAAAATATAAAAACGCAAGAAGGTGAATTTGAAGAAAGAGTCGACAGGCCTCTTTCCAGATCCATGAGGCCTGGGAGGAGTGCCTGCCTAAGGAGTTTTCGGCTTGAGCTGAGACCAAGGTTATGGGCTTGGACATGTCCCAAAATCAAACTTTCATTTGATGACGTTTACCAAGAAAGAAATGCGCATTCAGGGACTCTGCCTCGTTTCGGGGCATTTGACGTGCGGATCGTGAAGCTGTCTGCTTTTCCTTGACAACCCGGTTGGCAAAGCGTACAAGCGAAGAGTCGGCGTCCTTCGCACTGAGGAGCCCAGGCCTCTTCGAGGAATGCCCCGCCGGAGTGGTCACCGCCCTAGTGTACCTCAGCATTGCGCAGGACTCCTCGCCTTGCCTCTCTGGGGCGCATGAAGACTGAGAGGGATCACTGGTAGACAAGCGCAGGCCATCGTATGAAGCAGGTCAACCAAAAAGTCCCGCCAAGCTAAGGAAGCAAGCCCCTTGACAGAGACGATTTCATTTTCTTTCTCCGCAAGTTGAGATGGAACTCAAGGTCCAAGAGCTTGTCCTAAGATGATCAATGGGTGCCAAGTGGAGATTTGTCAGGACAAAGACTGGAAGTATCGCCTCCTGCACCGCGTGATCCACTCAGCTCAGCTTGAGACACTCGTGGGTGGAGCCTCCAATGGCCGGAGGCCACCTATATGCTGTACTCCACCCCGGGCCTGCCGGGGAAAATGGATGGGAGCTCGGATGTGTGCGAAGTGTCCAAACCAGGAAGACCAAGGGACATCGCAGCTGGATGGGTTCCCGGTTTTGAGAGAGCCATTTTTGGTTTCGAAGCCCGTAGCAATTGAGGCGGCCGGGCGGTGGCCTATGTCTGACAGGCGCGCAAGGGTTGAGTTGGACATGGGGAGCCCACCCAATTTTTCTAGACGGCTCCGTTGCCAGGTTAATTAGAACCATGTACCACAACTCCGAAGCCGCTGCCTCGGATGCGTTCCGTAAGCGGGGTTCCCACTGTCGGAGGATGCCCACGATGCCCTGAGGTCATGGGGAAGCAGCCCTTGAAGATGGCGGAGGTGGAGGTGGCAAAGGGGGAGGGGTGAGTGGGGCTAGGTGTTAACCCCTTCGCTGGGGGAAATCCGTTGGGAAATCTTTTATCACCATTTGGTAGCAATCGCAGCCCGCGACTTCAAAAGGGTGCCCCTGTCAGTTCTCAGCTTTCGGGGTTATTCCGCCAGGGATTTTTTCAAGAGGCAATGAAGCTGGTCTTGGGCCGGGCTTCTTTGTTTCAGCCACCAATTTCGGTTCACAACACAACCAGCTGCTTCTCATGGAACTTCCTGGTTTCTTCCTTAGAACCTCTGGGTGGTTTTATTTCTCTTACCTGTTTGGGAAAATGTGGGTCCGTTTTTCTTTGAGGGTACCCCCGTTGTTCTTTTGGGAAGCCCAAAGGAGAAACCCGGATGGCGCCAATTGGTGGTCCCAGGTGCAGCCGGGCACCACGGCGGCCTCGCAGGCGGCCAACGTGGGCCTGGATGAGGCGTACCACCTCTCCACCAGGCGGAGACGGTTCTGGGTGCTATTTGGGATCGGCTGGGTGGGGGTGGGTGTTTCGGGTGGTGCTCTTGATTGGTAAGGTGAGTGCGATTTTTAATCGCATTCCGGCTTGCGGGTGTGCCAAGTGAAGCTCCGACAGTGCCACGTCAGCTTTCTGCCGAAGGATTCGCGGCCCCGTATCGCAGACAGACAGACATTGGCTCTAACATCCGCAGGCACAAGGACACGCTGTCCGTGCACTTCACGACGGTGCTTTTCTACCACTTTTACCACCAGGAGAGCCCAAGAGAATGCCCAGGGCCACAAATCCGCAGGTGTTTGTCCTGAATCTCTTACATTTCCAGTTGGAGAGGCGGAAAATGAGCGGGCTTCAAGTTGGAAAGGCTGTGCTTTTCAGGAGCGCTCGCCCTGCGCTTGCAGAACGCGGTCCTGGTGTCTGCCTTTCTGGACCAGGCCGTTTCGCGCGTCCCCGGTGAGCCGTTTCGGTGATCCGTTTTGGATCCCCGGCAGAGACGGGGGGGGGGGGGGGATTTGTTAAAACCGACGAATCAAAGGGCGGTTCACCTTGTCCGGGTTTCGTTGAAAGTGCTCTTTCACTCGTCGAGTCCCGGATGCTCACCAAAATGCAGCGCTCGGACTGTTTTGCTGCTTGCCATCCCAACGGGGGTTACATTTTTTGAGAACTCCAACGTTAACTGTAACGCCGGGTTTTCCAGCCACCCCTGTGTTGAGTACCTTGGGGGTAATGGGGTAATGTGAACTTCAGATTCATCCTCATTTCCATACTAGTCACAGAAATCCCCCTAGAATGAATTGATCCCGCTCTAAGATTGAGGTTCCAGCTGACTTCTTCATTTGCTTAGTCCACAGTCACCATTAATCTTTTTCGGGAGCTCCACAGCGAAACCACCCATTCGAGTTTCCTTTGGACAGAGACCCTCAAGCAACCTCTCCGAGCTCAATTCCAGGTACCTGACCAACAGCTCCGTGGATGTTTGGCTTGCTGCCCGCGATGACCAGAAAACGCCCCCGCCTTGGGATGTCTTGTGTGCGGCTGGACGGTCTGTCGTGCTCACACTCCTGGTCTGACTGCTTGACCTTCATAGTGCACATGTGTGTATGCAGGCATATGTCTATGTATCTATGTAAGATGTATATGTAAAATTGTCAACAAATATACGTAGGCACACGTGTGTATCTCTCTCCCTATCTGTACACGCACACACGCATGTGAGGGCGCGTGTGTGTGCTTGTGCGCAAAGATTCGGGACCATTAAAGTCTGCAGTTTGGTCCGGTCCACATTTTGACATTCCGTTCGAGCAGCTCCGATGAGCATTTCTGAGGCTGTATCGGATGGACCGAAGTGGATGTCTTCGAAACACTGGGCACAGGCAAGGGCCAAGACCAAGTCAGCCAGTGTGAATCAGAAAAAGGAAAACTCGCTTGGCAGCCTGTCCTCGAACTACTTTGCGGAGCCCATCGATTTGATGTTTGTTTTCGAGATCAATGCATTGATGCCGTGCTCCCAGAGACGTTTTGCCGCATGTTTGAATGCCTGAGCACATGTGTGATCTTGCACAGACTGGAGTGATGTCAAGCTGCTCATTGGGAGAGCGCGCAATGTGCGACCAAGGCATCCGATCACCCGCGTCATGCCAGCACGGCGAGTGCTGCTGTATCCAACGTGCGCATTGGTTGTTGGATTCAAGTTTTTTGGCATGTGCTTCTTGAGGAACCCAACAAATCATGTGAACGTACGGTCTGCTGTCCATTCTTTCAACAGGTACGACCTCTCGGAGGATCAGATGAGCAATTTCGAGGACGGAGCTCTTTCTTAAATTTGGACACCCGTTTCAATAGTCTCTTGCTGCATGCAGCCACTTGAGGCATTCTCCAATTTCATTAATGCCTGCCGGATGGTGCTGCGTGCTTTCCCTGCTGGCAGGAGCTTGGTGTTTCTGTTCTTCCAGATGATGCCGTTGCTGCCCTAGCCATGAGCAACAGACGATGCTATGGGCAGGGAGGGGGCGAAAGGTCTCGAATTCCCAATGTCCTGCCCAACCAGCTGGAAGGGCTTCAAGGTAGGTTGCCAACCGCTTGTTTCAACACGTTTCGACCACTCTTGCAGCAGCCTCCTTTTGGTTTCCCTTAAAACAAAAGCCTTAGGGGGGTTGAGGTCTAGTCGCCCATCGCCGCATCGCTGAGATCCTGAAGCCGCCGAACCCGGCGTTTCGGAAGATCCTCGATGAGGCGCGGGGGTGGTGGAGTCAAATGGCAGGTTTTTCGGACATGAGTGGTGTCTCTGTTGTTTTGAAGGGAAGCCAAAGGAAACCCCGCCAGTTTTGGGGTGCCCTAAAAAAAGACAAACCCACATAGGGGAGTCACAGGGACTTTGACATGTTTTCTCGTGGCTCAGTTGACCCTTTGCCGAGGCCCATGCCGTTGATGAACCTGTCAGCAAGGTTTGCAGCCAAAACCCAAGCCGCTTGAACAAACATCGGACCTGAGATCTGAAACCTGAGAGGTAGCCTCAGAAGCAGACACCGGAAAGCAAACCTGAAGCCAAGACCAGGAGCCTGAAACCGGGCTTGGTCATGATACATGGTCAAAAATTAGCCAATGTGCAATTTCTAAAACCCGATGGCATTCAGGGGTGGGTTCATGGTCGACCATTTGAAGGAGCCCTTTTCAGGGCCTTTTGGAAGAGAGACTCCAATGGAGGGTAGTGCCTCTTGCGGTGTTTTCCCACTAGGGACCTTGTCCAGATCGATTGGGTTCTGAGCGATCCTTTTCCGCTGGGCTTTCGGCCTCCCAGGCCGTGTCGGTGCGGCAAGCGCGGCTCCAGCGGCCCAAGGAGTGACGGCACGGCTCAGCAAGAGGCTTTCGCGGAAGTTACGACGGCAGCAATTGCCCCACATTTCCCCCCCAGAACTGGTGGGGTGGTGCGGTTCGGGGTGGCCAGGTCTTGGGCCGAAAGGTATTTGGCCTTCCAAGGGTGGAGGAGTTGGGGGAGAGTAATTGAAGCTTAGCAGGGGGCTGTCCCAACCACAAGCAGGTGAGGCAAGCTCGTTTGATGCTTTGCTATGGGTTTTGGGTAGACTTCTTTGATATCGGAACTCAATTGATGCAGCCCAGGGTCTTCATACACCAATGGTTGAATGTGTCAACACTTTCGGGATGGGCGATTTGTGTTGCCCTCTCTACAGCTTATCCAAAAGAATCCAACTCGTTTCGCGGCCAAATCTTTTTCTCATTTGCAGAGTCAAGAGGGCCTGTGAGTGTTCAGCAGCCGCATCGGCTCCCGTTTTCAGCATGATGAGAGAAGTCCCACCCGACCGGACACCTCTAGCTGCGATTCGGGAGCATTCACGCGACTCGGATGCAAGCGGGCCAATTGGTGAGGTCAGATCCCTCGTGCAGAACTCGTCTCCTTGAGGGTAAGAAGGTGAGCCGGCACGAGCCAGGGCGAGCCAATGAGCCAACTTGGTCTCCAATGTGAGGAATCCCCAACATCTTTAGGAAGCATCTAACTTTTGAGCATCCAAGAGGAAGCACTATCGACCCCATCCATGCCCGAGGGTCGGTATCCTTTTAGGTCACTTCGGCTAGCAGATGGCACCCAATTTTTATGGAAACACCGCAGGACAAATTGCTGATCTTCCCAGCTGACATTCGGTCCACACCTCAGCTCGAGAATTGTGGGTGCCCTGCGTATGTGGCCAATAGGAGTTGGGCATTAGTGCGGGGCAGTTTTGGCAACGCTTGGAGGGGGGCCAACTCCCGAAAAACACCGCCCCATGGGTGTGGCCCAAAACTAAAGAGCTAGGGTTACGCCGGTTTATTGCGCAGGCTCAGTCTTTGTTTCCATTACCCATGGGGCCATTTTGGCTCCAAACAAAACAAAACTCCCCAAAAAGAGGACAAGGCCCTGTTGCACGGTTTGAGCATAAACCGCATAAACCCCCAGAGGGATCCGAGGCCCATCAAGGGCCAGCTGGAGTTCCTCTCGGGGCTTCTCTTTGAGGGAGCGCGGCGGCCCTCGGCGGTGCAGCGCCTGCCGGGGCGCCCAAGAAGAAGCTCCACACGCACGCACAAGGGCGTGGCTCAAAATTAAACAGGAGGGGTTACGCAGGTTTTGGTCCATGTTTCCACTTACCAGGGTGCCATTTTAGTACCGGTTTTTTGGGCCACAGCCACAAGGGCATGCGAATTCCACTTTCTGACTTGCCCCAAAAACAGCAATAAACCAGGGATGGTTCGTTACCCTCAAAGGGGGGACCCCCTGCAGGTTAAGTCCTGAAACCCTGTGGGCATGTGCCCAAAGATTCATGCCTTTACTAGGGGTAGAGATGGTCATCAATCTCTTACTGGGTTTAGACAAAGTGCAGAGGTTCCTAAAATGGATTCAAGTACTAGTTAAAGGTCCTGAGCCTATTTTTGACGACAGACGACACAACTGCTGTGTCTGCTGTGGTTGTGATTGTGACTGCAACGGTTGCTTCAGTTTTGATTCTGTTGCTCTTTTTGTCGCTTGCGTTTTATTTTCACTGTCAATATTGCTCGCGTTCGCGTCAATTCGAGTGATCCTCCTATGTACAGGTTGAAGGCCCTTATTTCTCCTTGGTAGTTGTACTATGTCAAGGGTTGTAGACCCTCATTTCCAGTGGTTCATGGCTGTGGATTGTGGTTGGTTTTAGATGGCCACCTTCTGTGGCCAAGGGGTTCCCGTTTCAAGGAAAGATGGCTTGACCAACTGAGTTTGGAAGCTTTTCTTTCGCACTTGTGTGGTGACGCAGAGCCCGGGATTTGGGTTTCGTCCCCTTCGCTTGTTGTCGCTGTGTCCAAGGCGCGGCCTCACCATCGTGGTGGCAGGGGGCTGTGATGGGAACCAGACCTACTGCTCAGAGGCGGATCCGGAGAACCCCTCTCGTGGCATCACTCACCAAACTCCGACCCACAGAAGGCCACTCAAAGAGAAACACCTTTCCCAAAGAGACCCTCCGCTTTTTTTGAGGTCTTTTCCGGCCTTCCCCAATCTTTTTTGGCGCGTTTGCGAGCACGCTCGCTGGCTCTGCCTGGCTGGGCGGGAGCCCAGCAAGAAAGGGAGGAAGGATCCGTGCAAACTGAGAATACGTGAGTACGTCCGAGCAGTGAAAGACCAGTTTCCCTTGGGTTCGAAGGCATGAAGCACTCCCAGATGGACAGGTGGTCGCCATGACGCAGAAGATCAACAATGAGAAGCTGCTGAGTGTGGTGGTGGCAGACCAGTTGAAGGACCGCTAGCTTGCGTCCCGACAAACCATTAAACCATGCCAGCCTCAAATCCGATCCAGGTGAAAGCTTGTAGGGTCGCAAATGAGGCCCTGTCCAGCTTGGATGGTGGTGAACCACGGGACTTGAGATAATGCACCGTGGGCATTCAATTCAGGGGCTGGTTTTGACAACGTCCACACCGGGCGAAGCCAATACAAGCTCGCTGGCAGAATGAAGCCAGAAGTCGATAGCACCAGTTCTGTATTAAGCAAAGTCCTAGTTCCATTGCGCACTTTCCAGGAGCATGCATTTGTTGATGCCACAATGTGCGCTGCAAAGGACATTGATGAATGGATTAGATTTGGTTGGATTGCTTTGGCTTGGACTGGGTTGCCTTGGGTTAGCCATGGGATCGAATCATGGGTGGACGGCGTGGCTTCAAACGTGGGCTGTCTGTTTTGGAGGGCAACACTTCCATGCAAGGACGACGAGCTCGCGCAGCTCTTTACAGCTTCGCTGGGCGTGGTCTGATACTCGGCCTCGCCTTGGGTACTTCAAAAGGGAACCCTCATAGGTGCTGTCGTTTGGTGTTGTGTCAGACCCTCAGTATAGAAACAGACACTCACACACACACACACCCTGTATTGATTTGCTTTCGCCAATTCAAAGTCGGTTTGCTTTTGGTGCTGAGCCAAGCTTAAGATTGTGTTTTGGGTAGGTTCTGCTGATACCAGCCTTTGCTTGTAAACATATAAGCAGTGGTCAGTATTCATTTTGTTGAGTGTCTTTGAGGGAGCCAGCAAAGAACCATGTCAGATCGAGCGGGTTTTTGTGTTGTTTTTTCGTGAAGCTGCCTCACTTGCCCTGAGAATCGATGTTCACTTGCTGGTAGCTTGCACTGATTGGAGGCAGATAAGACACAGATGCGTGAAGCTATCGAGAGCAGAGCACATTGCTGCCAGTCGATCCTAGACAATGACATATCCTCCTCACACCCAGAAGCCTGGAACAGGACACCATGTGTCCCCTGATACCCCAAACGATGGTGAATTCTTGAATAAAGGGCCTCCAAACCAAGCACTGAAGGGTTGGCATTTGCATGTTTCTAATAGGGGCTGTGCTCGCACTGGATGGATCTTCATCGCATGCTGTTTTGTCCAGCACATTTGCCAAGAAGACCTTTCGACACATTTTGCGAGGTGCTGCATCCCATCATCGACTGCAATCCTCGTGTGGTCTATGAGGCATGGAATTGTGGGTTTCACTTTGCAAATTGCGCACGTGAAGCAATGCACGCGTGAAGCAACTTCGAAAAGGGTCAGGGTACTTTGTAATTGGTCAGCAGCTATGGTTCCATCTCACTTAACAAGGTTGTAAGCGTCCAAAGTGTGTTGTAGCCATATTTGCCAATCACGCCGTGGCGCTCCGGCCAGCCTGGCAGCTGTCAGGGACTTGTCACCGACACGCCCTTCTTCGTCACCGAGAGTGCACGCTTGCCCTCCTCAGTGCAACATCTAGGCGACGGCCTTACGGGCCACAGCTTTATTTCAGAAGCACAGCGAGGAGTTTGTTGAAAAACATCAAGCACAGTTTGTGGAAGTCCAGTCATGCCGTTTTTCCAGCTTGATGGTGATGGAATTGTACTTGAGCATGATGAGCGAGTCAAGCTTATCACTGCCAGCGGAATTTTGCACCTGCTGCTGTTTGGAATGCCTCGGTGTCGGTACAGAAGAATGTTATTGAGCATTCCCACCCCCTAAGAAAGATACGGAAGTGGCGAGAGTACCCGTGGCAAAGGGACCCTTCTCCATGCCTTTTCCCTTCAGCGGCATCCTGCCAATTGAATGGAACCCCCAAACCGTCATCCTCAGAAGAATCTGCTTTTGACCATCCTTGATGGATTCCGTCTGAATTTGGAAGGAGGGCCCCCGCGCCTTTCCCTGGGTGCGGACGGTTGGAAGCTTGGCAGGCCACATCACCGATGGTGACTCCTCCATGGTGGCTGAGAGGCTTGGGACGTCTTCCTTGTTATTCGCATGGTTCCATTTTTCTTGTTTATGTGGCGTACGGTTGTGGGTCAAAATTAGGTACCCAGAATGAAACCTGGTACATGGAACCCAGCACAACCTGCGGTCATATCTGAATGATTCACACGGTTCTCCACCCGGTGTGCCTGCCACTTGCGAGGCTTGCTGATTTCGTGGATCTCTGCGAGGCTGGGCTTCAGCACCGTATGAGCGCCATGTGGGCGTTTTTCTTTTTCGCTTTTTGAAGTTGTTCTGAACCATTTCACGGCGTTTAACCGCTTTTGGAACAGGACCACTTCGATGCTTGGTTGCCTTGTGGCTTGTCTTTCTTCTCACTCAACAAGTCCAAGTCCATTCTTGGGCCCATCCCGATTTGTTCGACGGCACCTTTTGGTGGTGGTGCAAAAGCCAAGCTCTTTCATTTTAGGGACGTCCTTGTCTGAGGCCACCCATATTTGGATTGTTTGAGGAAGCCGACAACTTCGCAGCAGTTCTTTGGTTTCATCACCTCAAATCGGGAAGCCAACGAAAACGCTCGTTTTGCAGGCTTCCCCATTCCAAGCACTTTGCTCTGCCCATCTTTGGCTCGCCTTTTTCCCCATTTCAGCGGCCAACAGGAGACCAACAGTTTGATATGCCCATCTTTGGCTTGCCTTTTCCCCCATTTCAGTGGGCCATCAGGAGACCTTCGCCTTTTTTTCCCGGAATCGGCGCCGCGTTCTTCCCCCGGCCGCCGGCGCCCAAAAACCGCGCGCTGCAGGCGGGCGGCTTCAGCGGCCGTGCCCGGGAGTTCGCGCGGCGGCACCTGACGGAGCCGGAGAACTACCGGCAGATGGCGCAGTGGATGGAGCAGAAGTGCCGCCCTCGTGTTTTCGCCGCCGTCTCTCGCGAAATGCGGGGTGGGGTGGTAAGGAGGGTCGGAGGAACAGAAACCATCTGGGATTAGGGTAGGGTGCTGAACTATGTTTGATGTTTGAGTAGATACGGTTGCCACCGTGCTTGAACATGTTGACGTGCCAAGTCTGTAAAAATTGCGCAGTGATAAATCTTTAGGACGATTCTCTTCGGGCAACCCCACCCAGCACTTCTTCAGCGGCGAGTGAGCTGGCTGGAAAGCACGGAAACGCAGGTACGTATCCGGCAAGGTGTCTGAGCCCATCATCCGCGGGGAGGCCGATACATGCAAAACACCGTTCTTTTATTAATATTTAATGGAGGGCCACAAGAGAAAGATGACCAAGAGACAACGTCAGGGATTCCAGATGCCCAACATGTTTTTGGTGCGTGGATCCATTTTGTTGGCTTTTTCCTCTATGGGCATCCAGGAAGCCTTGGGCGGCCTCGGCGGTGGCGTGGGCGGCCTGGCTGGCATCCTCCAAGGCGCGTGCGAGCGCGCGCCTCACATGGATAAAAATCCAGTGACGAAGCCACGGGTAGCCAAGGGAAAGTCCCACTGTGGGAAAGTTTTTAGCGGCGGCTCACTTTTGGTGTCACCCTGACTACCCAGGCTTGGTTTAGCCCTTACATCAACCACTCAATTCAAGTTGGGAATGGACCCAGTCTCTCGGCGGTGACAAGCTCGTTGGCGGCACAAGTTTGTTGTTTGTTATTCTTCTTCTTTTTAGTTGATTAAACACATAAATATTATAGATATATATATATATATTATTGGTGTTATTATTATTGTCTTTGTCTTGTTTGTCGCTTGCCAACTTTTTGCACCCGCCAGGCGCCGGCCTCGGTGGCGGCGGCGGCCTGGGCGCCACGCTCGGCGCCATGGGCGGCGCCATGGGCGGCGCCATGGGCGCAGGCGGAAGACGTGGATCGTGGCGTGCCGCCTTTCCATGGGGCGAGTTTCGTTTTTTTTTTTTTTTTTTGCCAGGACGGGTGCAGTTGCAGTGAATGCTGTTCTCAGGAGCTGGAGCTGCGGGGACAGGACCTGCTGGCTTCACCATGCGGGAGCGCGGGGGGGTTCAGTTCAGTCAAACACACGTGCGGACTGGTGCGGGTTGGTGGGTTTTCTTCCAAAACATGGGGAGGGTGGTAAGCCAACGAATCAAAGGCCCAAACCTGTTGTCAGACCCCTTTTGAAGCGCCTGCTGGACTGATGCCGCTTTTTTCCTGCCAGGAGCCCATGCGCCGGTAGGCGTGATGCGATAGCTTCGGTCCATACACCGCCGCTCTTGGAGAAATCCGAGTTGCGAGTTCTCCTCACGCACTGCTGCTGCTGATTTGTGGGTTCTTTTGGTCATTAATGATGTGTTCCTTTGCCAGGCGGAAAATGGGATATGTGCACCTCGATCTTTTTCCTCGGTCGTCATTTGGGGAGGCGGAAACCATGTTCTGACTGGAAGTTGCCACCGGTTCCGCGCATCCGCAGCCACTGAGTGCCAGCAGCTGAAACGCTCGCAAACCATGTGGCGCCCAGATCCAGGTCCCTGCGTGGCGTGCGCCTCAGGGCTTCCGGCCATTGAAAGATCGGACGCCAAGTACTTTGATTGTTCTTATTCTCATCTTCCAAGCACCTCGGCTGGTGTCGTTTGTTCAGCCTGAGGCACAGGTTGCTGATTGGGGGGAGCACCCAGATGACGTCGAGTGCTCCTTTTTCCGGTGGAAGCACCCACCTTGACAAAAAAATGAGCGCAGGTACATGCGCCAGCTGAAAGCCCTTCCGAAGAAAGTTCTGAAGAGGCGGCGTTCATACTACCTGGATGCTTCCGGTCAAGCGCGGTTTGTTCTGGGCCTTGATGTGGCCAGTCCTCAGTACGACTGGATATGCTGCATTGTCTTATCTTGTGCTTTGTCAGGCGCGAGATTGTCGCCAAGGACACGTCTTGCAATTGTTCTGGCGTTCTATGCCAGTTCATTGTTGCGCAATGCTGGTGCAGCAGAGAGACGAGCAAAGGTCGGTTAGCCATAGCAAGTCCAGAGTGACTTGCGCCGAAAGAAGCAAGTCTGCCACGCATAAGGGCCAAACTGCCACACGTCAAGGTCTCGCATGTTTCTCTTCGGCAAGCATAGATGGTGAACCAGCCAGCATATTATCCCCTTTGGGTAATCTGAAAGAGGGTGTGGCCAGTTCGCATGAACAGGACTCGGACATCAGGCGGGTGTGCCAGAAGCAGGGCAAGGCCCGACCTGCAAGCACATGTACTGGCCCCATCACCACCACCACCAGGGGTTCTTTCCTATCCCGTTGACTTAAACCACAAGGGGCTCCCCTTTTGAAGAAACCAACAACTTAAATCAACCGTGCCTGTTGCTCGTTTGGGTGTTATACATCCCTGAAAAGACGTCTAGTGGCCTTTTTTTTCCCACCAGACACTTGCCATCCAAAAGCCTTTCTTGGCCTTTTGAGCCAAAGAGCAGCAGGTACCTTGTTCAAGGTGGTTTTAAGGGAAGCCGCGAGGAACACCGACAGTTTGTTGGGATAGTGGTCAGAGCCCGGGGTCCATGGCGTGGGGATTTAAATTTTAAGCGTCAGATCCACTTCTCCGTGGCCTGCTGGAACCTCTCGGAGTACTCCCGCAGCGGCGGCCTGGAGGACCAGGCGCCGAATCGCTGGGGAGGGGTTCGGGGCTGGTTTTTTAGGGGGCTACCCATTGGTTTAAACGTGTTAAAACCACGAGGATGTCTGGTGAAGGTGGGGTTTAAACCATATTTTGCCCCTAATTCTGGTGGGTTTTCCGTTTGGTTTTGTGGAACCAGTGCTTCAACTCCAAGGGCCCCGGTTCGGCCGGGCCAGAAACCAATGGTTGGCTGAAGCAGAAACCACCAGGTTTTTGCCAAGGCAGCTGTGGTCTCTTCCTCTTTGGGTCGGACACTTTCTGGGATTGAGAAACTTCCGTTGGCCGTACCTACCAAGGACTGAGACACCTGAGTCAAAGAAAAGCTGCGAGGAGGTGTTCCCCCTCGGAGTGCATGTCCGTCCACCATTTGGAGGGCATGCGCGACACAGTTTCTTGAAGGGACAATCATGCTTAGGATACCCTCCGGTTCTGGTTGCCGGTTTCAACCGCAAGGCGGCCAGCCTCATCCACGTCTTCTATGAAGCAAAGGACGAGCGGAAGGTGCGAGGGACGTTGATGTGGCAAGAAATCCTTGTTTACCGATCATTATTCGGGACTGTGTCAAAGGAGGGGGGACTCTCCAAGGTTGCCTTCATTTCTTTTGGTTGTCCTTTAAGCCAAGCACATCCATCACTATATTATATGCAACCTACACATAGATACATGTGTATATATATATCACATATATATATACATTATAATATGTATATATATACACATAATATATATATATATGTATATACATATATATATATATATACACACATGACGCACACACACACAGAGTTGAGTTTCTCTTTGGCGTGTTGACAGGGCAACTAGGAAGCCTCTCCGTGGCAGGTGCTCAATGCCTTCTCATCTGCCGGCATTGACCTTGAGCTGGACCCTCAGCTGGGACATCCTCTTCGGAGAGAAGGGGCGTGGCAAGTGGTGGGTGGACAAAGCTTGTATGGAAAAAAGAGACGCGTCCACTAAAGCTCCCATGGAACAGAGAGAGGGAGAGAGAGAGGGAGAGGGAGAGGGAGAGAGAGAGAGAGAGACGCGTCCACCAATGGGTCTCCCAAAGAAATGACCCCAAGGGTTGCCCAGTTGCCCCTCCAGGTCGCAGGAAGCTGTGCCCGTGGACCCAAACTCAAGCTCGGCGCCCGGACGGACGTGCACCTACAGCCCAGAGGACCTCACATGGCCATGGGTCAAAGCCCAAATACCCCCAAAAAGCATCCCAATCCCCACTAAAATGGACTAAAATGGGTGGTGCCCACCGCCACACTGGCCTAAGGCAAGAGGTATGAGCAGCAGATCATGTATGCGAAGGAGTGCTTGTACATTCAGGACCTGGGCGCTTGTTTCCCCGACCTTCCGGGCCCAGTTTGCATGTAAAATCTGCCAGGACGAGAACACCTGGGAAGAAGGCACCCCTCTCAAGCCGGAGGAGATCAAGCAGAGGCATCCAGATTCGAGCTTTCATGTCTGCTTTTGGGGGCTGAACCAGGGAGTGGGCAGAGTGTTCAGGTTCGAGAGCCGGATGAAGTGAGCGGCAGACGGCGATTGCATTTGAGCGCTTGAGACTTTGTGGATCCGGGGCTACCTGGGCTACCTGATTTGGGGGCGCCACCCTTGCATTTCTGCCCACAGAGCAAACATGATTTTGGCATCAGTTGGATAAAAACATGCCCTTTGAAGGAGTCGCTCGACTATGAACTTTCGCAAGCTTTCAGAGTCTTCCGCGCGCAGGGAACAAAACAGGGCTGCGTGCCAAGCAGACCGGACAAATGCCATGAGCCGTGATCCTCTTTGCAGCCGACGTCCCTCAAAGCTCATCTGTCCCGTGACCACCGCGGATTGAGTCAAGGCCTGGAGCACGCCCGTGATCTGCGCTTTGCTGAGAAGATGTTTCAACTGACAGCCGACTTGTTCACTAATTTGCCCCCCGTGACTGTGCATGGCATGTGCGTGTTTGTTTGCGCGTTTTCATGTGTGCTAAACTCTAGATGTCGAATCCAAGCTGCAAACTGTGCCAACCCTACTGGCGGCGGACTTGAATGCTGCACATAACTTCCCAGTGAAGCATCAAGTTGTTGGGGCCACAGTCAAACCTATTGCGGCTGACAACTTATATTATCGAGCCTTCTGGGTTCGTTTACATTTGTTGGCTTTCAGGTTTTCCTTCCTACTGATCCGGAATTTTCTGATGCACAGATGCGGCTCTGACTTTGCGGGATGTTCTGATACGGGCCAGATGCACCTGGAGTTGTTGGACAAGCTGGCGGCAATCTCAGCAAGAGGCCTTCATGGCCACGAGTTCTTTTTGAGCGAGAAGAGGTTCGCATGCGCGCGCGTGTGTGTGTGTACCAATCAACCGCGTGCCGGATGCGGTTCAGCAAGGCCATTTATGTGGTGGTTGTCACGCCACTTATCATCCTCTCCAAGCCCGTCTTGCCCAAGGCGATCGGGGCAGTAGCCGTGAGCTGCATGAGGGGTGGTGCTCCCTATTGCCTCATTTCTCGTGTTCTCTTCCTGTCTTGGGCACATTGCAACGACTTCTGACGGAAATGAGCTTGCTTTCGTTTTTGTTGCTGTTTCTCCCTCTCCCCAGCCGCGTTTCTCTCCGTGTGAAATTGGTTGTTTCAAGACTTGGACGCTTTGTATTTTTGCCGTTTCAGGGGCCACTGCCAGGAAAGCCAATTGAGTGGCAGCCCCCTTTGACAACTCGTGACAACCTATTCATCCGGAAACATCAGAGCTGGGGTCCGCATCATGCTCTGGGACACCCCGCAGGTCAAATGGGGCTATGACTTTCTCCCGCAGATGGCCTTGCACATGCGCGGCGCTTGGACTTCATTGCAAGCAAGGGACTGTCAAAAAACGTGTCTCAACCCACCTGGAAGGAACCCGGTCGTAACGTTTGTTTGCTCTCGACTTTGTGGGAAGCACCCTCTTGGCTTTGGCACGGCTCAATCCCGGGCGAGAAGTTCAGGTGGTCCTTCTTGATTGCCTGCCTCATCCTCCTGCACTCCGGAGAAGGCAGCGTGGATACGAAGATGGACACCCGGCTGCAGCTTGGTGAAGCCTGCCTCAGTCGAGAGCAGCCACAACCGTCACCAGTCAAATGCCACAGGCACGCGCCCGCCATTCACAAAGCAATCATGGGCCTGTCCTTTTTTGCGGGTACCCTTTTGGGGTTGGTTTTGAAGGGACAATTGAAAACCCACCCTTGTTGTGGGCTCCCCTATTCTCCTGCTGCCTGCGAAGCATTGCAGCGAGAAAGTGAGGCCATCGTCTCCTTTGCCGCAGCTATGCTTATTGCAAGGAGCCCAAGGGGCAGACCTCAAATGACCGATGTTCGAACGAGCGCCTCGACGGTTCTCTGCCTTGAGGTCGCCAACTTGGCCACAGTGGGGTTCAATCTGAACCTTGCAGCTCCGTGTGCGGGGGGCCTCAAGGGTTCGATTTTTCAAGAAAGCTTCAGCACAGGTTTGCCCGAGTTTGCGGTTCCACTTCTTGACAAATTCAGGGTAGACTTAAACCCAGTGGTTCATGACCCCCCAAAAGGAGAATCCCTTTGAGTCTATCTTGGCGTAGTCAAGCAGAACCCTGGTTCGCATGGCAGAAAAAAAGCGGCCGTTGAGGTGGCCCTGGGCTGGGAGTTGATCTACACCGTTGACCGCTTCGGCAAGCGGGGCTCCGAGTCACCTGCGCCCAGCACTTGCGCGCTTTTTGAACGCGCGCGCTCTGTGCGAGGTGATGGTGTCGCCTTCCGCTTCGGACAGGTCGAGTTATGGAGAGTCTGCCTGGGATGGAAGAATTTCCACAGCCGGCGTTTTGCAAAGCGATAGCCGCCTGTTTGGGGCATTCATGGCAGGGCGGAAAATGCCCCAAATACTCACTCTCTTGAAAGCGACCCTTCTCAAAGCCACTGCTGGCAATTCATGGATCTATCTTTGTTGTTGAGGGTTCCCTTTTCGGGGGTGTTCACATTCCATTTCGTGATCAACCCATCTTTTGAACAGCCCCGGAGCAGGCCGAAGGCAACCTCCATCGGGTCGCGCGCTTGCGCGACCCGCGGAGACGAGCAAATGCGCGGAGTCGGGACAGCTACCTCAGAGAAGAGGGCATCGGGACCATAGATTCACCAATAAAATTGAAGATTTTTGACAATATAAATCATTATAAATCCAATATCCCAACAATTGACTAAAATATATATAAACATTCTTCGACATATATGGAAATGGATATTAGTGATAATTGGCACTATATAATATTTTTAAGGATTTGGGGGAATTCGTTGTTTTAATTGATTGTAATAGATATGGTAATTGGATAATGAGATTATGGAAGTATTTATTAATTTGTTTTTTTATAAACTAGTACGGTTTCGAGGTCGTATTTCTCGTGAATTGGTAAGCCGTTATATCGGTACTCCGGCTAACTCATAGTGTTTGTGGCGAGCGATTATATTTGTTATAGTTATTTATGGTCTTTTTTTCCGCGGTAAGCTCCTGTTTTTTCGCGCCTGAAATTTTCCGAAATTTCGGGGGGGGGGGGGGGGTAATAAATTTGTTTAGAGTTGCCGCGACGCAATCCGGTTATTTTTTTTTTTCCCCCCGAATTTTGGGTCGTTTTCGGCGAGGTGGTGTTTAGGTTTCTGGACGTTACCCCGCATTTCTTTTTTTAAGTTTGGCGGTTTGCCGAAAAATAAATATCGGGCCAAATTTCGGGGAAATTTAGGGATTTGTTTGAGTCGAAAATTTCCTTTCGGGTGTCTCCGTATTTTTGCCTCTCTCTGTGTCTCCTAGTCTGTTTCCGTGTGTCCGTATTTATCTATTTCGTAATCTTTGTCTTTCTGTCTTTGTGTATCTTTGTGTATCCTAATTTGTTTTTTTTTAGTATTTGCGCCTCTCTGTCTTTATTTGTTTGTTTGTGTCTCTCGGGTTGTCTCGGGTTGTCTTTGTTTGTCTCTATGTGTCCGTGTCTATCGTTCATCTCTATTTTTTGTGTCTTTTTGTGTCTCTCTGTTTATTTCGTGTTTGTGTTTGTTTATTTGGAATGTCTGTTTATTTTTGTTTCTAGCTTTATTTTTTGGTTTGTTTGTGTTTGTTTGTGTTTGTTTGTGCGGGTCGGTTCGCAAAGATGACACATTTCCGTATTGCTGCGTGCGGCATTTCCCCCTTTTATTTTTCCTTTTGTTCTGTCTTTCTTTAGGTTTATGATTGTTTTGTTATTGTTCTTACTTGTCTGCTTGCTTGCCTGCTTCTCTCTCTTTCTATTTCTTTCTCTCTTTCTTTCTCTCTTTCTCTCTCTCTTTTTCTTTCTTTTTCTCCTTCTTTCTCTCTCTTTCTTTCTCTTTCTCTCTCTCTTTTTCTCTTTCTTTCTCTTTCTCTTTCTCTCTCTCTCTCTTTTTCTCTTTTTCTCTCTTTCTCTTTTTGTCTTTGTCTCTCTTTCTCTATTTTTCTTTTTCTCTCTCTTTCTCTTGCTTTTTGTTTTTTTTCTCTTTTTTTCTCTTTTTTTTTCCTTTTCTGTGTCTTTTTCTCTCTCCTTTTTTCTCTAAGAAAAAGAGAGAGAAAGAGATGTCAAACTACATGCTTCACTTTGCACTCTTGTTGTATGTATGTTCACTACCGCAGGCCTTGAGCTTACTACTCCGCATGAGTTAAAAGATTGGCAGCTGCAGACTACATTGGTTGACTGTTTGTTTGAACACTATAGCACTTGCACTTGTAAGCAATATCACCACCGATTTTAACGTGGTAGCGGAGTTGAGATCCTAAACATAGGGGAGCTTCAGTAAGCAGTAAGTACTACAACAACAGAGCAACAGCAGCTACATGCCAAACTACTACGACATGTCAGGAGAAGCAGCATCAGCCTCAGCACAACAAACTACAGGAGCAGAGAACGGGCCAACAGCAGACACAGTAGGAGCCATGACTACGGGAGCAGGAACAGAACAAGACAACGACGTTCAGAGACTACATAGATACAAACTGCCACCACCCTTCTTCACTGGTGACTACTCCCAGTATGAAGAATGGCTGTTCAAGCTACAAGTATACCTCGGCCTCATAGACCGAGACTTCGACCTGGTGCTACAACTAGCACAAGTGGCTACACGACAGATTGAGGACACAGACATCAGAACACACATACTCGACCCTACACAAGCAAGCAAAGCAGTAGACCTCTCCAGAGATCTACACTACATCCTCATCAACATCTGTCAGGGAGCAGCAGCTACAGTAGTAAGGCAAAACCGCTACAACGCAAACGGATGTGAAACACTACGACTATACTGCGCAACAGGTTCAGCCTACCAGTAGGAACAAGGAGCGTTGGTTACCTTACCAAACTACTGGGTTCGCTACAAAGGCAAAGGAAAAGGAAAAGGCGGCTACAAAGGAAGCAAGAGCAAAGGCAAGTACAGGAGTAAAGGACACTACAAAGGATTCGACAAAGGCAGCAAAGGAAACTACAACAAAGGAGGATACAACAAGAGCAAAGGAAAAGGCTACTCAGGATCCAAAGGATATGGATCAAGCAAAGGCTACAAAGGCCAAGGAAACTACAGCAAATCAAAAGGAAAAGGAAGCAACAACTACACAACATGCCATCGATGTGGCAAGCCCGGCCACTGGGCACAAGACTGCAGAGTGCCGGTATGGCACATAGGAGAAGGAGAAGAACTACATCCACTAGAACAAGAACAAGCAGATCACGATAACAATGATGAACTACCTCAGGATGTGAACGACACTTGGGACTGGTACTACGAAGGAGAAGAAGGACAACATGAGGTGAACTACATGGAGGAGAACTGGAACGATTACGACTATGATAACAGCTGGGATTGGAATGATAACAGCTATGAGGACACAGCGAACTACATTGGAGGCATCAACGAGTCACACCTCACCATTGGATACGTCAGACAAGCAAAATCACGACTACACAAGCATAAATCTAAATCACTACTTGGCAAGAGAACAACACACATAACATTATGGAACGACCGCAGCAAGAGCTTTCAACAATTCCTACAAGAAGACACCACAAAGCTACACTTCGACATAGCAGCAGCAAGACAACAGCAAAGGAACAAGAAGATTGAGGACACTATCACCCATTACATCATGTACTCCAACTTCAAGTCATACCACCACCTGTTGATCGACTCAGGAGCATCTACACATGTTTGCCCAAAGGACTACGCATCGGATCTTCCACTACGACTCTGTGGAGAATCAGTTCCACAACTCTACACGGTGACCAACAAGAAGATTCCAGTCTACGGCATCAAGTACGTTCTCTATAAGTAGGACAACTTCAGGATCATGATACCCTACTACGTTTATGATGTGAAGTGTCCAATCTGCAGCGCATCAAGACTACTTGATAGAGGATATGGATTTGACTTCACTCTACGACACTGCACTATCACACATGGACAACAACAAGCACACCTCATAAAACAATCAGGACTTTTCTACCTACGAGCGGAGAAGATCGACATTCCTACAGGATTCGACATCTACCCAATGACTACAGACAATGGAAAATCCATTGTTGTGATTCAACCTACAGAGAAACCAGCACAACAACAAGAACAAATCGCGCCACTCACACACACAGACCAAGGACTACGACAGATCCTTGGTGGAAACACTGACTACTGGAAACTTGATGGTGACTACGCCATCAGAGTACACAAACGACTACGTAAAGCACTGTTTACACCACACAACAGTGGCTGCCCAATACTAGAAGGAGAACTAGATGATGGGAGACTAACCATCATTAACAGACAAGGGCAAGAGCAAGAACAACTATAAGAGAACCCAACACAACTTTCCAAGCAAGAACTACAACGAAGACTAAAAGGTGATAACTGGATTGGAGAAATCAGATTCAGAAGAAAGATAACACCTATACGCAGAGCAACATTAAAGACCACACTAACAAGGCAGAGCTCACAACCATAACGGCTAATAGACACACCACCAACCAGATCAAAGATCCAACTACGAGCACCACAAAAGATATGGAGACCCAAAGTAGCACCTTCTACAAATCTTGACACCGCACAAGCAAAGGAGACGATATACAGACCACTCACAGCACAGCAGGACAACCAAGACTACTGGGAAAGACAAGGTGAACACTGGATACGACACCACACAACACTTAGAACAACTCTCTTCATTCCAACAGATGGACCAGGACATCCACCAATCAACACACTTGAGCCTTACAGAACTACAATCACTCACAACAACTTTGGAGAAGTTTCACAACGCAAAGATGACTAATGGAAAGGAACAACAAGGTTCACCATGAAGAAAGACTACGAGTATATCCAGGAGAACCACGATGAAGAACAACAACACGAGCATCATGAAGCACACAGAGCAAGAGGAGTACGATAACCACAGCAGCCCACTCCACAACAAATAGCAGAACACAACCTTACACATCTACCATACATCCAATTTGCGTTCAAGGCAAAGGACGCCAAGACAACTACAAGAAACAACAATCACGACAACCTGTCATTCAAGTAGATTTTGCCTACATCAAGTCATAATAAGACCCAAAGACCACACCAGTACTGACAGCAGTTGATGTTACTATACAACTGTGTATGGCAGTATTGGTTCTAGACAAAGCATCAATGATGGACTACATGGTGAACAGCCTACAAGCATTCATCTTTGAGTGCGGAAGAACACAAGGCATACTACAAAGCGA